TGTTTTAACGGTGGTGTAGAATATATGAGTGTATAGCTTTTATGGCTGTATTTTGTGAAATTATAAAATGATTAAGCTAATGTTATGATTTAAATATCAGATAGAATTTATGCAAAAATTGATATCAGTGCTTTTGCCTTGGTTAAGAGTGCTAATACTAATGTTGCTTCCTATAGTTGAAATACAGTATACTTAAAGTGCAATGATTAAGGAACACGATAAGATCTGTTGATTCAAATGCATTATTTACTTGCCGTCGGCATTTCCCTTAAATCAATTAATTTACTGCTTGAATTTTCAGTGTAATGAATAGAATTTTAAATAAAAAGTACGTCATTATATCTTAAATCATTAAAATTTCAAGTGTTTCTATTTTTATTACTAGCTTTCTCCTCTTAGTTTAGTCCAGACGATCAAATCAATCTTCATTGGCAAAACAAATATCAAAATAACGGTCTAATTTAAATTTTCCTAAACTAGTCTATAAATTGTGATATTACTTAGGCGAACAATCGTGCCGCTCTATTATAGAACTTGATGTTCATTCGAATATTGTTTTTACTTCCTTTATTTATATCAGCGAAGTGAATTATTAAAAAGATTCTCTTTCCTATACTTTCGTAGCATCTCCAGTTGAACACTTTATAATAAATAGTTTGTTCTAATTTGCTTCTGAAATGTTATCCATTTTAATGGTGGCAATTCCTCTCGTTGAAGAGTTATAGTAGTATATAGTAACATATACGTTAATAATTCAGCGTTATTCTTTGTCAATAATGAAATTGCTGACAGAGTACACAAAATCGTTTTAAATTTTCATCATCTAACAATTATAATAGATCAGATCACTCTTGTAAAAAATTGAAGAAAAAGTGATGGATATATTCTTTTTTCTCTTTTATAAGTCATAAAAAAATAGAAGTTATACGTATTTGAAGAGTTTCGTTATAATTTTTATACCAGTTAGTATTCTTTTGATTATTGCATCATTACTATAGTATTGTTAGTACCAATAATGGCTATTAGAAAAGTTGGCTCGACTACTCTATAGTAGAATATTGAAAAGTGACTTCGTTATAATAGGAGTGTGTCACAAAACAGCTTTGCAACAAGATAACGTAATGTACGATCAATAAGTCAATTTCTTGAACTACGTATCAAGGAACGATATCTGCACTATCAGAAACACTTTTGCTCTACTAGCAGACTACACAAAAACTTAGACGCCTCGTATTTTACGTTAAACACTAAGTTTAAGAATCCACTTTATTACACGATATACTGCATTTATATACTCTTCCTCAATAGTTCATGAGTCCTAGTTAGTATGATTAACTTTGGAATCATTCACTGAATTAGATATTAATTATAGCTACTGTTCCCTTAATGCAGACAGCAGTATTTACGAACATAGACATCTGATGACTAATACAGAATAGTCAGATTACGATATGTCCTATAAGGGAACATTTCCACGATAATTTACAATCTACCATAAGTAGGTTACAATCATAATGATTCGAACTGTAAGTAGATGATTTGCATTCCCTACTATAACTATTAATTTCAGTATGTGTCTATGTGCCACTGCCATAAAAGTCAGTGCTATATTAAAACACAGTATATCCAAATTATAAGTTAACTAAATAAAGATAGGCTAACAGAATTGTCATAACATAGATATTTCTACTCTAATACAATATATAACACTGTCACAGGGTGATACTTTTTGCTTAGAGTTTCTTCCATTATATTGCAATCTAATATAAGTTTATAGAATAGTAATCATCGATTAAGGCTATCATGTTATCTGTGTATTATAAGAGAAAAAAATTAAGTCAAATAAAAAAGTTTTTGAAGAGGTTCAAATGTTACAAAATTAATTTATTTTTATCGTCTCGTTTTATTGTTTCAATATCGATGCTGTAAGTACGCCTGACAGTAATTAGAAATGGATATTAAGACTATATGCTATTGCTCATATTAGCTTGATTAACAATTGAAATTAAATTTAAATTTACTGTAGCTAAAGGCAATAGGATGTAGAATGAATTTTCACTACTTTAGTGTGTATAATCTAAACAGAAATAGCAAAATAATAATGTTTTATCTTAATAGGTCTCGATCGTTTAAATAAATTTTGGATACAATATGAACCTATTGAGTAGGCTATAAGGAATTGGGAAAGATTGGTGCAAGGTTAAAATTAAAAAGCAACATAACGGTAAATAATATTTAAGATGGAGAACTATAATTAATGGAATTAATTAGGCAAAAGTAATATTAGCTGTGTCTAGCAAGGAATAACTCTTTGACCATGATAGAGCTGCTACTTATTGATTTAGACAACGTAGTCAAAAGCAAGATGACTATTATTTTTACTTTACAGAAGATAGTTCTACCATTGCTAAAATTATTAACTACATCCATGAATAAATTAATAGGCCTTTGTTAATAATACCCTCCATGATATGCAATATAGGAATTTCTACTTGATTTTACTCTTTACTTATTTTCTTTCACAAGAATTTAAAGTGGTGTATACTTAATAAAGATTGTTTTGTATGATATTTCTATTAGTGACGATTATTTGGAAAATGCTTTATACGAGTATTGAGAGAATAGCATCGTTACCCAAGGTGTAGTATTCATTTTCAGACTGGACAATTTTTATTCAAATTTATTTCTAGTCGGTGTTTTTATTATTTAGTTTACGAACCTGGATTTTTTTCTTCTTTAAATTCTTGAAAATTGAAGCATTGCCAAAGCGAATAGCAATTCCTTTACTGTTATAGCCTATCTCGATGTGATTGAATAATTTTGTTCCGAATTTCAGTATTGATTAGATAAGTAGTAATAGTAATATTTTCACCACTTAACCGTTCAAACTGTAGCAGGAGTATTTATTTCGTTGAATTGGATGAATTAGTTCTCAAATTTTAGAATAATAATAGTAGTATAAGATATTTTAGGCAGAACAGTTAAAGAGTTATGATGGGAATAGAGCAGAATAGAAGAGAGATAAATTTGAGTAGACTGCGAGTACAACAAAGTAATTGTGAAAGTTTAAAAAAAAGAAGAATACAATACTGGGTATATTGTTGTGTATTAAATCATCTTTCGATATAAAATTTATTGGTCCGGTATTGATTCTATTATCATGCGTAGTTTATATAGGCCCAGTATTAACTTGATTGCTTTCTAATAACGCAACTCTACAGTACCTTACTTTGGGTTCCTTCAGACTACCCCCTGGTACTCTACTGAAATCCACTTGCAAGAGTACCGATTAATTTTCAATTTTTGATGGCAACTGTGGATTTTTTCTGCTATCGTTATTGATTAAATGATAAATCCTTTTGACTACCCAATGCATTAAATAGTACAGTAGAGCACAGTTGCTATAGAGACCCAGAGTACGAATCTATGCCAAGGTACTGTAGTTGATGTACTGTGGAACTGCAATTGTTCTGAATACGGCATCCCCAAAAGACCTTGAGGATTTTAGGGCAATTTTGAGGTCTTCGCCTTTTTTCTGAGAGTAAATACCGGTAGATTCTCTCTTATCGGGTCTTTACACTAAGCTACTCACAAATTTATATCACTATACATACTTATATAGTAATAGACTTATTATTACTAGAGTGATATTGATTTCGGGTGATTTCAGTCTGATACTGTACAGTGCTGTAGAGTACGCGTATATCCTCTGTAGTCATTATGACCGGCTTAATTATTGTGCCGTGGTGGATGTTAGATATAGGATTTGGGATAGATTTTATGAGGAGGAGATCACTTATGCAAGGACAGATATTAATATAGTCTTTAAGAGCTCCAGAAGATGGACTAAACTTATCTGATACTATAGATTCCCAGTATACTGTATATAGTATGAACTATATATATGAACTATATACAATGGAGCAGTTCACTGAGCTCTCTGCTATGGAGTGGTTAGAATATATCACTAGTCAATTGGCGACTGCTTTGCTAGCCGTTTTAAAGACTATTTTTCTTTTTTAACTTTAGTCCCCACGCATTTGTATGGTTTCACAAACAGTTTAATTTATACCATATAATTAGTGTCGATTTTACTGGTCTCGACCGCACTATATACTACTATGATACCTGAAGCAACGAGACAGTCATACAGCAGATTTTTCCTCAATTTTGCGGTACTAGCTCATATATAAAGAATATGTCAGCTTAACAAATTCAGAGATAAGTTTATCCATTAACAGAAAAATAATTATAATTAGCTTAGAGACGTCAAGAGGGTAATAATTGTTATAATACGTTAGGTATACACGTATACCAGACTAGAAAAAGAAAAGTAGACAGACTTGCAGCAGAAAAATAATATAATTAATTAATTCATTAATAAGGATATAGTATATACAGTGAGTCGGTACCATGTCAAATCGTCATTTCACGAAGTTGCTAAAATTTAAGAAAATTATCTAAATTTGTAAACTATATGCTTGCCTGACTCTAAATGAAACATGCTCGTAAATTTAGTAACAGATAGTCCCTAATTCCCGTAATTACAGTATACGCATATTTGAATACAGTAGTTACGAGTATATGCCTATAATACAGTATGATTGTTAAGGGACAACCATGAAGTGTGTTAACGATGGTAGGAGGATAAGGAATAGGTTTATTTGGAGATCGACAAGAAGTAGATAGGTAGAAGGTTTACGGAGATGTAGGAAAAGTTTGCCGCAACCTGAAGGAAACAGAATAATTTATCCTTGTTATTACATTGCCTCTACGGGTATATTGTAACTATAATATTAAACATACACTGTATGACGATCAGTATATAATAAGGTGTTGATACATACTGTACGTCCATCCCGTACGCCTGAAACTTGGCCTGCATGACATGACCAAGGACTACTGAAAGAGAGAGAGATGGACATTACTGTAAAGCACCAAGGATAGGAGACTGCAAGATCAGCCCTACTGCTAGACAGGGAAGCTTGCAAATGGCAACGAACTTGCTGTCAAATATTCATCGAGGTTTATCTCAGCCCTATACAGATACACAACTTATTGGTGGAGACTATTTTTACTATCACTATGGTTGCGATGGTGTTCATGATCAGGTCATTTTTAATTCAGAAATTTTCCTACTTCATGCTCATGCTTCTTCTGTCGATGTACAAGTAATATAGCACAACTTGACAGCATGCAAACGAAATGTTTTGATATACAGTACAGTAGGCTGCTATCTTGCAGGCCTATGACAATCGTATTTTAAGAAACCACCTACTGTACTAGATAGAACATGACTCCAGTTTTCATGGATAGAATTACCTTTCTATTATACTTTAGGCAACTTGTGATTAATTAATACAGAAAAAGTTCGAATAAATACAGAGATAAAGTGATTTAACTGATGGTAACAACTCCCAAGATTGGATTTACATTACTTACATGTACTGTACTGTAATTCGGATGCACGAAAAGATACCTGGTGATAGGATAGTGTGAAATACTGTATAGACATAGAGATTTATGGACGCAACTCTACGATATTTTTACACTTGTATATTCTATTGGTTTAATATCAGTAGACAGGTATCATAATAATTAATGTAAAGAAAATTTCCAACTTACCATTAATTAATCATTATACACGTACTAGTAACTAAATTGTCCTATCATGCTTAAGATCCCGGTAAGAAATGCTATACACCTATCTTTTGTATCTTATTCAAAGGGTTGGGGCTGTGGATACCGAAGCTTGCAGACAATTGCATCTTATATTGTCCATAATAAGAAGTCATTAGTATCATCCATAATACCAACCATTCGTCATATCCAACAAACGTTAGTCGATATGAATGATAAACCGAGTACATTTGTTGATAGCAAAGAGTGGATTGGGTCGTTTGAGATTTGCTTGTGTCTCGAAGAATTATACGGTGTAGGTATTATGTATCTACGAAATTCTTACTACGTATAGCTTGGCTATTACCTTCCTACTATGTATAATAACATTTTAACCCTTAGTATCGGTCATATACTTTATCTACTAATTTCATTTTCTAACTCTGATAAATGTAAATATGCTATACAGTGATTGATGTCTTTCAGTCACGATTTACTAATAATTCGTATATGTTATAAATTTGTAAATGATGGTTGTTTGTAGATTGAGCCACTACAATTGAATTTACTATAGTGTCGGTATGCAGTTCGTTATTAGGTGATGAATTAAATGAGAACATCAGGTAATAAATATTGTTGCTACAATAATTTGATCGTACAGATTTATAGCAAAATCATACATGTAAACGACGGGAATGATCTAGAAAAAAATGTAGCAATGATTCACGACCATTTTGTTCAAGTGGGTACGCCAATTATGATGGGTAAGTTAGGATCTTTAAACTAGCTACGACCGCAAATTTGAAGAATTGTGTTTTCGATTTATTAATACATCCAACTACTGTACTTTAGGTGGAAATATTGACAGTGCCGCAAAGACAATAATCGGAATTTCTGCTGATAGCAAAGATGTCAAAAATTCTAAGCTTTTAGTCGTTGTAAGATGTATTTTTTGACGCTATCAGAATATTATGCTAATAATTATGGTTACTTTTTATTTTAATCTTGTGATCATGTCCTTCATAGGATCCTCATTTTAATGGCAAAGCTGAAATAGAAATACTACAACGAGAGGGCTGGGTATCCTGGCGTTCTATCGATTCTTTTGTTTTTGAATCGTTTTATAATTTCTGCTTGCCACAATGTAAACTAGTAGCTAACAAGTGATACGTTACAACCCTAAAGTAACTGCTAGCTAATGTAAAATAAAATAATTAGCAATAAGAAAAAGATAATTCTAACAGTTAACTTCATCGTTTAGAGACTCTAATTTAACTATTACAGTCTAAAATTTCGAATAGTTAACATCTTACTTTCAATATTCATTGCGAATCTATTTGTTTGCTATAAAATTGAATTTCTATTGTGTATACTTTAAAGTATAATGTATAGTATAGAATTAAGAATGAATGACTACTAGACTCTAATTACATGGTTTCTGAAATAATTTCAAGGATGTAATCTCAGATTTTTATCTCTACATTATTCTTCAAATATCTATCTACATGGTTGGAAACTTTACTGGCTTACACATTTGCTGAAATAAACATTAGTAATTTATTTTATTTATTTAAAAAGATACGTTTATTCTAAAAACTGAAACGTTTATTGGTTTCTATTGAAAGAGCGGAATATCAAAATTTTAAAAGACAACCACGACTAATGATCCCTAGGGCTAGAGGCAACTATGTAAACCCAAATCTTGTACTCACCATGTATATCAATATACTCGTATAATGCTATTGTCATTTTAATCTAAAACGAACAATTATTATTACTGTTTACTATGTAAAAATATCGCCTTAGTAATGTTGTATAAGGATTAAAAGTTGGATCTTACGTAAAGTCAGCCAAAATTCTTTATATCAAAAGCAAACAGTGGTTTACTTAAAAGTCGATCGCTCTTACGGTTATAACTGAGATAGTATTCCGTAACCACACATATCCATGTTACGGCCATTCCTAAGAATGATTTTGTCCTTAAGATTAAAGTGATTTGAAAAGAGCGTAATAGCACCTGATCTAAACACAATAGAAAGCAATCTCTATTTTCAGACCTTTTTATACTAGTTTTTATCGTACTGATAAATCTGTAATCTGACTACTGTTATTAAAGATAAATTCCTGGGTAATATACAGAAGTACTAGTAATAGCTGTAAAACAAGATTATAATGATTTTGTATATTGCTAAATATGTAATCAAGCTTCAATTATTAATTAATCCGAATTAAATATCAAGTAAAATATTATTATTAATTTCCAAAATAAAATCTGAAATTGTTTAAAAATAGCTTTATTATTAAATTACCAGGATCATATAAACAAGTGCTGAAATTAGATTAAATAAAATTTGATATAATCAGTACAACGGTGCATAAACGTAACGTTCGTAAGATTACATAGATTGTCTAAATACTTGAAGAATTTGAAAATATTGAAATCATATTTTTACAAAATTAATGAAGTCAACCCGTATTGCACAAGAGAAGGTGCCACCAAACTGAAGTTAGTATGTTATACGTTCTTCAGTATTCACAGAAATTTTTAAATCTCATTCAAGGCTAGCACACCATTTTAAGGCTTTCATCCTAGTTACTTTTCCGTCTTTTCGTATAGTAGTGCTACATTGTCGATTTATAACAACCGCTATCAAGATAAATATTTACTTAATACACAGTTTGTAACTATAGATAATATGCGATTAATAAACGTAGAAGACCTAGCTCTAGCGTTAATCGAAATCGTAAAATAGTATTCGTGGTACTAATCATCAGCAACTGGCATTGTCACCGTCAAAACCTAAATAAATACCAGTAATCAATAAAAAGGCAAAAAACATTAATTTATCGCCTTATAGTTGAATTAAAGCTTAAATTACCTTCGTTTTCCGATGAAATTGAGCGCCTGTCTCTGCAGAGTTAACTTTGAATGGTAAGTTTGTATTCAAGAAGTAAACATTTGGATGAGCCAGGAGTATTAATTTATCACCACCAACGTCTAAATCGACTGTCTTAGCACTTTTCTAGGGAGTAACATTGATCAAAAAAGAACAGGTTTATAACATTAAAGGCATACGCAAAGTTCTAGAATGACAGCACTATTAAAGAGAAAATGTACCGTATGTGCCTCTAACCAACACAAGTTGCATTAAAGGTATTGTACGCTGATTGAAGTATCAAAACTAACAACATTATCAAAGAACGTTAACGTTTCAATAAAACTACGTACAACTTTAGGTAAATCGATCTGCGCGACTAAAAAGTCAGGCCTTCCTTCAGGCGGTTCCCTAATTATTTGCAGGCTTGGTTCTTCACCTCTGTATAGTATTAGATTATGAATACTTTAACAGCTTCTAATATCGATGCATTAGCACGTAAATTAATTTTAATTTGAATTACACAAGAGTCTATTCACAACTACCGCTTTTCCTCAATTTCGGTCACAAGTGTCTTTCCTTGCATATCATTAGTTGTATCGCTGCTAATATCTCTTCTGGAGTGAAAATAAAAACGCAATTTTCATAAACATCTTTTAATTTAATTTAACCGACTCTTGATCTTAGAATTAGAGATTTATGTAATAAGTGCGTATCTTATAGTGCATGATTCAGCAAAAAGTGCAATAAACTACTTACGTTTCCATTTCCATAATTAAGGGTTTACTTTTCGTACGAATAGTCTGTTCGGCCATTTTGCCAAAGAATTTTCGATTTTTTAATACTATCGTATCTGTATATTACAAAAATGTTAGTACAATAGTTACAAGCAGTATCAAAGAATAGAAATGGAATTTGCGAACCTCTTGAAAAGGTCACATCATGGTAAGTGTAAAAGAAATAGAGTGAAAACTACAAACCTCTTGAAAATGTCATATCATACTTATTCTCAAGTCCATCAAACACAAGAGTTAAGAAAAACAAATCAAAAGCTTGGCTCCTCTATGAATAAATTTCATTTTTTAAATTTAGAAAATTCGCTTCCAATTATTACTTATAATTAAAATATAAATATCTAGTGATTCATACCTGTGTCTTGTCATAAAATTGTTTGTTAATAACCACATCAAATACTGTGCAACCTTTACCGCCTATATATTTACCGAATAATTATACGTAAACAAGGCAATACTAAAATATTAAGAGAACTATTGACAAACCACGTATGAATCTTTTAGTAAAAAAGAACTTTAGCTTGTATAAATTAACCTTTATCCAATTCCGCATGGGGCACCCCTAAACTCATAGGGACCCTAAATTTGGTAGGATCTTCCGATTGTACAATTTTTTCCAGCTCATCTTCGCTAATATCACGCGGCGCCGGAATCTAACAAGTCAAGTAATAATTCTGCAGCTGTCAGCACCAAGTTTATTTGATTAGCAAATATAGCTACTCCAAGATTTCAGAGTTGTAATGAATGTTATTGTGTGACGTGACAATATATAATGTAATCTATATATTTGATTCGTTATCAAACCGTTGTCATACCTGATCAGACGTACAAATATTAATGAATACTTTCTCATCCGTGGAGGTTCGTGTTTTAATACAATGGCCTAAATTAAAGAAAATTTAAATCAGTTACTTAGCCCAAATATAAACAAGCCTATAGAATTATCACTAGGATAATAGAGTCAGGTTGACAACAGTAATAAATTAATAGCAAAAATGAACTCGATAAAAATGATGTAACCTGGCTTAGGCAAAAGGGATTTCCTTTCAGGATCATGAGGTTCAGGTTGTTTATCCTAAAAGTAAATTAATTAAGTAGAAGTTTATATCAGCATACAGATCTATATCCTGCGAATGAATGAAATTCTTCGTATCTGAAAAGAGAATAGAGTACAGAAGAACGTTGGGTTACAATTATATTGTGATTGACAGAAAATACGAGTCGTAATAATAAACCAAGTAATAACTTTAATAATATTATCGACCGAGCTATATTTTTAAAAATAGTTCAATAAAGAAGAATTTTTAGAATTTTTAAAGAGTAACTAATTTCCAATATAATCAGTCATTGGAGTGGCTTAAATCATTACAGAACTAAGAAGACTGGCGTCAATTTATATACGATTATGATATTATATAAAATCTATACAACAGAAATTGACTTTTAGTGCTTTCAATTGGTCCTACTATTACATCCTTTTATTATGAGGATGCCATTGTTGCCTATTACAGTAATCTAGTATGCAAAATGGGAGAAAATAGTATTTATGATTTCGACTATACGGCTTATCAATAAAGTAATTACTGTACAGTGCTATAGATAAATATATACACGTTTAGAATGCCAACATACAGGGTAAAATAAATACGGTCGTATGCCATAGAACATCTTTTGGCATTTTCTAGAAATGATTTTGATTAAAGAATTGCAGCGAATAAGGTATTAATGACGAGTGATACTCTAATCCAAAGATTAATAGGATGAGATTTGGAGCACCTCTTCTGTAGTTGCATGCGGTCTTGCAGATCGAATTTCGTATCTTGGTACAAGAATGTCGAAGAGTAAACTTACCCATTACGCAGGGGTATCTGGTCTATGGATAATGCTATACTAAGTAATGATATTGCTGATACTCAAAATGTGACAGACTTAAGATGGAGGTCTAAAGTAATCATTCATTCAGTGATTGAATACAGGTCTGTAAAGTGTTGTCGATGGAATCAATCAGACTTGGACACGGCAGTGTTGAACAGTTTACAGATATATACAGTACTGTTAGATTAAAGGTACCTTACCCATAGATAATAGTAATTTATTACTTTACAGATACTCCAATTAACAGATTTAAGGGTAGCATGCAGAGTAATCATTCAGTCATTATTAAATATAGTACAGGTAGAATCCTAAAAGTTAGTTTAATAAACCTGGATACAACGTAAAGTTAATGTGGAAGAATACTCGTATAATTTCCTTTTCGATACTTGATGCTATCCATAATAAGTAATACTTTAATCAAAGCATTTAGGTTACTATTACTAACACTAATGATATTAATATGATATTCAATAGCTGAGCACGTTAAGAAAACATACATTCGAGCTTAACAACTGCCTAAGAAATTCTTCTTCGGTTACTGAAGGATCCATCTTGAGCTGATGGCAGAGTTTTCCCACATACTCTCAGTCTGATGCCAGCAGGAATTGACAGCTCGAGATGGTTGCCGTAGTAATCTCTACAGTACCGTATTACTATTTACTGTGCCGTTCTGTACTGTAGAGTTAATACTAACACCTGTATTGGAAGTTCGTACTACAGCACGTACAGTGCACAGTACTGTAGTACAAAATACTGTACCGTACTGTACCGTACAGTGTACAGTGCACAGTATGTACTGTACGGTACTGCTGTTTAGTACTGTAGCTCATGATACTGTAATACCAAGTTCCGGTAAAGTAATGTACAGTATAGAAAATAGTTTTGGCCAACGAAAATGCAACGGAATGGATTGAACACCTGAAATCCTACTTATCCTAGTCTAACAGCTATTAAAATATGGCACATCCTTTTTATTATCCTGTAATATCGTTTTCACAGTAATTTTAGTCCACAGAGGAATCCAGTACTATAAAAGCTTTTTATTACAAGGTTCTAAAGAATAGTACAGCAATAATTAATTACTCACAAGAATCTAGTCTAAAGTAATCTGAGCTCAATTAGATATCAAATCTTTTTCCTCCTTTACGCTCAGATTTGTACACCTTATATACTTTTCTCTGAATCTATTTAAGGCAATAACATCGTCTACAATCAGACATGAATCATCACTACATTTTACAGTATTAATCAAACTGCTTACAATATTATTACTTTACCATCAATGTCCAACACCGTAAGGTATTGGGCATCTTTACAATCTTAGTATTTCAAGTCGTATAACGTCCTGTACCATAATTAGTTAACAGCTATATTAGTGAATAACACTTTCTAATATAGTAGTTACCAGTCACCTAAATCTAGCAGCACAAGAATATCTATTTTTAGAAACTTAACTATTCTAAATATAGTACACAACACAATCAAATATAGCTATCGCTACAAGCAAATATAGGGTGCATCACTACATATCCATACGTCAATTTTAACGACGGAATTTTGTAATTGAACTCTTTCTCTATTCATTGATATAAAATTTATTAAAGAAACAAAAACGATTGCGATATACTACGCTAGTTATCGTCATAAGCGCTGAAAGACTATCCGCAGCCAACTAGCCAACGAATCTCTGACAGGTCTATGTGCATTAGGCCGTTCATAATAACCCCGATTACTCAGATACTTATTTACGCTGAGTATCTGACTAATCGGGGTTATTATGAACGGGCCTAATGTGTATTCATGGTTATAGATAGGCACAAACAATCATCATAATCATCATAGGGCTTGTAAAATGGTTATGTGAATCTGTGTCACGGAATAGAAGACCTAGACCGCAGTAGCGGCTGAATGTGTTCGCTTTTTAGTCAAATTTATAGTCAGAGCAAAGATTCAGACGGTATCTTCCGCTTTGAAGTTATTTCCGTTTGAAATATTATCATTTTAACGCTAGAGCTGTACTACGTTGATTTTTGGCTAATACGGTAGCATCATAACTAGATCTGATATGCGAACTTTTGTGTACGAGTATATGCTTTAAGTAGAACCACAGCGTACAATATGAAATGCTACTGATGTCGACATATAAGGAATTCGAAACCACTTCACATCATTGACCTTCTTGTAAACATGAACTATTGTAGATATAGTTAATTCCGACACTAGAATTAAGTTAATATTTACTTTAAAGTATTGCGCTTTCAATGATCTTTATACCTGATAATAAACCAGACTAGGAACACGGTGATAACTGCTAATGATCGCCGATTTTCATCGACGAATTATTACATACATACACTTACAGCATATTGATCTACTTGTTACGTCATATATGTAGAAGCATTATATATGATGCGTTGGTTTAAAGTATTTCATCAAAATACAGCTTAATGCCATAAAAAATTCCTCAACTTTGGCTATTGGATTTGTGACAGATTTTCTAGTTGCGGTATTCTATAATCGCTAGTTAATTAAATTAATTTATATCATAGTTACGGCAACAACAATTGTACATTTCTACGCCAAGGTAAATACACATTAAAAAAAATAGAATTACCGTATGATATTCAGGATAGAGGCCAAGAATACATATGCTGTATCTTGAAAGAATGATTGCAGTCTAGTAACATTATAGCGTTAAATAGCCCACATTCATAATTTCACTATCACAACGTAAATTCATTCGCAATAGCTTTGCTTACTTTGCTATTTTACAATCAGGGAAGTAGAGATATAATACAGCAAAGAATAAATAAAAGACTTAATAATCACTGCTATTGATTTAATCCTAAGAAAATTTTCGACTGTATTGAAATTCCTCTTATAAACCACTCATACTATGCTCTAAATAATATTTTATATTTAAATTTTAACATAATGGGCTGAACTGCGTTTACATTTTGACCTATGACTGATTCATACTGTATCTTCATCGAAAGAATCTATCTTAAATATAATTTGCTAATTGCTATTCTGTAGACTTTACAGTATGAACTTTCGGTTGATTGCTCGTTTTTGATCACAATCCGATAACAGCCATCGAACAAGCTACTTAACAGTCATAGTAAAATATCCTTTCTTTACGGTTACATCATATTTATTATCGTCACATAAACACAATAAATATACGTATACACGCATATATACACTTGAAGCAATGACTACTTCACACTGTTATTCTGGATAAATAGGCTATCCTGGACATGAGAGCTGTCTAGTTAGCCTCGATATGGTAAACTTTTGAAAAGGACTACGGTCGTTCATACGATCTTATTTCGTACTCAAATTGCGGTCTCAAGTACAGCGCTGTATAAATTGCACTTGAAAAACGATTTCATACTAAACTGCGTTATTTTGCGTAGTATAATACCGACCATATTTTTTTTTTCTCCGTTCCACTTCATTTTCACCGCAGTGTTATCAACTCATCGTTTCCATTATGTCAAACTTTCAACGTTAAAGACGACGTGGGCATATTAATCAATTGAGTCACTCATTGTTATGACAGATTGATCACTTAAGATACGCTAGAATTAAATAGTCGGATGTACCGCAGTACTGATTGGAGTGGCATTTAGTCTCTAGGTAGGATGTTGCTAGATTTGAATGAATTATTAGCAGAGATGAAGTGATGATAGAATATCTTCTGTTTCAGACCTTATTGTTACTCTACATCTTAGCAGGCTTGTTACATAAAGAAATTTATCTGGTACGTCAATAACAGTGGTATTCAACATTTTGAGAGATGATGCTCAACAATCTGTTGTTGTCCATGTACAAGATGGATAAAATCTTTTATACCTTGCATACGGTATAATATTGAAAAAATCTGCTGTCTTTATGTATCAGTAACTGGATAACTAAGTTAGTAAATTGATTTTTACGAAGCTTGATACGTATACTGTACTTATAGTCTTATGCAATACCGCAGTGGTCAGTAATTTCAAACTAATTTGATGTCTTCAACACCTTTCTTCTTGCACGATTTGCCGGGCCATATTTTTGCAGCTGTAGATGTACAGTAGATCTCCGTAACGGAGCATTGTATTTTACTTACTATAAATATTGACTTGCATCGTCGCCGATAGCCATACTTATTATATGACTAGACCTGGTAATACGACAGGATCATCACAGCACTGATTAATTTGCAGATTAATCAGTTGCAGATTAATCAGTGCAGGACTCTAGTGGGCGTCATATTTTGTTCCGAGATTGTAGGAGAAACTTTACTGTTGATAGATAATTTCTGAGAATTCCTATACAAGCCTATTACATCATATTTGATCCGGAGAGTGAACGCAAATCTACTACTACACTATACAGCACAGCACATTAGTATGATAATACCCAAAGCATCGTTCTACCGTATGGTATGCGTTTGTCAAAGATCTTTTAATTTTTAATCGTGATGGATTATATAATTATCATAGCCTATAATTCATTTATGGGCAATGGACAGTGCTTCAAAATGAAAGTTACAGCCCATGAAAATGAGTTGGTGGATTTTATATTTTACTACACTAGTATTAGTATTCATATAGGGATTCCAACTGGCGTAATTGGATTTTGATCTTTGTCTCCAACTGCCAATAAATTAAAATAACTCATGGAGAATAAACAGTAACGTTTATTCTATCGCCACTGCTAAATATTGTGCAGTGTCAATGAAGGAGAACTTGGTCAAAGATGCCATGCTCAACGTACGTTGTTGTATGCAAAGACGTTAGATTACAAGTTCGATTCTTTCAGGTTATTGTTTTAGTCATTCATACTAGTATACATCATCAATTTTCTAAACCAGCGATCGATCGGGTTAGTGGTCGATTCTCTTTTCAATAGTACTATTACTCAAGCCTGTAGAAGGTAAATTAGAGCTCAGTACGGAATTGTTTAGAGCTCTCGTTAAGAAAAAATCTTACCACATTAGGGATTTCGTAATTTATGATCGAGCTCACATATAATAGTCCAAGTTAAGCAGAGCTGCGTTTTTCTCGCTTCTTTATTTGACCAAATTTATCAGTAGCAATAGAACAGACGGAGCACAGAAGGAATGTGTCATTCTGCACCTGGCCATCATGGTGCATAATATCTAGCCACAATCAGACCATCTAAATTATAGTAAAATTCGTCATTTATGTACAATTAGTTACAGAATGATCCTATAATCACAATAATCTTAAGCTAATTTGAGGCAGCACTACAGTATATTGTGCAAGTATATATTGAATACTCAGATGTCCTATTTGAGCTAATATTATTAATATATCATCATTACGATGCACATAGTGTTATTAATGGATTAATTTAAAAAATACAGACACAGGCATTAGCACTATTTTATACTATGATACTAATATACTAATGGCTAATAAGGCTACGGAGGCATCGAAAAGTGGTTGAATACCGTACGAAGAAGTCATTAGTCACTATCATTAACTATTTGCGTACTTCACAACGTAGAGTGGTGAGAAAAGTTTTCAAGGAGTATATTGAGAGTAACGACTACGCACGATACAAGATCATTAATTAGTTAAAAAATACAGTTGACAAGTATTACTGCTACATTACACTAATATACTGTCGGTTAATAAGGCTAAAAGTGGTTGAATATGGAGTCATTAATTATTTACGCAGTTCTCAGCGTAGAGTAGTGAAAAAGCTCTTGAGGAGGGATATCAAGAGTAAACCACTACACGCGGCAAGCAAAGCGGCCGATCAAAAGATTTTCCATACAGTAGACTGAGAGATAGACAGTGGATCAAGAAGCATAATTCAATTTTCTATTGTAGTGTTATCTATGCTATACTATCATGATACTGATTAGCGCTTGTTTAGTACAATATTCTAATTGTCTCGGAGTAGAATAGATATGGTAACACTATTGTTATTTGATTGTCATCTTATCCAACATTAAATTAATCTCCTCCTACTGTTATTGTTCTACAATAGGAAGTTTTACATTATTGTGTGGTTTTCGATGAAAATGCGAAATAGTGCGGAAGAATAGACGATCATGTAGTGTATTAAAGAATCAACAAGATTCTAAGTAGGTCATTTGCATTAGGACTGTATGTCAAGCTATCAACTATGTAAACAAACATCCTGTGCTTAATGTTGATCACAGATCAATACAACATTTGTATTCAATTCTAAGTGGAGACGACGTCAAAGTGACAAGATGGCCAAAGTCGAGGCTAATTTGAATTCAATTTATAACGATCGAAGGCAATCGCGGCCATTATCGACCGCTACGGTACCATTTCGTCTACCACCAACAAATCAAGGACTATCATTTGAAGGCAATCGTGAATGGCGTAGGTATGTTATATTATTAACTGACTCTAGTCTGGGATAGCACGATGATCGATCATACTATATCAATCAACCGCTAACCTATCATAGTTTGGAATACGGTAGTGCAACGTACTTACTTCATGTAAGCAGAAATCTTGTTCAGACATCCAAATCTAAAAGATAAAATCATTCTTCATAAGTTGAAATTGCTTTTCTAAACACTATTCAATCGATTATTGAACCTAATCTTTCATTTCATAATAACCATCCACTTGTAAATTTATTTTTTCTCACTAGTCAGGAGGATGATTTGTTTTAAAATCATTCCGTTGAAAGAATACTAATTATCGCCATCGCTTTTTCTTCCTTCTTTAAACATTCCTTTCTCACTAGTACACTACTAAAGGACAACATTTTACTTTTATCATCTTGCACATAGAGACAAACCAGTACTACATAACCAATATGTACTTCTGTATGTTATTGATTATCGATCGTTAAATAATTATCTTCATTTTAATATAAAAAAATTTGATTGCAAAGAAGGCCAATTCAATTGGACTTTTCCTACCGCAACAGGATAACGTGGGTAAGATGAAAGAAAAAGAAAATTGAGCAAAGAGTTATTCTCTAAAAACTTCAAAAATGTTGATCTGGCCATATGACAAGCTATCTCCACTTATGATTTCCTTTTAGTATTTTTTGCGCTTCTTTTTTTGCATGCTTACACTACCGAAGATGACTTCGCTTCCTTTTTTCTCCATACTTACAAGTGTATTACACTTATTGACGGTAAAAACGAAAACTATAACACTGTCCATTGTCATTGCTGACTTACGTTCTTCATGGATGATTTTAAGACACGTAGCCATGATTTTTTATTCAACTATTATACTCGTATTCATAATCATTTGTGTAGATGATTAAGCACCGTTCGTCGTATTTGTAAAAGTAATTCTTCTCCTTTTTCTACCTCTCATGACAGTATTGTAGCGAGCATTACCACGTTATTTCAGAAACGTAGTAGCAGTTATATAAGCTTCGATCAAGTTCTGGAGAAAGTCAGGTAGGTGATTAATTCTACACTCTTAAAATAATTGATTACAACCACTATAATTAAGATATCTCGTTAAACTAGAACTATAGACTTTTGCTTTTTTGTTGTTGTTATCACTCCTAAGTAGTGATGTTCAGTTAAATTAATTACTTTGTCGATTTCCAATTTAATAGCAAGAAAGGAGAATCTTGATAAATTGATTTCATTCTAATCTAATTTGAGTATATCTTTTGTTCGAGATATTTATTTGGATTATAAATCAGTCACTAAATTTACTCGAATAATTTATAATTCTTGTTAAATGATTAAAGATTGTCATCTGGCAGAAAGATCAATGCATTATTATGCTACTATTTCTTTAGTTGTAGTCAAACAATATTATTCGACTTTACCTAAAGTAGTTCAAATCATTCTTCTTGACACTATTAATAGATAGTGTAGGCGGTTTTTATTAAACCTTATCCTATTTCTACCTTCCAATATCTGGCTATGTATATACTTAATATCAAATCAAGTAGAAAGTCATCCTTTGATGTAATTCACGGCCTAGATAAGTTGAATTATCATCCAATATACCAATGGCATGATTATGCTTATAAAGTAAATAAAGATTAATCCTCCGCAATGCGAAAATATTAAAAAATTTATGGATGTTAGATTTTCTTTTTTTCTCAATTTAATTTTCGAGGACTCTTTCTGTTTGCACTTTACGATACAGCTATAACGTCACAATGAACTATAAATCTTGATTAAGCTGCTGATAATACATTTAAAAAATTGCCCCTGTTAGAATGTAGAACAGAATCGCCTTTTATTCAAGCGCCAATATGGGCAATGGTTGAAATACCATATACGAGTAGTGTTGTCGTGAAGTATACAAATTTTATGAACATTTATTAGAAATTTCTTTAACTTTTCTACAGTAATTTATATTTAGCATTAAGGTTAATGAGTCACAATAATCATTTTAACAACTGTATTCCCGGCTTGCGATTGAACAGTTGTTACTTTTCTCGCAAAGTATGCACGTACCTGTACAATTCAAGAGGCGGTTCATTTTATTAATTAATATTTTTTTCTGATTTCAACTTCTTTATTAAGAAAATAACTAGCCATTATTTTCCTTTTGACTAAAATGATGTCAATTTGATCAGTCATGTAGCAGATAAAATGTTCAAGATTATCATCTTTTAATGTGGAAACTGTAACTAACAACGACTTCCCGATAGCTGTTTTAGAATTGACACAATATATAGTAAAAGAATGCATAAAATAACAATGTTAGACAATATCTATTTTACAATTTTATTACGCTACAATGCTTGCAGATGTAATAAAAAGACACGTAATATTAGTTTCATATTCTTTACTAACAATACTCATTTATATATCCTCTATTTATTGCTAATAGATTAATCTTGAACTCAGAAACAGGAAATTTACTCTACGATTATTATCAGGTTGGTTATTGATTTGATGAAGACTTTTTGGGAGGGGGAAAGAACTGTATTCCATAGTAAGCTGTAATTCGATGCTATACCACTTTTTATAAAAGTATTTATTAGTATAAATAATTAGTAGCCATACTACAGTTCAAAATTATGCCTATGTCGGATACGTAGTATATAGCTACGGTCCTTAGGCAGTTTGCTTGAAGACTCCAGCGAAAGAATTATTTTATTCGTAATTCTATGAGGCAATTCTACTGTAAATCTCCTTGTACTCTTCTATTGTACATCAAATCAGACGTGATTAGGCTACCATCAGCCTCTTTTCTCCTATTTAAGCCTATATTCATTCTATTAGCGTACAATATCCTCAAGTTAAAATTATCTTAAAAATTTTTATTGTAATTGCAGCTATAAATAATGTTGACTAGATTGTAAAATAAATGAATTTTTCACTTCAAGATTCCTACGTGTTAATCATATAGATATTACTATCACTGAACTTCTCTTTGTATCATAATTATAAGTCTTACATATAATTGCATGTTAAAAATATTAGCTATTACTTAACTTCGACTGTAATATACGGTAAATCGTTTCGCGGATGCAATTCAAATACCAATCTAGTTTTCTTTCTCGGTACGTCTTTGTGAAATGTAGTAGACGTACGCTATTACGAAATCTCATAGATTCATTCATTCTATCTATTTCAAAATATTAGGATCATTTACTAAAGAAAGGAATGATTATTTTACGAGAAGAAGTCAAAGATCTTACTGGTAAGAGCTACTTTGATAATGTATCTAGTGCCTGTTAAGCGATATTTAACCCAAACAAATTAACCCGCTCAAAGAGCATATGCCACTTTTATTACAGTATATTTATCCACTGTTAATCACAGCATATCAATAATATTAAATCTGTGATCTCTGCTCAACTTGAAGTTATAGGATAGGTTATAAAAATAACACATATACTTAGATAGGCAATCTAAGACCTAGAACTGTTGTAGTACAGAATAAACGGGATGTAGTAGCTACTATTCCACGATATCCTAAAGTGGCGTAAATTTTCCCGTAGTTAAAGGATTAATTAGATTTGCATACACATAAATGATATAACGATAGTATCACTTTGATAAAAATATTAATCCAATAGTTTATGTGCAGGTGATGAATTATTAAAGAAATTGGTGATATTGTGGAATCAATTTTTCGTCGATATTTTGCCTGCCTTACAGATTTTATTTCACCCTATTCAGGTAATTTTATATTATATTATTTTATTTTCTAAAGTGATTTATAATTATCTTTCATAACCCAATACACCATATATCGCATTCGTAAATAAATATGAACTACTAATCAAACCTCTACAATTTTGTAGACAAGGCATTTAAGCATCCGTCAGGTAGCTTTAGTGAGTTTTAGAGACATTCTTTTATTGAAAACAAAAATTGAAGGTTAGAATATGTAATCAAATTGTTTGGCAAAATGGAATTAAATGTAGAAAGTGTTTTGTAATTGATCACGTAGGAGACTGATTTAAGATATTTACTCTGTATTTCATAATGGTATATACTGTAGTATGGTAACTTTGCTATTTCAGGCTCTTAAATTTTGTTTTACTTTTTATCTTAGAAACAATTTTACTCGAAATTGCGACTATAACACCATCTATCCAACAAATGCTGTTGGTTTTATTGGTAAGGCATATATGCTATCGCTATACATATTCACAATACTGTTTGTACTATCCTTTTTATTCGTAGCATATATCTCTACTGTATCATCCGATGATATTAAAGTATTTCTAACGCCGTAATACATAATTTTAACATTATCGTACCTGTGTTTCTTCTATTTTCAATCAGCTTAAAATCATAATTATGACATCATTTCAATTTTCAATTTATTGTAATTCCGTAGTAAATTAATAATATGCAGCATCTATGCTGATATTGATATGCCTTTACATTTATGACATTAATGCCATATTTTCAAAGCTGATATTTCGTCACTATATCTATTATTAAATACTTTTAGAGCGTTCATGATAAATCACCACCCAATGAAGAATATATACGCTTAGAAAAAATGGCAGCCAAAGTAGTTAAGCCTTACATGCCGGTTAGTTATCGAAGCAACAATCTTGATACAGTAACACCAGATAATCCATATCTAAGGAGAATCAGAGATAGTATCTTAGGTAAGGTTTGGAATAGTTCTCTTTCATATTTGGGTTATAAGTCCAAAGTATAAATTAGCATAATGTATTAATATGTAATGTACCTTAACTAGTGAGATAGCAAATATACTAATAGCCATTTTAAATCAGACGGAATTCGGCAAATAATTAGAAAAGCAGCAGTTGTTCTATTTGGTAGTATCGTTAAAATCTTAGCACGGTCTATATTAATATTAATTTATTAATCGTTTTACTTCTTTATACAAATAAAGAAGATAAAGATATTGTCATGAAAGTGCCAATTGTACTCAGGTCCGAGTCTGCGTCATTTAGTAACAGTCGTGATACTAGTAATGATTTCAGAGCATCCTTAGTAAGTGGTGGAATAACCTTCGATGCAAGGCCGCATAGTTTCGCTGGAGATTTGCCGTTACGTCGGAAGCACAGGGTTACTGTATTATAATAGTTAAAGTGGTACACTCGTAGGTTGAAGTATTGCTCTGCAAGTTGAGCGGCAGCTTGCTATCCTGATTTATGATGGGATGACTGAAATTGCTTTGACTGGTTTTATAAAGAATTGGCTATTAGGTTTTCTTATACTATCTATCAATGATTGTAATATTGTATAATAACATATTTATCCAACATAGCCGGTAATTCACGGTACATACTTAGGTAACCTTGAAAATCCATTAACCTGTGACATTTATGTAGCAGCTAGTAAACTCTTTAAACACTGTTTACAAATCTATACGAAGATCAGTCATTAAAAATGTTGATTTATGATATCATACTGTGAATCTGTAAGCCTAACTATGGATCGACATGGCGAAACTGTCATATCGTATACATTTGATTTTAACCACGCTACAAGGGTTATAACCTGTTTCGTTATATTTTATATAATTTATGTATAGGATACACGACAATTAATTCCATTTACGTCGGGTGGTCTACCGGCACCGATAATAGAGAATTAGAGAAGGAATACGAATTAAATTACCTGAAGTAACCCATGTATTTCGTTGATTGTTCTTTCATAGTGACTAATAACAATTACTATTTCATTAAATAGATTTTGACAAACAAAATAATCGGATTTATGACGCTTCATCCATTGTATACCGACTCAATAAAGCATTCAATTTTCGGAAATACATGAATTTATTGAAAAGTGGTGATAATGATAGTTGTTTCATTTAAACTACAGTTCGTATAGACCTCGTACGTTGCCTAAGTATTGTAGAAGATTGTACGATCTAGTAAAACATCGGTAGTACTAACAGTTACTAATATGCTTGCAATATGAATGAAAGAATTGTTATCCTACAGAATTAGGCTGGATAAAGGAGCAATCGCAGGTATTCAGGAGTCACAATAAAATTTAACCTACTTGAAATATAACATAAATGTATAGAGTGTATCCCATATCAAAGCGATTAAAGAATACTTGAAGCAGTTAGGTAGTAAGTATTGTACAATGACAAAGAGTAACCGAAGAAGGTCATTATACACAATATGTATACCTAACAAGGTACGTATTAACGAACAGCATGAATCATACTACAGTATTAAACAGGTTATCAAATGTCAGTATCAAACATCATTTCGGTATCTGTCAGATTTTACAACCGTCGTAACTAGACTCAGCACATAAGTATAAAACTGCTCTTGGGCGATCGCATTTTTTATGTACCAAATAATGTAATTAATACTAGCATTCTAATATATCTTTTCAAATACTTGATACAATCAAATCGTGGCTATGGCACGAAGGTAATAAACCTCTTACCACACAATTAGATAAAAAGCTAACAAATATTCAAACCAACAGTTCATAACTAAATAGAGTGAGCTATAACAACATTTTTGATCTCACTCTGATATTTAGTAATTAGTTAACATACAGAAATAGAAATCTCTCTTTCGAGATAGACATTAGCAAATAACATGTTGCGGCTTATTGTCAGGGCCGTATATCGCCCACCACTAGGTCAATTTACTTAAAGTTTAGTTGTCACCATTTGCTATTTCCATAGAATTATCACCATCTACAATTGCAGAACTACATAAATATAGGTAGAATTAGCTTAAACTTTCTCCAATGTTCTCATAAGAATGTCTTTTAATTAATGTAAACTACTGTACTATGCTATACTATCACAATTCGGCCAACATACCTCATTTGCGACGAATTTTCCGATTGAGATTTTTGATTATTTTCACTAACACTATTATCTATCTCCATAACTTTCGGTTCTTCCGTTTGATGTCTAAATAATATTACAATACTATAAATATGCAAAATGTGTCAAAGATGAACGCAATAGCAATACTCTACTTACGGGGATATCTCTATCGAGTTAGATTCCGATGAGGCTTGTCTATAAAATAATTTATGTGGTTACTTAAGGTACAAAAGGGTTTTTCAACAGTAGTATCTAAACATACTTTCCAAAATCTGCCCAATTCCCATCAGATATATTAGATCCTTCATCAGCAGGCTTAGACCATATCCCTTCATCTGATACTTGAGCGTTGAAATTTGCTGTCCAGGATGCTATTATCGTAGGACACGAAATAAATGTCTTAATTATTAGTGCTTGCATTTAACAAAATACAGCCATTAAAATTAATTTATTGTTTACCGCTATTATTTTGATCATTTTCACCCTGCTCTGATTGAGCAAAAGGATTCGAAAAAGAAATAAGTCGATCGCCATCTCCAGTACCATCGTCTGATGAATCACTATCGCTGCTACTCCTATTGTGCTCAGTATTATCTTCTTTTAGCGCTTGCCTATATCGAATAAGGCCATATAAAGTAAAGATCAGAATAATATAAACATATTAAGACAATTCAAGTAAGGAAATACTATACAATAGTAACAGTTGTCATAAATATCAATAGAAAGAAACTAACTCATGGGATTCGCTGGTAATTGAGAACTCGCGTTCTTCCCAGACATCTTCGGTGGTTTCGTCAAAAGCAGCCATTTTTTCGTTACAGCGTTCTTCGAAAATATTGGCTGAATTCTAAAGAAATATCATCGAATATACGATATGGTGTAAGTATATATTGTAATAATTATTCGTACGTGTACATAGCTACAACTATGAAATGAATTTTCATCACCATGCTATCTTGTACATCAATTTTGAATTTGACATCCTCTAATGCGTCATAGTGAGCCTTAAGGCATTCATCATCGTCTTGAAATTCATCTTCATCGTATGATAATTTATCTATCATACTAGGGCCAAGGTCAGACATTTGATAATGATTGTAAATCTAAAAAATTTCGAAAGAATCGTTAAAATTATATACAGATAGTGAGAACTAGTTTAAAAATTGTTATAGTAATTACCTTCGGTAAATTGCCAGTAACAGCTCTAGGAAAGTCATCCTCATCAGATATGGAGGATGTCCCAGAATTGGTCGGCTTTACTAATTCGATAGCGTTCCTCTTATTTGTCTCCTTAAGAGAACCAGAAATGAACTGATCCCATCGCCCATGTATATCTTCGGCAAGATCTGTATAATCACAATAACTTAATTACTTTTATTACCCTCTTGATCATCATTAACAATGATGTATAAATTGTGATGAAATGAAACTAGTACAGCATTCTTGCCTTTAAAATACGATTGAAGTATCTCTTTATTTGGACCTCTTTCTAATCTAGTAGCTACGGTATTAGCAATTCGAGTAAGATATCCCATATGGCCTCCGCGTTGACCATGAGGATTTGCCCTATCCAAAGTATATACAGCAGTTAGTAAGCTCTTCAATATTAGTCGTGAACCATGCTACATCTCAACAGAAATTTAAAATTTAGACTAACGTTTCTTTCTCGTTGTCTTCCCAATTATCCACTATTTTTTCTAATATCCGGCAGTTTTGGAACAGCTGTTTTGGTACAAATTAAGGTTCACCGTATTATTTAAATCAATATTTGGCAAAAAGCTATAAAAATTTATGTACTTACCGTATTTATCAGAGGAGATACTCTAGCACCATCCTCTTCATTTGGTGTATTGGTAAGGATTGTAACGATACATTGCTCCACATGTAAATGAAGGAAATTATTCCAGGAATATTTGAAGAACAGATCCTACATGATGAATTATACACATGGCCGCATTGTTAAAAAATATAATGTCATTGACGGAAGATTTTTATTATAGCTTGGAAACTTACCCACAATAATTCTAAAGTTCCTAATTTAGCCAATTCAACGTTGACTGCATGAACATTTGTAAGTAGTAAAGCTGAAACTAATTTAGCGACATGCAATCTGACATTTCCTAATGGTGGTTGTAGTAAGCCAGCTGTAGTCCGCATAGCTTGCCTCTGAGAATGGTTCAGTAACATCCTCATTAGTTGAATATTACAGTAATCCTTACAGCAATATACAATATTACACGTATAACACGAGCGAATTTAACTTACACGAGGAGGAGATTTTAAAAGGTCGGTTAAGTCCCTTAACCTAGGTATTATTCCTTGTATTTCATTATCAACTCCTGGAATTGTTGAAAATGTCTGAATTAGAAAGCTACTTAAAATTCTTCGTAAGAATAGATTTGATAAGATCGTACCTTCAGCAAATTCCTTAGTGTCTATAATCACAGATGCGTCTTCTAATTGTTCACTGGTCCTTCGCAGATCTATCATCGCAAGTAATACCTGAATACCACTTACAATAGCAGAATCGCATCTTTCGCCATTTGTTTCTTGCAACATATTTTCTATCAATAGTTGAACAGTTTCTTGCCTGTGCATAGCCATAAGCAAAAAGATTTGATTACAATTGTGTCGGCAACAGCATAAGAGTAATTGCAGTAGACACAATTATAGCTTAGTAATATGCTCACCTTTCAATTGTACGAAGCAAAGGATCATGTAGCTCACTGTCAACCATAGTTGGTAAACGTTCACGTCCTTGTCTAATAATATCACATAGTACTTGCGAAGCATAAGAATGCATCTACAGTGATATGAGTAGTATTTATTAAGAACAATCTTACAATTTCAATTTACATAAATACTGCCAATCTGTTTGAAACAATAGTATTTACTCCGCCTAAATTATTATCATAAGAATTCAGTAAAATGTGGTATACCTCGCTTTCGATTGCTGGATTAATAAGTAATATCAGTTTTGTTATTAGTGATTCTTCGTCCAACCACTTCAAAAATATAAGTATATTGGTCAGAAGATAATACAATTTAAAAAAAAATCTTATAGTTTTACTATTCAACTGAGTTAAAAGCCCATCGTGAAATATGTTTTTTTGCACCGATTGCATTTTATTGCTCGCTACATCTATTAGATAGTATAAGACATAGCTGGTTATCGTTGCGTTCATTTACCTCCAATTTAAGCCAGTATGATAATGGTAACATAATACTGGGGTAAGGTACTGGAGGATATATTCCAAACGATAATATTAAGTACACGGACAAGTACTCAATAAATGTCAAAATTTTAAGCAAGATAGCAAGTACTAGAATTCTTGAACAATCTATAATTATTCGATACGCACTTATACTTGGGTATGGTGTAAACTGACCATATACGTGACAATCTTAAGTCGACGTGTATTTGTTTTATATCGCATTATTCCCCTACCCATATTAACTATATTATAAGATTTTTGCTAAGATAACTAATAATTGATTCCGCTGTAACTACTTATAAATTGCAGGATACAGCCTTTTGATATGTAAGTACAAAAATACTAAGAAATTTACTATATTACCTATGCACTAAAAGCTATGTAAAATATACATTTAAGAAAGATGGCACAGCAAATAATGGGGAATGAAATCTTTAATATGTATAGCATCATTCAATTAAGATATTTGGCATTTATATAACATATTAACGTATTATAATAGTTTTGAGCGGTATTATTGAAAAAATTCATACGTTTCCTTAACTCTTATCAGCCATTGCAACATACAGTACTACTATTATCTTAATTTTCAATGGAATGCAATTAATTTCGTCTAATTGTGCTGTTGCTAGATATCTTGACTGCTATCTTAATTAAATATATTGAATCGAAGTTGTTAATCAAGCAAAAATATTATCAATACCTCTCTGACACTACACTACAACTAACATTTGGGCAACGGGCGATATGGATATCATAGTACCTTCAACAAATTTTTAAAGTGATTCGAAATGTTGTAAGAATAGATTGTACTACATGTAGAAGATAGTTAGGTACATAGTTTTAACGTGAAATGTACCACGGATAACTATGCACGAATAAAGCTTGGCATTGTAAATTTGAAAGAAATGTCGATAACAATCTTATGATAATATACATGTATATTGTTTATGATGTACTGTTATAAAGGGATCGTGTGTATAACTATGAGGACAGAATTTCTGAATGACAACGTACCTTTAAGATGGCAAATTTTAGCTGTGGATTTTCAGTACAGGTGACTAGGCGCATAAGTAAATCCATAATCGCTGATGTATTAAAATGTTTCAGAATAGTATTGACAACGCCATCATGGCCACACAAATAATTAAAGGTAGCTTCTGTATTCCTCTTTAATAATATACCAACAGTCTTGCTAAAAAAGCTAATCACCATTGTAAATAATTGCGTTAATACAGAACGATTTATAATACTATAGTTTACTGATGAAATGAGATTGCTACTCTATTTAAAAGCGATTACTATTCCGTTAATCTGCTATACAATTTATTGGATGTCTAGCTACTGTACTCACACCGATGAGAATTTAACATTGGGATACAAATCAGAAAATATAGAATTTTTAAATACAAGGTTATTGTCATTAACTATCTAGACGAAAATATGATTAATTTCTAACTATCTAGAGCAATAGGTGAAGATAAATCAATTTATTAGATATTTTTTTGTAATTGGTTTGATTGTCAACGTACCTAGCTAATAAAGGATTTAAGGGAGATTCATTATCTAGAAATGACCATAGCTTTTCAGTTAGTGCTGGTTCTTTAACTAAATTTTCAGTAATTGAGAAGACGTCGCAAGTTAAGATTTCGCAAGATGTACTTGGATACTTGAAGCGACTTTTTTCATCGACATCTTCTGAAGGTTCATTTACAATATAATTGACCATTGCTTCGATTGAAGTTGGCCTAGACAGACTGTACGAGTAATGACAATAGATAAATATTATAGTTAGGCAATTTATTATACACTGTACGTTGACGAAGATGATATCGAAAATAAAAGAGAGAAATTTTAAGATGTATTCTATCTTCGTAGATATATACTAATACCATAGACGCCGGTAAAAAAAAATATATATGATAGTTTATTCCATATAAAAAATAGCGTTCAATGGAAAAACGAAAATAATAAGGATCGATCGGTTCTTACGATAAGTTGTAGATGTATATATTTATGATAATAACAAGCATATAGTTGGCGACTGTTTCTAGAGTTAAATACGGACAGCGAAGTTATCCATGTATTCCGAGTTTGAAATTTGTCATTTTTTTTTATCAAATGGTCAAGATTTGGTAACTGGTTTTCAAAACAAGTACGGTGGCGCACTTTTTTTGTACGAGTTATTCGCGATTACTTTTATCCCGTCAAGTAAAAAAATAGTCAAACTATTGGTTATCAATTGAGCAATAAGGCAACAGTAGTTGTTCTTTTTTATTTCGCTACAACAGTATCTTAGAAAAACAGACGACGTTGAAAATAACTTACAACTCAATTAATTTAGTATTCTGTGCTTTACATTCTTGTAAGACATCGTCTTCATCGAGAACTTCTTCAATGGTTACATTCTATAATTGATAATATTAGAAAATCAATTAACTTACTCTGTATCAGGTAGTTGCATTGACATTTTTAATCTCATAAATGATGATTAGCATTTAGCGCAATGCGTCATAGAATGAAACAGTGATGAAGAAAGCAATCTCCACATCAAGATATTTTTCTAAATTACGTCTAGTATAGTATAATTATTCATCTTTCAGTGATATCTGTCACGTAAATTATTCTTTACATGACCTATTTATTACAACTAGGAGAATGATACAAGTAACTTTAGGTATGATAAATACATGATCAATTTTTTAATCATATATAAACAAAATGATTGACTACGTTGTTACCTCTTTACATAAGATAGAGTCGATAGCAGACACTTGATGATAGTTAAATTTCCAAAACATGTTGTAGATTGTTATAACCAGCAGCAAGCGATTTCTAATTTAAAGATATCAATCCCAGTTAGAAATAAGAGTAGATAAATAAGGTATTTTTATCGAGGATAATGATTCATCATTGCTATGTTCATGATTAGAAATGATAATACTCTCATGGATAATATTGCTAACACGTTGTCATTCTATACTGTTGACTTGGCAGTTATAAAATAATACTTTGACAAGATTGATCTTAGAGTTATTCTTGCTATTTAATTCTCGTTACAAATTCATCATTGTCAACTTTAAGTAGAATAAATTGTACATTAGAGTTGTAAACAATATTGAAAAAGTCGAAATTAAAAGGGGGATTGAGTCTATCGACAATCTTTTCTTTTCCGCTTGAACTGTGTAATTAAGCAAGTGAGGTAGTTGATTTATATAGGAAATGAGTCATTAGTTGTATGGCGTAGGACAAACTCTATACCACAGTATAGCCAGTGTAGTCTAGTCTAGTACAGTAGATAGTGGTAGGCTAAGCGAATCAACGACAGCCAAACTGGGATACAACTGTTGAAAGATGACTGACATGATGATATTTTCCTCTATCCTTAATTGATTAATTTATATTTTAATAGAAAGAATACTTACTAAATCATCACATTGAACTAAGAAGATCTTTCTATGTTTCCTTTCTTAAATAGGATAACGATAGAGGTAGAGTAATCGATGAATTAATTTCTGGTAGACGTGTGTTGGAATTTTTTTCCCCAAGTCTTTCAATATTGCAGTATACTTTGATGTCAATTTACCAAGTCTCTCTTCTTTTAGTCTCACCCCCAAAATATACTTGTGTGAATTAGTGCAACTTTTCTAGCTAATCAACTATCTTAATCTTGAAATCAACCAAAGGATAGAACCAGTTCAATTATCTTTGTCATAAGCTTTCAAATAATACACACATGGAATGTCTATTTTCCAATTTTCCTGCTGACAAGAGAATGGTTGGATAATACAGAGGGGCAGATGGGCAAAACTATCGTTGGACAACGTTTTTCAACTAGTTTATGTTGACTGCGCAGGGTATTACAAAGTCGATTATAGTTCACTAGTTTATTTTACGACTGCATTCTAACAGTATAATGTACAAATCAAAGATACCAATGAAAGTAATCCTTGCTGAAGAGTTGGAATTGAATTTCAAAGAGGGTAAAGGGAACACGCTTGCCGCCGCTTTGACACTTTTTTTACAGAAATGTTGCCTGCCCTAGTCATCGGCAAGGCAATAACGACGAGAGTCGTATCAAAGCAATGTAGCCAGCTTGTAGTTATAACAGTATGGGCTGAATGAGTAGTTCGATTGCAATACGATCGATTCCCACTGTACAGTACAGTACCGTACAGTGTAAGGTACGGTGATGTACAATACAATGCATGGTCAAGTACTGTACAGTGCAGTACAGTACAGTACCGTGCTTTACAGTACTGTACAGTACACTGTACACAGTACTACAGTACGGTATCGTACTGTACACTGTACACTGTACACTGTAAAACTGCTGACAGAAATCTTCCGCGTCCAGTCCAGCACTATACAGTGTATTGTACTGTAAACTACAGTACAGCGTACTGTGGACCCCCTCCTCTGTACAGTGTACAGTACTGTACAGTACAGTACCACTTTTACAGTATAATAATATAGTACTGTACACTGTACACTGTACAGTATTTTATGCTAGTACAGTGTTTTCATCCGCAAAAATAAGATGAAAACCTTATACTGTACCGTACAGTAATATTTGTAATTTATCTGTAATTTAGCTGTACAGTATATTCAATTCATTCAAATTTACTAACGAAATTTAGATGTCATATATATATATAGACAGGTAGTGAAAGATCTACCGGACTTTAGTGAGCGTTATTATGAAACTGTTCAAGAATAAGCCTTACTGGACAGCTCGGTGCAGTAGAATACTGTACCGTGTACACCTTGCTCAAAGCGTAGGACTAGTCCGTGGCTGAAATTGTACTGTACTACTGTACAGTACAAGGTGTACTGTATATCTCTTTTCTCTTTCAGGTGTACTCGAAGTTATACATTGTATTCTGCACCTTTTGTGGCATGTTTCATGTTTTGTTAGTACATTACTGCAATGGAATTTCAAGAGCTTAAGTGGACACCATCAGTCATCTATGATACTAAACTTACCCAAGTGTAATGTCATGGATTACTAAATTTAATTAAAGCGTACGACTACAAGACAATATAGTAATCCGATACAGTGAGAAATCGTAGCCGCTGGTGACATCATTGGCTTGATTTCATATTACGTATATGATCGTTACGTAGTAATGTACAATAATATTATTGGAGCACTGTTTGAGACACAGATATGAGTCATAGCATTGTGAATAGAACATCAACTAAACAGAATTCTTATTTGCACGGCATGGTTAACTAAATAGTCTTTAACAGTAAACAATACTATACTGTACTGTAGAGTATACCACTTTTGCTCTTCCTTTGCGATATCTTGGCAACAATTGACACTGATCTTCATATAGGTACTATTTAACTTGAATTCTCAACCACTATGATGATTTACAGATGAGCTTTTACCTCCACTAGTATGAACGTATCAACTACGGACTACTCAACAATCCGCATAGTCTACTGTATGTTCCAAACACGGGAGTCGTGACCTCGTTGCCCTCACTTAGTATAGAGTACAGTACCGAACCGCTGCCATGTGTACCTCTAGTGGAGTAGTGATGTGCAGTAGACCATGTTATTGAATGCATAATAATTGAGAGACATTTGTGCATACATAACCACTATTAATATTATTATTATTAAATGTTTGTTAGTTTTAGAGTCGGACGAGGACGGAAATAAGAAATTTCCATCAGGAGATTTGAATTTCAGTAACTTTGCAAAATGCTATTTGACCGCGCACTGTAGACTGTAGACTGTAGACTGTAGACTGTACACAAGGACAGCTCAGAAGTTGTGTGACCCGCGGGTCACTCACTCACCCCGTATACAGTACTGTACAGCTGTTTCATGAACAACACACACTCATGTATGAAACTCACTGGTCCACTCAGCCCAGTACGGTACAACCACATGTGCTGTCAAGGACTACTACAAGAATGGCGATGAATGGCACTAGCGGTGGTTGGAGCACATACAGTTTGCAGTAACAGTACCGCAAAGTAGAAGTCACAGGCTGACAGCTAGAGTTCAGGGCAAGTTGAACTCCATCGTAAGGAGACGAAGAAGAGCATCTCGTTAGAACCTAGATAGCCGCATTGATATCAGCGTGTTGTTCCGTTATTTGGCAGTAATTTTTGAAATAGGATACTGTATTGGTAGCAGAAATGGCATCAAGGATACTTTCTCAACCAACAACTATGACATTCCGAAGGCTAACAAAGCAAATTTCACCTCTAGCTAATTTTCCATCTGTTAGGATGGCATCTAAAGTCGCCACTTCCAAGATGCCCAATATTGTTTTAGTCGATGCCGCAAGAACACCTTTTTGCATGTCTGGGACTCATTACAAAAATTTAATGGCGTATGATCTCATGCGTGGGGCAATGATAGAATTAGTTTCTCGAACAAACCTCCCAAAAGATGCTTTAGACCATGTTGCTGTTGGCACTGTTGTACAAGAAGCACAAACTTCTAATATCGCTCGAGAAGCACTATTAACTGCCGGCTTTTCCGATAAAGTTCCGGCTCATACGGTAACGATGGCCTGCATATCGGCCAATCAAGCAATAACATCGTGTATGGGTTTAATTGCTACCGGCCAAGCCGATACGACTATTGCTGGCGGTGTAGAATTTCTTTCTGATGTTCCTATTAGATTATCACGCGGACTACGTCAAAAATTGATGGATATGGCCAAAATTAAATCCGCCGGCGGTAAAATTACCTCCCTTGCTTCTCTAAAATTAAAAGATATTGGTTTAGAGCCACTGGGTGTATCGGAATTTTCTTCCGGCGAGACGATGGGCCATAGCGCAGATCGTCTAACTTCAGCATTTAAAGTTAGTCGCAATGAGCAAGACAGCTATAGCATACGTTCTCATACACTAGCTGCAAAAGCGACTAAAGAAGGAAATCTGAGTGATCTCTTTCCTTTTCAAGTGCCAGGCACTACTAATGTTGTCAGTGCTGATAATGGAATTAGAGTGTCAACACCAGAACAAATGGCTAAGTTAAGGCCAGCTTTTGTTAGACCCTATGGTACTGTCACTGCTGCAAACTCCTCATTTTTGACGGATGGTGCAAGTGCTGCTTTAATTATGTCGGAGGAAAAAGCACTAGAATTGGGTTACAAGCCTAAGGCATACCTACGCCAATTTGTATACGTATCGCAAGATCCAAGAGAACAGTTGCTGTTAGGCCCTGCTTACGCCACTCCTGCTGTATTAAAGAAAGCTGGTTTAAATTTATCAGATATTGATGTTTTTGAATTTCATGAAGCTTTCGCAGGTCAGATACTAGCCAACTTGAAAGCCCTAGATTCTGATTGGTTTGCTCAAAAGTATATGGGCAGGTCAACCAAGGTCGGTGTTCCACAATTAGAAAAATTCAACTTATGGGGTGGATCTTTATCTATTGGACACCCCTTTGGTGCGACTGGTACTCGATTGGTATACCATGCAGCTGAAAGACTACGCAAAGAAGATGGGAAATATGCTTTAGTTGCTGCGTGTGCAGCTGGTGGTCAAGGCCATGGCATTATTGTAGAGCGTTATCCATCTAAATAAATAATGATTTTAATTTTAATCAATAGTAGTATTATTGCTAATTCATTCGCAATTAAAAATAATATGTAAAAGGCCGCAACAATTCACAATGTACAGCAATATTGTTTTTGATATACGTGTATACCTTGTTAAAATATAGGCTGGGCTGTATTTTGTATCAAAATGAAAAATGTTGCTTTTTTATTCGATAACAACTACACCATGTAACTTCATGATCTCAGTAAAACAATACAGGTCTTCATCAAGCGTTCCGCTAACATAATGACGGTATACAGAACCGTTAAAAGTTAGCAAAATGTTATACTACCCGCATGCGGTACTGAGATATTTACATAGGTTTTGATTGTATCACAACATATTCATTTTGCTCACAAAAGAATTTACTGGTATAGTATACTGTATAGGTTTTATGTTATACAAATGTTATAGCATGACTGCAACGTTGTATGCGGAATGTTTTGCTTAGGCAATTTATGCATCTAACATACGTATAGTATTATTATTGAACTTAAATCTAATAAAATGTGTTGCTGCAAGTCTTTATATAACGGCATTTAAATAAATAAACAGTTTTCTCTTGTGAGGTAAATTAATTTAAATCATCAGATTTTTTGTTATTGCTTCGTAATTCAGATAAAAAGATAAAATGCTTGTTAACTTTAATTATGATGCATTTGTAAACTTTAAATTCTATCGTATACGAGTAGTGGAGCCCGTAATACCCTAGTCTAATGGCATGGGTGCTAGATTTTCAATACTTTACTATCCTAAATTATTATACACTAGGACTACTGTATTAAGTTCGTATGCTATTCTTGAATCGCTGGACAGTAACTTGCAAGTAGTTAAATGCTTTCTTTGGAAAAATAGATCAGAATTTTTAGACAAAATCTATTGTAAATTCAGTTTTAATGCTCTCATTGGGTTAATTTCATTTAAGAAGAGTCGTTGTACATGTCATCATTGAGAGACAGGCATGGACGTTAGCTCATGCATCAACATTGCTTGATAAAATTATAATTATATGCGCAAAATCCTAAATGCACAAGTAAAGAAGCTGTCTATGCAATATACTAGAACCATATGTACAGTACACATTCATAAATGGACATAATTTATATTTCTACGACCAAGAAGAATGTGTGAAGTCGTGAAATTAACTTCCATATTATATTTTAGTGCAATACATAAAGTGTATAATGATCATAAGCAATATACATAGTATATACGCGTATATCTTGTAAGTCTTGAAAGAATTGAATGCCCAAAACTATGTAACTTTTGCGATAAATTAACCGTTAAAACATGAAAACAGTTTCACATTTTTTCAGTATAGATTATACTGTACAATAACATACAGTGCATATAGCATAAGTATCCATATAATCCATAAATGGCGATGATAGTTGTTAATTATGATTATACAATCAGTGGTCTGCAAAGATCTTTACTTTTAATGTAACCCAAGTACCACGGTAATATTAATTATTTTGGGGCCACCAAAGTGGTTTGCTGGCTGTAAGAGTTACTTCAGTGTTGTTTGTTGTTTTAACAGATAACAATCCAGACAAGCTGCAAAACAATTATTCAATCAACGTCTGGCTTATCAGATTGTAAATCATTAGTACGAACTATGACGATTATAATAATAATAATACTTATAATCTACTGGAAGAATTGTATCTTTACAAAACTTGAAAACACTATGTAGTAACGACCCATGGTCGATAGAATTTGTGTACGGTGTAGATTAGCATTTACTGACCTATCAGCAATTCTTAGTAATGCAACCCCATACTTTCCCGAAAGAGCTCGTAGCTTGCCACAATTTTTATTCTTATCATTTAATACAGTTGAGCCAAGGAAAGCAGCATTATCGTCACTAAAACATTGAAGTGTGCATAGAATTATTCTTGCGCAAAATTATAAAGTTCTTCATCATAAAGTAAGCATAGCATTAATAACAGAATGGGGTACGAATAGGATTAATTGATTAATTAATGATTCATTAACACTGTGTAGAATATCCTTCATTCGGTCTAGCGTATGTTCATAGTACTTACATTGGATTTAAGAAAATAACCGGCATGAGGCGTTTTCTTATAACGCCAGTGTGATAAGTTCTAGCAGTCAGTTCTTGTCCCAGATAGCATCCTTTATCAAATTTTACTGTAATTGGTAATTGACATATTTGTTAAAAGAATTGGATAATACTTTATTGATGCATGTACTATTACAGAACATGGCATACACGTACCTCCGTCAAGATAATCTAGATTGTATTCTAATGGTAATGATTCCCCTGTAATTACTTCTGATACTCCTTCACAAATTCCTAATTTCATGCGATCATCCACATATTCTTGATAATTTACATTGATTAAATTTTGAGCGTATTCAGATACTGTGTGAGGAAATATAGTAAAATCTTTATAGTTAACGAGTATAAGTAAAATTGAATAAAACATATTGCCCTAAATTTAACATCACGTAAATGATAGGTTAACGCATTTCGTCGATACAACGTACAATTCTTGTGACGAGGTATTATTATCCTCTCTCCTAGTTTTCTATGTTGACGCAAAATAAATTACAAACACATATTAATAGACTATAAATATAACAAATATACGTTAATATGAAATCATCGTATCATCATGCACTATTTTTTGTAACTTACTGCAGACGAGGATCTTTCGTTCTTAGAATTGGCTCATTTTTAAATGCTAGCGATTCTCTATCATTATATTTAGCCCACCATACTGCTAACTCCTGATCTACATTGACGATGTCAACCTAGATGAATGTAATATTAGCCTGTTAGCATTCCTATCTTATGCTAGCAATCATATTGGATGAAACATTCGTTTAATAATAATACATACGTATGCACTCATCATGATTTATTGCATTTAATAATTTGGCCTCGATTTATTTCATATACTCGCATACAGGTATTAGAAAATTATGCCAATACCTACCTTCGATCTTAATTTGTAAAATTTGCAGTGATTCTCGATTGCTGTATTTACGCGAACGTCACATTCTAAAAGGTAATATTCTTCATCGTCATTTCTATTTTTATATAATAGGATATCGTATAAGATTCGACCCTAAAAATATAATGAATATGAAGAAATATGTAACATTACCCATAGTTATTATAATTTCCCGAAATTACTATTTATAAGTACAAGAACATAGTGAAGTATAATTATCATAGTACTGTAATTAATAATAATATCTATTTTATATAAACGTAACAATAAAGATAATACTACAGCTAACCAGGTATCGAACAGGTCTAGGACATTATACCCTCATACTGGTATCATCGACTTGATAGAACAGTATAACAAATTGAATAACTTGGATCATTCGGTGAATTTATTTCGATGTTTACACTTTGCGGTTATATTAATATCGCTTACTGTTAAGGTAATACATCCAAGTTCGTTACGGAGTAGCCGCTAATGACAGACTCCTTATGTCGAAAAAGCATAAAATTCATCCAGATATCGAAGAACATACTCATGCATATAGGATTTCTGGGAAAGATGTACGAGTTATTCATCATAAATACTTATCGTCGTATAATTTATGTGAAAAAAAGCTACGACTAACTGATCTAATTACAGTATAATTACTAAACCGAGAGGCGTAGACTCTCATAGTACCAGCACATTCATGCGAATTTACAGTACAGTATAAAAACCGTGAGAGCACGCCTATTACATCACGTCCACTCGTACAGTAACCTTAATAGGTAATAATTATTTGTGGAATCGATACAACTATGATCCTCCAGTTTAGTTAGAATCTCTAGAAAGTTTCATTCTTTAAGAATTTGATAGTTAGGCAAATCATCTTTCTTTAGAAATTACCTTCGGATTCAACAACATGGCATAAGATGCCGGTTCTGTGGTATTGATGTCATTTGTAATCAAACCTTGTAGGAAAGTGGCAGCATCCGGACCGGATATCCTCAATAAAGATCGTTCGAGGAGAGGTGCACATTCAATACATGCCTGTAATGTGCTCTTATTTGTATATAATCGGTAAAGATTTTTATTTATTATATTCTGTCTGAAAATTCTTGGCAAAATTTGCATCCTGGAGCCGAATGCTTTTCCTTTACTACCACACAAGATGAGCGAGCCACTTACTGAATATTTTCTATTGGGCGCTTATATATTTACAAGTTATACCGGGTTCGGATGTACATACTGTACTGTATACTGTACCGTATGTTATATAACGCATGCGTTATTCATTATCAATAATGGGATCGTATGGCGCACTGCTACTGGCCACTAGCTGTGAGTACTCAGTACAGTACTGTACTGTACACTCCGTGCACGTCTGGACTCGTTTCAGCTTTCAGCTCATGATCAGGCTGCACAAATCGGATGCATGTTTAGCTAAATTCGGAACTCTCTATTTCTTCTAAATTCACAGTCAATTTGCAAACTGTTGTGTCATAGCTCTGTTCCTTTATTAGCTTTCTGCTTGCGTTTGCAGTACGTCTATCTTAAGGATTAGACGTAAGCTGTAGTAAAACTCTAACAAACATACAGGATAGTTGTTTGTAAGTCAATTATAACAAATACTGTACGTGCATAATAAATTTTAGATCTGTTAGAAATGGAATAAATTAACAATAATTCGGCTTCGTCATTTGGACTAAGTAACAATCAGTAAGAAGTGCACTGTATTGCATGATTGAGCTAGCGGCTAGAGTTGAAAGCAGCATTTTGGCAATAACAAATGGTGGATCAATTCGATTAGACAAATGGCTTAATTAGCCTTAATAATATCTCGATTATTAGCATCAGTAAAACATCGAAAATCAATATACGCCTTTATGCACAAACCAAAATATGTAGAAGTTGCAATTAATCGCCTCTGCTACCCCGAGGTGCTGCCGCTGTAATTTCTTCCCAATCTGGCCAGAACTTTTCTTTCATTCTTTCAACATAGTCTACTAAATTGGTTAGCTCTGTTGTTAGTAGTTGATGACAGTAGCCCGACTTAGGTGTTGCATACAGGATATTCGCCAGACAGCCAAACATGCATGCATCTACTGTAGTAGGAGTATCTGCTAAAAAGTAATCTTTGCTTCCAAGAATTACTGAAAAAGCTCTCAAATCCTGCTTGCCAATATGGTGTATCTCTTCCGTAGAATGTCTTCCAATACCATGTCCATACATATACTCAGAAACAATTTGCGGGCCTTGATTCTTGAAAAATGATCTCCAGTTTGGCCGGACGTCGATCATGTCAAGCCATTCTTCCTTTGCGTCGAAAATTCGAGTTTGTTCAATCGTAGCCCAAAATGTGTTCTCCTCCATGGTTTTAGTCAGTAATTGAGCCAATGCTTTCTTCTCAGAGCTGAGCTCTCGATCTAAATCAACTGAAAACTCTTTACTTAAATGCTCAATACAAAATGAGGAATCTGCAACTTCTTTATCATTGACGATGATCCAAGGTACTTTCCCTTTACTGGACATGGTAAAACTGTAGTCATTCTCATAGGGAATATTTGCCATCCTTAAATAAGTTTCCAACTTGAGTGCAAAAGCAGCTAAGCTGGGTACTAAGCAGTTGCGGTCCACTTGAAAGAGTAGTACCTTGCCATGAGGAATATCGTAGTGTTTCCTGCGAGGTGCAGTAGGTCTGTAGATGCTGCCATTTTTGAACATGAAATATGTTGCAGCTGTGGCCGCTGCTACGCCACAAGTAACTGCGATTGGATGATCGGAAGCAAAGGATAATAAATTGGACATTGCAGAGGTATGTTGCTTAGAATAAAATGAGAAGAGAAGCTAAAGGCGAAGGCTCGGTTGTTAAATAATAACCGAAGCAAGCACGTACAGTACAGTAAATAGCTCAGCTCAGCTCAGCTAAGCTCAATCGACCAATAAGGCGCTTTGTACAGTGTACAGATTACAGTGCATTACACCGATAGACTGTATACTGTACACTGTAGTACCTGGCCCCATGCTCGTACCATAAAATTGTGCAGTACTCTACGGTACTGTACTGTATGGTGGACTACCAGAAATTCTATACAGTACAGTACTGTACTGTCTAGCACTTTGCGCATCTCAGAATACGTACCCTCGACGTCAGAAGTTGCCTTAGCCTAAACCCTCCTCGTCAAGTAAAATTAGTCGACTGTCTACCTCTATTTTCTTGTTTAGTTCTGCTTCTCATCCCTGTGCGGAAGTCATTTCTAGCATTGGTTGACTGAAAATCGAATAAATTCACCATCAGAACGTAGGTGGCCATCGAGATTTCTTCTCCATTATACTGCACTGTGCAGTGTACACAGTATACAGTGCTACAAATTTGCGATCATCGAAATATTCAGTACGTAGAGAGTAGAGAGTCATGGGTGAAAGGAAAGTCTTAAATGTAAGTAGAATGTTCTCTGTTTAGATATCTTTCTAGATAGGTCTTAAATCATGTTGTTATAGGATAGAATCAGCTGTACTGATCTTTATATTCTTCATCTATAGAAATATTATCCTCCAGATTTCGATCCAAGTAAAATACCCAGATTAAGATTACCTAGAGATCGTCAATATACTGTTCGTTTGATGGCTCCTTTCAATATGAGGTAAGCAATCAACAATGTTGTCCTCATACTGCATTAGTTAAAGATACTTTTGTGGGTAGATTTTGACTCTCGTACTTCTTCCCGGCATAAAGTAGCGTATAACTCAATTTCTTTACTCGATAGGTGTACGACATGTGGTGAATATATCTATAAAGGCAAAAAATTCAATGCTAGGAAGGTAATGCTATAAAAAGTTACTGTGTTGTTGAATAAGTTAAGAACGCAACTGCTAGCATAATTTGCTAACTAGATTGATTAAATATAATTGTTAGTAAATTAACCAACTATAAATTTTACTGTCTGAACAGTTTATAGCTGCCATGCGTATACTTTATTTATCATACTATAGTGATGTTAAAACTTCGTCCCTGTACAGTAACGTTTTAATTGGATAAAAGTTTTAGGTCATCATAAATGAACGTAGTCGTAGCACATCAGTAGCCGGTGTACGTGTATTTTCTCATAATGCGTACATTTGAGCTAAAAAATGGACACCTAACTGATCTAAATTTACTCGTGGAATTATCTCTGTAGAATATTCAAGCATAATGTCTACTGTTTAAATAGGAAACTGTGCAAAATGAAGAGTACTTAGGGATTAAGATATTCCGATTTTATATAAAATGTACCCGATGCCTTGCCGAAATCACTTTTAAGGTAAATTTTTATTAAATATTTCAATGAAATACATCTGCCTACTGTAGAGTAGTTATTGGTAGTCCTTTTGATACTTGCATTACTCATTCAATCTTGCTATTAGTAAAATAGTGAGGGAGTGTAACTTAATAACCCATTATTGATGCAATTAATAAATTCCGTGTTGATACCTGCGTTGTATTGTCTTCGGTGTAACGTACAGGTATTCATAACCGAATCATGCGATACAGTAGTTAAATTTTCATCTACGATATACGAAAATCTAACGTTTCCTATTTAATTTGCTAAAATTTCATCATTGATCTTAGCCAGTATCCTAGTTCACGTACCTTTATTATCGTATAGAAATATCTATCATGCAACAACATGATAAATTGATAATAAAATATCCCTTATAGACAGATCCACAGAATACCGACTACGAATGTGAACATGGAGCAACGCGCAATTTTCAAGCACAAAAATTTGCAGAAGAAGAGGAAGAACTTAAAAAGCAACAAAGAGAAGAAGAGGAAATGAATAATCCAATGAAGGTTATTTTACCTATCTTTGTTAAGAAGACTCAAACTTCGATATAATCTCATACCATATACCATTGCTGTAACGGTTCATTGATATCTTCTTGTAGGCATTGGAAAATCGAACCAAAGATTCTAAGGCAGAAATGGATATGCTAGATACACTAGAAGAAATTAAGGATCTAAACGCTCGTAATGCTAAAGGTAAATAATACATAGTTTTGAACCGATGATTCAACTAATATCGAATAAAAAATCATTCTCACTGTGATATTAACATGATTTAATAAACTAGTTATTTTCTTAATCTCGAAATTATTATTGTTATCACAATATGCAACAGTCGATATTCGAGAGTTACTAGAAACCTATCACGAAGATTTTGTACAGGAGCTAATTGAAAAGCAAAAAGACGAAGAAGCGATAATTCAGTAAGTGATGGATAAGAATTACTTTTTTATAATCTATTAGGTCAGGTTGGATGATTGTTAAACTTTCGATATCAGGCGAATGGTTTAAATTTTAACCGTTTGTTAATAGAACAGTATTTCAAGCCGAAGTTAACAAAATTAAACGTCTCGATGATTCTGATGAAGATAATGATGATGAGATAGGAACAATAAGAACACAAAATACAAATTCTACACTTCCTTCGAAAAGGTGCACGGATATCATGTTGCCGGTGAGTACATTGTTGCACCGTCTTATCCGTATATTAAATTGAATATAATGTGAATCACCTATTCCTTCAACTGTGTTTCTAAATCTTTTATTGCATAGGATGCAAATGAACCAAGTCAAAAACGCAGAAAAAATGTGGACAAGATGTCCCTGCTATCATCTATGGTAAAAGTGAAAAAAAAGCCATCCAATGCTGAAAACTTGTCAGCAAATAAGGCAAATGAAAGTTCTAATACTCCAAAGCTGCCCTCATCACAAGGTGGTTTGGGTCTTATTTCTAACTATTCAGGAACAAGTTCTGAAGATGATTCATAATATCAAGTAATAGGAATAGCTTTTCTTTCAATATTTCGTGGTGAATTTCTTTGCTATTATTGCACTATTTAAGATTTGTCCATATATTGTTTTTTACTCAATGTAAAAAATTTTTATAGCGTAAGATAGAATTATGTAGTATTGTAAATTTATTTACTTTCCTTTGATAAATGACTGCAATGGGAGTAACTTATAAGCAGCCATGACAATCATGTTACTTAGTTTACATTTACTGCCTCATAAGAAAAGTTCAAACAAATGAAAACATGAACAGCTTTAGTATTGTATCTGTACATAGTTTTACGACATAAACAGGACGGCGATATTGGCCCATGAGGTATGCTTCTAGCGCACGATTAAATAATATTTGAGTCATGAACTTATAATAAATTTTGTCAAATGGGCCCTTCTTGTAGTTTTGTCGACAAATCATGTGACATCGCCTTTAACTTCAATTAAAAATGATTACCATGTTTCTAAAAGACTTGTTATCGTCATCAGCTTATCAATAAGCTGCTGCCTTCACTTTATTTCGAACAAACAGTAACAGTTGGCTATTATTATTTGGATATATGATAACTCTAGGTCTAATAAAGACATTCTCAGTTATAGTATTAGATATATTAGTGTAATACACGCAATTCAAAGGCCAAAAATTTGTTTAGTTATAAAGCATCAAAACCTACTAATGTTACATAAAATTTCTTGGTAATGAAATTGCATCGAACAAATATTTTAATTAAGTTAGGATCCACCGATCCGCAATTAAATCCAGCTATTATAACTTGCTTCGATGATCGATATATAATTAATCTTTAAATTTAATCTTAACCTGGCTATAAACATTAATTACAGGCGTATGAATATTTAAACATATAACATGACGTTACATTAATGCATGTACATATAAAATGTTGTACATAAGACAAAGTTTATCATGAACAAAGGTGATTCGACTATAGTTAGCCTTAGTTTTAGGAACTTCGACGTTTGGTGCAGTAGCACAAAATCGGAAAAAATGATAATGTACCTGCAGCCCCGTTTGAGGGACCGTAATGAAAGTACACTTCTTTCGGTTACTTATCGGTAGCAATGGAAGGGATAGTTTTTGCTTTATTGTCTTCACCTTTCCAAAGTCCATAAGCCTTACCAGGAACAGTTTGCCATAAACGCACTGTTCCGTCCTCCGATCCAGACGAGTATAGTTCGGAATCGGGAGAAAAATTAACACAGTGAACTGGACCAAAGTGTCCTTTATAAGATTCTATATAAATAATTATAATAATCACTTTAAAACAAGTCATTTGCAATATCATTAAAGCATAAAGATAACTTTGACATACCTAATTCTATTCCAGTTTCATAATCAATTTTATACAATTTAAAATCTTCACCTCCAGCAACAATGCAAGATTTATCTTTATGTAAAGATGCCGAATTGAGCGAAACAGGCCATTTAATATCTTTAACCAATTTTAAACTAAAGAAAAAAATACCGTGATATGTATAATTACCCGTTATAGTGGTGTATGCTAAACTCGATAGATTATTATTTTAGATGATATAAAAATTTATTGGATTAATATCTTGAACTCTATGCAAAAGATGAGATGCAATAAGCACGTTGGCCAGCTTAGATCCGTTAAAGTAAGCTACACAGTTGCTGTACTTAGGGTAAAAGCCATAAAATGATAATTACCTCGTGGCATTATATATCGCTATCGTATTTCCATAGGTTGCTAACAGCAAATCATAGCTATGAGACAGCTCTAAACTAGTAATAGGAGAGTCTACCAAGACCTGTTTAAATTCTGCTCTATTTCTTGTATCCCAGATTCTAATCCGAAATGATAACGATATAATCAATTAATTTTATGCGATAAAGTAATCAATCCCTCTGGAATATTGCATATTCACTGGCTTAAAATAGCACTTAATAACACCGAATAATTAAATATTTAAATATATCATCTGTGACAAAAGCCTAACTTTTTCGTTAGAAAGTTCGTCATAATTGTAATTAAGAAATATTAAACATCGTGAATAGTCATCATTTTTATTGGTGATCATATCTACCTTATTGTCTTATCCTCACTACCACTGATTATCATGTATTCATTAAGCCATAAAGAAGATTTGATGCTAGCGGTGTGTCCCTCTAAGGAGAAATAGTCTATTGACAGAAAATTATTGTGCAGTATTTAATAACAAGCGAGCGCAATGGTATAATGAATGGCTAACTCTCCAATAGCGAAATAGAATTTTTTCTATACAGTTAAACCCTACCACTTTTACTTTATGAAATCATGATCTGTATAAAATGAATGACTTTGATCAAGTATTTGATAAAACTTGTGGACTGATCGAAAGAAGGATTCACGTGATACGACTTTATACTGTAGGAAAGTAATAAATACTATTTGCAAATGAACTATAACAAGAAATACCTACCGTCATCATTAACCTTTAAATCAAATACTTTGAGCAATTTTTCATTGCTGGCAGTTAATAATTTCTTGCAATCCTAAGAGAGGGATACAATTATCTTATAGTAAGTATTTATTCATTTTACTGCATTTAAAATTCATCATAAATAATAACATAGACAGTCTGTCAGTTGAGGCTTTTTTTTATCGCTACTTACGTATGAAAAATCGACACTTTTAACGATATGCTTATGTTCCAAAGTTTGAAGTAAATCACCAGTAACAGTGTCCCACACCTTCCTAATTAACACACACATTTAACCGTGTAAGCATTTTTAATACTAAATTTTTTTGATTCTATGTCTAATTACAACTAGATTAATCTTGTAGTCGGTGCGGCATGCATTATTGCCGCTGCATTATTATAATAGTACTATATCCTTCTTGGTCTTTTATGTATAAACTACTGAATAAACTAGGATTGAATCCTAGCAGATGGGCATACTCTATGCATACGCGTATAATGAAAATAAAATTTAAGGTACGGTAATTTTGTATTTACGCGTATACAAGACTATATGTCATTGGGTTATAAATAAATTGCTAGGTATAATAAGGAAGCAGTTAAGTCAACCGTAATGAAGTATTGGCTGATATACTATATACTACAGCTCAGTGGATTAATCGCATCCTATCTATAATTGTCAATGTATTCTACTATTTGATAATACAATTTATCTACTGTATGTACTTACGCTGTATAATCTGCAGAAGCCGAAGCAGCTCGAAAGCTATCTTTACTTAAGGTAACACCCCAGACAGCTCCTTTATGTCCGTGAAATGTCCCAATCCAATCGCCTGTTTCGCCTTTTCTTAGCATTGGGTGGCCAGCTAATGAATGAAAGCATCATCATCCTTTGTTAATGAATTGGTTGGTATCAGCAGCAAGTGCACCTACAGCATCAATCAATAACTACTCGCATACAACAAATTCATATACCGAAAGATGAAGCAGAAAAAATGATCATTCATTTTCAGAGTCATTACTGAGTCTATAAAACTCTAGACAAAAATATCCATATCAAGTATCATGCATACTCCTGCTCCTTCACTATCAGCATAATATGCAAGCATTGCAGACTGTAAATTTGCGTCAATCTACGGGCATGATCACCAATATTGGAAAAAGGAGTTTGATTGATGATCATTTTATTCTGTTCATTGTAATTCATCGAATGAAAGATGGCATGAAAAATTGCTATATAAGGTCCTGTATATTGTAACAAAAACTACTTGAATAGTCCCCTGAGACTGTACTAAGTGTTACTCTAAATCAATCGTGTCATATCTTTCTTGCATGCTATTGCAAAATGGAAATATCTTTCAACAAATTTCAATCACGCGAATAACTTGACTGATGATTGAAAAGAGTTCAATGATCGTAGCTGTACTGTACAGTATGTTAAATTGTCTATCCTGGTACAGTACAGTACTGCCTACTGTAACATCTATACAGTTGTATATACTGTTCTACTGTACAATAGCACAGTATACTACTGACCTTTACATCCACTGATCATGAAATAACCTTCAGATGTTAAGCCACTGTGAGCCAAGCAAATTACAGGTCTAGTGTGTCCACTACAAGTTAGAGAAACTTGTTTAGAATAAGTCATCCTTGAATTTTGACGCTTTTTACTTAATAACTAATATAATTCAATGTAGAATGGCCGACAAGAAGTCCAAAGAGGAAGGCAAAGACAGCGCTGGTGCATCCAATTCAACACCAGGTAGAACAGAGTCTGCGCAATAGACTCCTTGGTGTCGGTTGTTTTGCATTGGTCACTCCAAGAGACCCTTTAGTTCGGTACCGTACCGGCAACGACAGCGCTGGTACATCCAATTCAACACCAGGTAGAATAGAGTCTGCGCAATAGACTCCTTGGTGTCGGTTGTTTTGCATTGGTCACTCCAAGAGACCCTTTAGTTCAGTACCGTACCGGCAACGACAGCGCTGGTACATCCAATTCAACACCAGGTAGAATAGAGTCTGCGCAATAGACTCCTTGGTGTCGGTTGTTTAGCATTGCTCACTCCAAGACCCTTCAGTTCGGTACCGTACCGACAAAGACAGCGCTGGTACATCCAATTCAACACCAGGTAGAATAGAGTCTGCGCAATAGACTGCTTGGTGTCGGTTGTTTTGCATTGCTCACTCCGAGACCCTTTAGTTCGGTACCGGGTCTGGCCTATTGCTCATCTTGCAGTAACCAAGCGATAGTACAGCGTTCCGTACAGTAGAGTACAGCATAGTGATTTGGTAGTCAAGCTTGGATACGCTAAGTGTCAGGCTTGACAACCTGCACTATCCAAGGGTGTCAAACTGGTCTAGAACTCGATATGAATGATACTGTATGGATTTTCTATTGCCTACTAGGTATGGTATGGCACAGTGGTGCGACACGTCAGGCAGTCAAGTTGTTACACCACCATATTGTGCAAAACCAACCTATACTGTACAGTGCACAGTAATAACAGTATACAGTATACAGTAGTGTATGTGTGTATGACAAGAAGTAGAGGTGGTGATGCGGTAAGGTGGCAAATGTACTGCCTGAGTGCCTTCCAAGCCTTACTGGTCATGGCATAGGGGGTGCCACTCCGGTTGATACGCGTTGATACCTGGCTCTAAAGGAATTTTATAATAGTTTATATAACTAAAGTTCCCCACTAACATCATGTGATGTAGTCGTGGCCGAGCGGTTAAGGCGATAGACTAGAAATCTATTGGGGTCTCCCCGCGCAGGTTCGAATCCTGCCGACTACGTGTTTTTTTATTCTAACCGGTGTCGAAGTACAGTATAGTACCCATACCAGTCTAAAAGTCCTACTCTCAACGCAGTAATAAGATTTTTTTTTTTGACTAGAAATCTATTTGGGTCTCCCCACGCGGGTTCGAATCCTGCCGACTACGTGCTTTTTTTTATTCTAACCAGTACTGTCTAAGCATAGTATAGTACCCATACCAGTCTGAAAGTCCTAGTCTCAAGGCAGTAATAAGATTTCTTTTTCTTTTTTGACTAGAAATCTATTGGGGTCTCCCCGCGCAGGCTCGAATCCTGCCCACTACGTGCTTTTTTTTTTTATTCTAACCAGTACTGTCTAAGTACAGTATAGTACCCATACTAGTCTGAAAGTCCTAGTCTCAACTCAGTAATAAGATTTCTTTTTCTTTTTTGACTAGAAATCTATTGGGGTCTCCCCGCGCAGGTTCGAATCCTGCGCGGGGAGATGCTTTTTTTTATTCTAACCAGTACTATCTAGGTATAGTATAGTACCCATACCAGTCTGAAAGTCCTAGTCTCAACGCAGTAATAAGATTTCTTTTTCTTTTTTGACTAGAAATCTATTGGGGTCTTCCGGCGCAGGTTCGAATCCTGCCGACTACATGCTTTTTTTTATTCTAACCAGTACTGTCTAAGCATAGTATAGTACCCATACCAGTCTGAAAATCCTAGTCTCAACGCAGTAATAAGATTTCTTTTTCTTTTTAATTTTTGATAGCCCGGCTCGGTACGGTACGGCGCGGTACGGTACAATACTGCACTTCACAGTCGAATACTCCTTGGATAGACGCTTCTATTGTCCGTTCCATTATCCAGAGTACTGTACGATACAAGAGTTGGAACCAGTCTTTCTGCTGTATTGGCGGCCATCTTGGTGTTACACGTGCTGCTAAGTAAGTGCAACCTTGGTAATCAAGTGAGAAAGAAGCGCCATTTATTCCTGACTGCAATATCCAATAAGAAATAAACATGGCTTATCATGGAAGGGTTAAGAAAGTAATGATCCAACCGATCGTATCCTTTTACACTGTTTCTCGTTGATAGCAATGCTGCATTGGATACTTTGTAGTCAACGTTACCTTTTGATCTGTTGGAGAAGAAACGCTGCGCTCGCGCAATCTCCTGTACAAAGGCATCAATCAGTTTGAACATGTTAACTAGCCAAGCTAAGGTTTTAATAAATTTCTTCTTTCGATAGTGAGTGGATAATATGTATTGAATCGTGCATGGTAGCATGACGTAGAATACACACTGTACAATCGATAAAATGATGGAACGTACAATGGTACAAGCTAAGCTGATTTTGACTACTGTACTGCGTGATAGTTTACCACAGGCTGTTGTAATAGCAACGTACTCCAATAGCCACCATGATCGATGTTAAGAGAGCATTGTCCATCCCCACTGTCTCATTTCTCTTTAGTCCAATCGTCGCTTAAAAGACCAGTTTCAAGTACTTGTACTATGCAAGCTTTTGGTTATCATCCTTCTTTCAGTAAGCAACGCTTCAATGACCTTACTTTTTGCTTGCTTGCTTGCTTGCTTTGGACAAGAATTGCAGCTCACACGATGCTATATAGATACAGTAATTGTCTTAGGAGAACCATTCTTCATTCCCTAAATTGACTTGAAGATAAACTAGGATAAATGATCAACTGGTAGTAAGAGATACGGTACAAAATAGAATTGTTCGATCCACGAGGCAAGTATCCTTTAATGAATACATAGAGAGGAGAGCATCATCGACTGTATTTTATTGACGTACTGTATAAATCAATCTTGCATACCTGTACATCGATCAAGCGTTCATTTGAATTACCATTGCCACATAAACAGTTACACTACAGTCTTCCAAGAATTGCCTAAAATGGCACTCTACTAATTATAGCAACTTTATAAATACACGTGTAATTTTTTCAAAATTAAATGTCATGATCATATCATTCCTTAACTCTATTCTAACTTGATTAAAAAAGAATGTGATCTTTCGGTTCCTCCAAAATGTAAGTGGAAAATATGTAATTGAGCTACAATATGAACTTGCAATAGAAAAGAATGGTTAACGGAATGCTTGCTAATTTAAAAAATCATGTTGCCTATCTCTATATGAGATACAAACAGAAACGGTTAAGTGCATATTTGCTGTGGAGAGTCCAAAATTATTAACGGCAAATTCAATTATCTTGTGATTTATCTCAGAAAACTAGGGTTCAAATTTGGCTTTATGAACAAACTAATACGAGAATAGAAGGATACATATTGGTTAGTTGAAATAATTAGCCTATTTTACCTCACTTTTGACCAAGAATACTAGTTTAAAAAATATTTTATTGTTAGGGATTTGATGAGTACATGAATTTAGTATTGGACGATGCCGCTGAAGTTAGCATAAAAAATAATCAAAGAAGACCTATAGGTAAATACTAAGAGATGACTTATTAGCTTTTCTTTACTCTAATAATTTTCTTATATTACTTTCAGGTCGTATTCTATTAAAAGGAGATAATATTTCTCTCATTACTGGCGCCCAATAATATTCATGATTGTATACAACCAATTCCATGTTGTTTATAGACCATTATATAACTTAAACTACGTCAATTAAATACAATGTTAATAGCTTGATAAATTAGCCTCCTGCACACCCTGCGGCTTGAATGTAGGGCTACATGTATTTGTAGATTATAAAAATGTCCAAATGCAATAATCAAGTCCTGCCGGCACTTTAAGAAAGGATAGGGATCGTATATGGCATTAACTGTTGAGTATCGTCGTCCCTAATCTATTTCGTTGAGTAATAAATTGTTATTATAACCCCGACCCATCCTTTTAATTGTTTAGTGTGGCAATTTTACTTGTACTGCATTTGCAATCAAATTGGTGTACGTTAATATTAACTAGATAGCACTGTCTTCCCATTTTTTCTCTTTTATATTGTATTAGCTGACTGCTTTTTTGTAATTAGTTGTCAACTCTATTCATAAGAATAAAATATCAAAGATTGACAATGATGAAAAAGTTGATATAAAATGCTAATCGTACGAACTTTTAACTTAAGGATAAGTACTGCACGTTATCATACAGTATGCACTTAAAATTACATACTGTATGTATTCACGATATTGAAACCGTCATATAATAACAACTCATCGTTGTTTTAATGATATTATATAGCGAAAACGGTTGCCTGCTGATTAAGATTTTACAATGAAATTAACAAATTGATTGAATTCATCGCAATCACAAGACTACAAAATCGACAGTGCAATACTGCATACCCGTGTTTAGTGTAATCTACAGTATAGCTATGATGACACTTTTACACTAGGACTTCTACTAACACAATGTAATGATGCAATACTTTAAGACTAAAATGGCGGATAACTTAAATATAAATACCAGTCCATGCTTAAATACAGTAAATGACAGATACAAATACCCAGTAAGATGACAGCTAGCCACAGTGAGATTTCTCGTATATGTGAATGAAATCCTTAAAATTAAATGACTTTCGATAGCACTGTTTACTATATGTTTACATTCACATATTAAGAAAAATTACTGAGTTCTCAAAATTGAAATCATTTTATTTTGACATAAATCGAATTATAAAAATGCGATTTACAGCTACAGTGCGTACTTTAAAAGTAATACAACCATCCAGTTGAGAGTACATTCTGATCATAACTAGTTATCGGGTACATGCAATTAATTAAATTATTATATTAAAAGATGCTAATGTTTGCGGACCAATTTTCATCATATCAACCACTGATTGTAGATTTCAAAATTTTTAACATAACTAAACAACGCAACAGTTACAGTACTGAGTAAATTTATCCATAATAAAATAAAGAGCGACTCTAACCAGATTATGATTAAACGCTGTAAGCTTCAAATTCGCGATTTAACTACTTGCATGATACTATACAAAAATCAAATAGTTGCGATATTCTATCAAAATATCGATAGCAAAAGCTTTGAGCGCCCTAGAAAAAGTAATGCAGTGGAATTTCTCTCGTTGCCTTATGATTGAATAAATCTTCTAAAAAGGGTAGCACCCCGTCTAATCTGACCCTGCATAAGAAAAATTCTCAGCATTATTTTACTATTTATTATAAGGAGTTTACACGGAATATCTGTGAAGTTTACCTCGCTACGTAAAGATGCCATGCAGTCTTGCCAACTTGAATAGAATACCATATTAGGAGGAGCACCAGCTGCAAGGCTACAACGCAGGCATGAAAATTCTCATATCATGACACGTAATAAAATGCAATTAGTTACTATAGAGCGCAGGGTCTTACCCACAGTTATTCACAGCCATAACGTTAGATACCAAATTAAGTGGATAAGTTATGTAACCGGCAATATACTAATAAAGGTACAAAGCGATAGCTCAGTAATGAAAGTAAAAATAAGTTATATAGCGTAGTTTAAGTCTATCACTTACGTTAGAAACTGCTTGCAAATACAATTGATTTTCCTTCTTGCCTCCAATCTAATGATTAGAATAAATAGCATTAAAGCATACGATCCATTAATTTCTATCATAAGTATAAGCAAGTTCATTAATTATCATAATAAGGTGAATTTAGCGCTATCTTACGCTTGTAACAATATATTTCTGGGTCACGTATAGCACTATATTGTATAACCAAACTGACATAAATTCGGCTACAAGTCTTGGAACAAAACCCCTATAATGGTTGAATTAAAATTTTTAAGTACAATTATTCTTGCACGATAATTTTATGAAACTTATTCAATCTATATTGAAAATCGGGTGTTGAAGTATTAAATTTAGGTTCAACTTCAAGACTTACGAGAAAAAACCTTTAAAGCCTTCTTCCCTGTAAATTTCCGAAATTGAGGATATTACACCCCTATATTATGAAAGAACATAGAGCAACAACAGTCAAGTTTTTCTAACTAACCCTGCATAACTCAGACGTCTGTGTCTTACCGGTATACGTTTTCTTGACCAACAAATTGTGCCATCATTCTAACACTTATAACTGTAATAAACAAAATGTTAGCATATAAATAACTCGACAGTCTGCAAAAAATTTTCTTTAAAGTTTATATATAAATATTCAGAATGTAAATTTCTTGTATTATTCAAAAAAAATACAACTAACCATGGAGTGGATAAGATACAGTAACGGCAGCCATGCTTGCTAAGCATTGTTCTGAGGTCTGCAGTATTCAAAATTGTAATTAAAATGATATTGCATATAATTTCTTACATCGGTGCATTCTTTGAATCACTATCACTGAATAAGTGTACCTTACATAGATAGATATATTAATAATCGAATAAATCTACTAGTTAATTAATTAATTATTGATACATAGTAACAAATTATTTAACCTTGATAGCAAAAACTTTAATTTCTTCGACGGCGGTCTGTGGAACCTGTAACAAAATCAAATAAATATACTACAAACGTACCATAATGACAGCTAAAAGGACAATAGTATAATTAATCTGAAGATACAATTCATCCTGTTGATGCGCATGGTTAAATAAACATAATATTACGAACATTTTCTTCCTCTTCATCTTGAGATTTCTCTTCTCTAATAACCTAAAAATAATAAATATTCACATTTTACTATCACAGTAAACGAAAATATACTTGGAACTGAAAACAGTATAGAGCTTCTAATCTTTCAAGATGTACAGTGCCTAACGACTGGACTGACTAAAGAATATTACTATTAACATACGGGTATACGCGTATATAGATATTGATAGATATAGGACTGAACCTAGAGACTTGAATGCTAAAAACAGTGACTAATCTAGATTGCAAATTATGAGCGGAATTTATAAATTACCAATAAGTATTATACCTTCAGAACTGAAGCATTGACGTTCGAGCTTATAATAGATTGAATTATCCTAAAATTTAATTCGGATAATAAATGATTCGGTTACTCTCTATTTACACTATTTACATAATGTGTACAGCAATAAATTGCCAATGAAGAACATAAGATATGTAAATTACCTACTATTCACAAAAGATACATTAAGGTTAAAAATGAAATAGAAATTGTTTACATATCTTATTTTCATAATTTCATACATTAATACTATATTAAAGTGTCCAAAATAAGAATAATACTTTACTTTACTAGCGCGAACTGATATCATTTCATATTACCTTGGCGCAAGTCCTTTATACATGCCAAAAAATCCATCTGTTTTTCTGATGTAAGCCGCTAATATCATATAGAACAATTAAAATATAGTTAAAATTTGTTACGTGTGTACATATAAACAGACAAGTTAATAAATAAAGTAACTAATAAATGAGAGATGATTAATCGTTATAAGATACCGATAGATATTACTAGTAATAAAACCCAGTAGTGCAATATACTTAGTGAATGATTAATTATAACAATAACGGAATGACGCCGTCTATCAACAGTCTATAATCAACTATTCGTATTGATGAAATAATTGCAACTTAGTCAATTGGTAATAATGGGAATTTAATCTATACGACGTTTACCAGTTTAGCTGTAATTCATTAGTGTATTTGTACTATATAATGAATGTACGGATGTTAAACTAATACGATTCATTTTTGAGACAGAATTGCTTTTACCGTAGGTAAAAAAACCAGGCAGTTTTTGAGCGTTACGTCCAAACAGTGTAACACCATCAACCGGCGCAATAGGCTCATGACCAAGCTACAGGTTAGAAGATAAAAATAGTTTAAAAACGCTTATCTCATTCATGCTAAGCCAGGATAACATGTTTACATGGCATTTAATTTGTGCACCGAAGTTACTTTGCTATTTTTGTAAAACTTAAATGAATGCGTATAGTATATAGTATACTGCAATAAGATAAGGTAGCTACTAAATAATACGCTTGTATTTTGCATTTTCTTTAAAGCTCCTTAAACTACAGTACCGTATTGTTGCCCAGTTAATGATTTATGAATGATATTTGGCACCATCATTTCTTAAGAATTAGCGAGTTAGAATAATGATCTCTATTTGAAGTTTAACAGAATCCGAACAGTCCCTAGCGCAACGTTAGAGTTGAGAGTTGATGTTATGGAATAATAGCATGACCCCTTTGAATTCAGCAGTATAGTGTAGTATACGAATAAAAATTTCAAATAGTCTATTACGGATCAAGAATGGACTATGAACCCGATTAGATTATAATATTTATTTATTATTATTCATGAATTGAAATAGCCCAAAATTCGTTATAGTAAGAGCGCCAATGCTCCAATACATACATTATCTATTTCATCCCATGTAAAAAGGTCAAGTAAAAGATTGTTCAGTCATACTGTAGTTCATAGCGTAAGGAAGACAATATCGAAAAGTAAATAGCTATCGTAATCATCAAGAATCGGAAATCGGATAGACTTTATGCGCAATTAGTGTAGGAAATACAGTTTTTATAAAAGAAACAACTGTAGCATGTGTATTGCATATTTCTAGATCATTTAAAAAGAAATAATATAATACGTCTACACAGTATGTACAGTAGGACAGTTTCAGCTAAATACTTTAAGAACTTTATGTAAGGTGGCGGGGGCTAATGTACATGTCATACACTGTAATGTAATTCGATATGTATCAATCGAGCAAGTATTGTGTTTAGTCAGCATTTATCATCAGTAATCGTCGCTTAAGAATTTGACTGCACGCAGTTGCTCGATTAATTAATTGATGAAGGTAGCGACTGTGATGAGATGATACTGTATACTACACCGTGGCTGCATTGACTCCAGGATTATAAATATCGCAAGATATCTATCAATGATACTGTATGTGTATCATATGATGATGATACTATCATACTCGTACATCGATTTCTCCTCATGTCAACTAAGTGATATTAATTACTATTCACACTGCTGTACTACAATAATGGATGCAGCTAAATTCACCAAACATGGCGGACATCTAAACATTTTTATCGCATTAAGTGCTTAGCCAGAAAGAGTTGAAAGGCCTATGAGAATACGAACAGTACATAGTGGAGTGCTGCAGCGACGAAAAGTTTACTCTAGAATATCAAATTAACATTTGCAATCAGTTGTAATACTCGTATAATTAATTAATTAATGAATTCATCAAGGCGTGCTCGTATACAGAAGCCTAACTACACTGTGCGTCATTGACTGCATCCCTTATTTGAGTGATTAGCTAACTTACAGAGATATTAAAAGATGTGAATTAGGTGTAAGAACTGGATAAAGCCTCGGAGCTATCAATCTATAACACTACATGTCTCGATATTCCGCTATTGGGAATCGATTTTGTTGTGTAAACCATAGTGATATGCGTACGCCACCCAATGCAGTTGATGGCGTAGCAACAATCTGTTTTTCTTGGCATTTAAATACATTATACCTACTAGTTTTTACAATCCTTTCAATGGAAAATTAAGCAATAAGTGATATTTGGCGGAAGACTAAAGTAAAGTACAAGAGATGTTTCAATCATTGCTGTCATCATTTTTAATCACATCACTCGATTTAGTCTACCAGTCAACTTGTCAGTCAACATCAACTTGTAGCAGACATTAACCCCATCAGCGGATATCTTCTAAACATGATGGAGAGCTGTTTCACAAGAGGTTGTCGCAACATTATCCAGTTCATATCATGATGAAAAAAATTGATTTCATACCTGTATTAAAGTTTTGACGTAAATGAAAGGATGGCTAGCTAAATTAATAGCCACAGAGGACAAAATTGCCGTCATATTCTAGCTGAAATTTGGGTTCTACTCCAGTGAACAATTCCCGCACTGCCGCTTTCCTGCTCGACATCCAAAGCTGTAAGTCTGGTCCAATGGGAAATCTCTTGACCTCAGAGGATTGCACACTGTTCGGCGCCTGCATGCTGGCTATTTACAGTACTGTACCGTACCGCGCCGTGCTGTACCGTGCCGTACTGTACTCTAGCGGACCGGACTGCACCATAGTGTATCGGACTCAGACCGTATCAACTCCGAAACAGAAAACTGGTCTACAGTACAGTACAGTACATGTACTGTAGCCTAAGCCTTCTAATCGTTACGCAACTGTACAGTACTGTACTGTACAGTACGGTACGGTGAGGACGGTGTGGCTATGGTGTGGCCGTACAGTACTGTGTACATCAACATTAACTTCTTCAACGGTGGACAGACAGACGGTCGTCAAGTATTATCCGTATTAAATGAACATACTGACTTTGGGTGAAAGAGGCTAGACTGATGTCATACCGCCTGGCACGTTATTACCCGGCTAAAAACCAGAGACTACTCAGCTAAAAATTCTCCCTCAAAAGCCGCAACTAAAACATTTTCCCCTATACTAAAATACACGTTCATTCTTTTAGTACATTTATTCCAATGGATTAAAGTTATAAAATAGAGTGCTTGATATCCGTATATAGAAAAAGATGATACAGCGAAAAATTCTCCTTCCAATATAAACTAGGTTACACCTAGTCTCAGCCCGGTGGATTGCATGTGTCAGAATACTCATAACTTAATTATCAGAGTTTGCATTATTACAAAATGTAAATCGAAATCTCAATTTATTTTGTTGAAGTTTCAAGATTTGGCGGTAGACGATATTCTTAACTGTAGATGATAAAACTATTATTAAAGTGATCAGTGCTGCTTATATTAAAAGCCGTCAATAGCAATCTCAATTTATTTCTTTAAATATTGGATGATAGAGATGATACTTGGTCGTATAATTGACTGTAGTGAGTGATGTAGGATAAATCTTGAACGAAATATGCATACAGTGGTATGGCATAGTGTGCACAGTAATCAAGACAGTTATCTGATCGATACTGTACTTTGATCTAAAACAAAAGCGCAACAACAGGTAGACGTTTCTTCAAGTTAAGTGCTATACAATCTACAATCGAGCCAGATCTTGTGACTGACTATGCAATAGAAATTCGGAAAATATTCACCTTTTTATTCAATTGAACAGTCGCTGTAGCAGATATTTTTAAGCCCTTTTAATATACACTTACAGCGACTGGTACTGAATATATGGTGATAATAGAGTACTGCAAATTGAATGAAATGCTTGTTGCTCACTTATGGATGGATACAAGCTTTGATTTCCTGTCAGATAATATCGTCATTCTATCAAGAACAATTCTTCATTTTATTCATCTTACTCGTACTTTCCAAATTGATATACAGTACGTATGTAAATAAATATCAATGTGACACTCCTGTACAGGCTAATACCAATCTAATGTCAAATGGTGCGATTTGAGCATAACAGTATCTTTTGATTATGATCAAATAAAATATATCATACCGCTTGTACCTACTAACTGAGATAATTATAATTAATCAATAGTATCAATCTTATACCAAGTCACAAAAGTGTTGCAACCCTAAATTATATTATTTATGTTATAGGCTCATGTATCATAACGCAGAGCATAGAACATATCATTTAGTTCTTACTAAGATATGCAAAGACACTAGTAGAAAGTACTAGCACAGTAACATCATGCAGTAATTTAATAACAGACAATAGTCGACAATTTATTATAATTATTTCAGACATAACCAATTCTACTTGTTTATACTTCATGTATAACAAACTCGTAGAAGCGTATACGTTATGTATAAATATGCAGATGTATGTATTTACCAATTTGATGACACAAGTGAATTTAGTGCTCTCATAAGACGAGGCAAATCTCTCTTAAGAACTTTTCTATTTCCAAATTTTCTATGAATAGCCTAGAATGGGTAGTAAATCATATTCGCTATTCCTGATTGATTTGATATTGCCCTTTTAGCTATAACGTAAAGTCGGATAAACATTTAAACGATACATTTACGTACTTGATATTTGGAAGTCCAAGATTTCCAGGCAAGCTTAGCAATCTGACGAGCAACAGGTTTTAAGCTGTCTTCAGAATAGCTGGAATAATATTGCAGAGTCGGTGTCCATGATTTATCAAATATCTTCAGCGATATCAGTGAAGCTGCTGCAGCAATTTGCGATGGCAGATATGATAGAAGACTATATTCTATCAAAGCAATCTCTGTGAGATACCGCGCGAAGGTATGCTGCTCGATATCAGCCTAAATACAAATTGTATAACAGATATTGCAAGCGTGTTCATTGAATTTTATAACATCGAATTTAAGATTATTTACTATTATTCCCAAAAGTAAAGCGCAAGATATTTTTATACGAATACTTACCGATGCAGCCTTTGATATACGTCTTAGGAAATGTATGGAAGTAGGCCTACTCAGGCTAAAATCCAAAGCTTTAAGAATTTTAGCTTCCATTTGTATAAATTCATTAATTTCATAACTGTTTTCTGTAAGATATAGGAGGTCGTCGGTAGAAGCTAAGAATATTTCTTCGTATTTAATTGCGATATAGAATGCAGCGATACCAACCAGCTGCAGTTTCTTTCGATTCACTTGGGTTGTCTGGAAATTAGCATGCATATGTACAAACAATTCAATTAGTTTTAAGTACAAGGAGTATAGCGATAACCGCATTCAATATATCCAGGTACTTAGAAAATGAAATCAGTAATGTTTACATTATTTCAACTGTCATTTTATATCTTAAAATTTAGCTGTTATCATCTAAATATGTGAATTTTTAACCTTTTAACGGTCCTAAATCCGTACCTGAAGATATCGATCAATAATATAAGTAGTCAGATATAAGCTCTCCGGGTGGAAATTGTATCGTAAATGAACATCAACAAGCCAATCAAGCAGAATTGCTCTCATTCCCTTAGTAATCACGGGCTGTCCAGTCATGTAATCTGGATCGAGTGTACATCTCTTCTGTAACGTAACAATTTACAGTTAGCATTTGATGCGTTAAATTAAAGTAATGATGAGTACAGCTCATAATCGTTTGCTACACTCAAGAATGTCTGATCTAGCTCTTGAATATGAAAGCTTGTTAATGCAGTGTAATCATTAAATATACGTATCTTAGGATTAGAATTATTTACTATAAATAAGGATAGCTAGCAGTTTTTCATTTATTAAAACTTCTTTACGATGCAGGGGATAACTACTATTTTAGCCTGAAAACAATATAAGTGAATGTTAGGCAAAAAACTGTGTAATAATATTACCTCTTGCTTGAGCATATTTTTGTAAATATCACTAATATAATCGCTACACAACAAAGGGTCGTTATAATCCAAGGCATCGATGTCGACGACATAAGCCGGCAAGTATTCATTGTTGCGAAATATGGTCGTCAATACTTCAGATTCTCGTGTAACAGCGGTCTTCTTTTTTATTTCCTGATGAAAATTTTATATCGTCACATTTTATAATACTGTATTGATTAATCAAGTAAATATGAAAATAGCAATAGTATTCAATCTTAAGCAAAATTTGCATTTCTTCACGATAAATACAATGTTAAAAGTACAAAGTCTGTTAAATATCGATAAATTTATGAAACGAGAATGTACTCGTACAGGTATATGAAAACGTACATCTGTCTAGCTACATTATTGTAAGTTGCGTCTAGTAGTAATAGTTCATCATATTGACAGATCAATAAAACAAGCTTATTAATATTAAATTCATACGATTTTGCGATCGATCTTCCCGTGAAAGACATGGTTACCAATATCTGAAAGGACTGTCCTATTCCCTTGCTGTACTTTATTCACATTAACACGAAAATTCTCATTGCTAGGCTTCATTTTTGAAGGTTTATGCTATAAAGAAATTATTAATTACATCGAAAAAATACAATAAAGATTCAGAATCCATAATATATTTCAAGAAAATATATGTAAATATAAAACTTCTATCGCCTATTGCTAGATTTAATCCAGCTACTTTAAAGATATGTATACCGCAAATGGACTACCGTAGCATTTAACTTTCAATATTTAATACAACAGTCTATGAAGGATCGTACAAGATTTAATTTCAGTTTTGAATCCATCTTAGAGATTAATTTAAACAATAAATCGTATTGAATATCCCAGGGATTCTTTCTTAGTTACTACACAAATATCGATCTACGCCAATCTCTAGCCTTATAAAACGATTTACATATATGAAGATGTGGGAGAATACAGTAATTTTATTAATATTCGTACAGTACTAGTATTGCATCTAACAACTCGGAAGCTAGCTGCAGATTAGAAACACTAAATGCATATACTGAATATGCTCTAATATCAGAAAAAATGTTTTATTAATACCAGGATATTAAAAAAATGGAAATTCACGACTTTTTAAATTATTATAGTGGGATATCACAGCATTAAGGGTTTAATTGTACAAAAATAATTAGTTAGGCAGATTATACATATTAATAGATTATACTAATATATTATCATGCAAGATCACTTCGAATTCTTAGGTAGCTATTCTGTAAAACTTACGAATTCCAATTAGCACGCTCTCCCCTGTTGGTAGGAATCGTAGAGTTAAACAGGGAAATCACTTTTCAGTTAACAGCAAATACTGTATAATTTATATCCGATAAACAATTATATTATTACACTACACCAGAAATTAGTTAGTGGGTATAATTAGATCGTAAGATAGATGACTAGCTATCGTAAATACAATACGGAAATTGCAATGGAATATCGAGCAATTTACACCTTTTATTACATGTGAAATCGTAAGTTAATCTAACGAATTGAAGGCAATTAATTTCGTGTAGAAATTATCGTCAATACAAGTACAATGCACCAAAGTCCGATGTTTACAGTGTACAAGTATACCTCCTAAAGGGTTAAGGAATCAAATCATTTTGTTACGGTGTTATCTAATTCAAGAATGAGAATAAATGATACCAACTGCTGCTTCATCGCAGTACTACATGTACTGTACGGCTATAAAAGTGTTCAACTTCTGTTTGAGGGTTCTTAGAGCACTTTTACTGAACGAATTCGAGTTCGATAACGCTACTGTTGCTATTTCAACATCTTAATCCAATAGTGATCTCCTAGTTCAATAACCATCGATGATGATGATTCTGTAATTTTCAAAGTTGTACTCGCTGTATGGCTGCAATATATCTCTTCCTTTCTTGATGATATATATTAAGTAAGTATGAAATATTCTTTTTAACAGAAAAATTTTACAATGCCCAAACCAATTTACGCAGATAGTAGAGCAAATATCATACTGTGATAAGTAATACCGATTTTTGATCAGGGCAATCGTTTCCATTTGTAAATACGAGTAATTTAGTAATCATGTTTATCATTACGACATTGAGAAATATAAACATTATACATGAGAATAACATATGAAAATATACAATTTGATAATTATTGCAGCGATAACATTAAACAGAATGCCTTAATGAACTACTTTACGCCCCATTTTATATATAGCCATTTCAATGGCTTTATACTGATTGCACTATCTCGCAATGTAACAGAATAATCTCGTAAAATTCAGGTTGTTAATTAGCAAGTTTTGCGATCATAGAATGTATGTAAGGGCGTGCTTAAGGAATGACATCTTGATAATATGCATTTGAGAACTTGTAAAGTGTACAGTAGTAGAATACGATAGCTGAATCTATATCATCTAGCAACATGTGTTGTTGTATGGGTACGTATCGTCCAATAAACTTAGTGCGTACCTGTCAGGACAAAGCATCCTAATAAATAAATTAAATTTTAAAAATTGCTTTAAAAAAATCTTGCTTTCATAAGCTAGACTGTGCAATGCTTAATTTCTCGATTAATGCAATATATAATTTGAGCAATCGCAATTCACTCAATTATATTATTTATACATGGTTAAACCAGATCGTATACAGTACGGACAAACGTCATATTCTGTATTGTGTTGTACTATGAAGCACTGTACGCTCATGTTTTCAACAGTAGATATTTATATGTACGATCTTTGTTTTGTTCAGAAAACCAACTAAAGAATAAAGATACATAATGCTGGTACTTTACTATAATTTATAGACACATACTACGAAAAGCGATTGTAACCATGCCGACAATTGTATATAGCAAAAAACGGTCTATAAGGCAGTGTTTATAATTTTAGAATACGGGTAAGCATATGCCGAATGGGATATACTCGTTGATAGTAGCGACACTCAATGTGACAGGTGGCTACGTAAGTTTTTATTTCATTCACATGCAGATGTGCTCAGTGAGCAAATACTTTTTTATGTACTACTTAGTAATCAATGGTCCATGGCTATTACTCTAAGCAGTAAAAAGAAAATTCCATAAATACAGATGCCAATTGTATTGACATAGACAGTTTTTAAACGTGAGTGTATGTGCACTGTATAATAACGTTCTTGTCAAATAACTTCATTCAGTCAAGCTGTTGTACTCTATGTACAACTCGTCCTGTAGCATAATAATGATCATCGTAGCTTACAAAGCTTTCACGTCTTTTCTTGTCAAAAGTATTACTACTGAGCAATAGGCCGAATTGTTGATTTCTATCTTTCAATCAAAACGCTAAGCTGGTCTACAGACGATTTAAAATTATACAGTACAGTATATTAGTTACGAGCTCCAAGTATCGGCTAGAATCAGATACAGTATGTACTGTACAGTACTGTACATTGTACAACATACGAACAACACTAAAGGGTGGATTACGTCATTTTTGTGGTTGTGTACTGTACTGTACTGTACTGTACTTTTAGCCTTTTCACTTTCATCTTTGGTCTTCATACTGTAGTTTTTACTGTATCGTACAGTACATTGTACTGTACGAACGATAAATGAGTACTGTACAGTACTGTGTACTGTACAGTGTACAGCAGTTGGACGACTCCAACAGTATATAAATGCGCTAGAATTTGTCCATATAACAAATTTGGATGCAATGTGTCATCATCGAAATCATTAAAGCTATCTGAAGTTGCTATTAATCCGTTTGCTTGTTTACAGCGTTTACAGGTATGGATGACAAATAGAAAAAGGATATACATGTGTCATTGACGAATATGAAGAGTTTATTGCAATGTGCTCTACTAAACGATGCTAACTTACTTACTGTACACGTACTGTATCGATGATTTAACTTCTACCCACTACCAGTGCTACATTAAACTAACGGTACAAGTACGCAAAGTACTGCAGAACGAACGAGGGATCGACTAGTTGATCAAAATTCGCCTCTCTTCCGTTAGGCTTTCTCCTTTCTATCCTCTGTATAAGTGGCTACACGACGTTATCGTAAGTAGACACAAGCTGCACAACAAACTGCTGCTAAGTTATATCAACATTGTCATATCCGTCATATACTGGCGATCCGTATGGTTTGCAAAACATGTCAACTCTTACGAACCAAATTCAAAACGAAAATCTGAGTGACAATCCAAGCGACGAATTAATGGGAGATCAGAAATCCACCACTGCGCTAACTCTACTGGACGAACTTTTCGATTCTCCAGACTTTCAGGTACACCATCTACTTACCGTTCACTATTTTTCTATTTTTATAAGTTGTTAGCCAACTCTCGCACGCCCAGCAGTACATCTTTATTATACAGTACTCCTTCAACACATTTAGTAATGTTATGATACGAACTGTACGAATAAAATGCATCAATTCTTAGGGAGTAGTATGAAGTACAATATTACGAAAGTTAGGACTTTGTAGTAGTTCGTTAGTGACAGCTAGTGGAGTGTAAATTAATTATAAATTGAGACTCATAAATGATATCGGGCCTTCATTCTTCAGATTTACAGTAGTATGTTGTGGTGAGTGCTGAGAATTCTAATAATGACTCTAACTACAGTATGCAGTATACTTGTATGCGCGTTCGTAATGTAGCACGCTCGATTGGTTAAAAAAGAAAAGCAACGTTGCTGTTAGAATATTGTTAGCTGCAGTGCTATGATTGCAATACACAGAGTATCCACTGTAAACGGTGTATAAATCGACCTCGATAGACTTGTCCAAAGTATGACTTAACTGGTGGATTGGCATCGACCTGAGTGCGTTGGACTAAAAATAAATAAGTCTTAGCCAGAGACTTTCTTTTGAGGAGTGCGTATAATGTAGTACTGTATGACTCATAGCTAATTATTTTGATGAAATAGGGGAGCCAGCTACATATTCCTACTTATTCGTATATATATATATACTATTAGTACGTAAGTGTTACCATTAGAGTCAAATCAATTGTTGAATATCCCTTTCAGTTAATTATTATAACAGTTTAAGCATAAATATCTGAATCGGGCCTTTGTAGTGATCACTTTGCCAAGTTTGCAGCTTCTTTACATTCTTAAAAGACTGTTTTTCTTTCTACAGTACACTGGTATTTATTCGCCCTCAGAGATGACAAGCGCATCTCTTAAATCTATGATTGCTATGAACTCTTTGATGTACATTTTGTGATTTAGCTTGCTATTTACTGTAATGGTATCGTCAATAGACGCCTGAGAATTGAATTTCATTAATTATAGATATTAAATCTTTCCATTTTTCATGAAGTACTTTTGGGCGGGATATTCAATCCTGTACACTACTATTAGTATAAAGCTGAATACAGCCCAGAAACTTTCCATCTATTACAGTAATATGTCTAATATTGATGTACAGTACTGTACTGTATACTCATTTGTAAATGCTGTATTAAAAGACTTCATACATGTAAATGGCAGGAATAACTCTCATCGAGGTCCTTACAGTTTCTTATGTCTTTTGAGACATAGAAATCCAAATCACATGCTGTCACTGCTGTACGTACTGCATTCAATTCTTGCTCTCTATTATACAGTAGTACTGCACATGCACCGTACATTTACAATTTTCAAGCTTATTCTTCCTAAATTTGTTTTAAATTAGAGAAGTAAGGGCGGTAGAACAGTATTTTTATTTCTTAGCTTATCATTTTTTTTCATTAAATTGTATGGGAACTATAGAATACAATTTATTCGCTAGATGAACTCATCAAGTCGCGATACTATGCTGTAGTTCAAACTTTTTTAAAGGGAAAGGAAATATTGAGACCAAAAGAATTTTTTTGGGGGGGGGATACTTGACACGTCACCAAATGAGGATGGCGTGTACTTTCTATCTCTGCGCACGCGTATTCGGTGACTCACCATACAGCATTGTACTGTACTGTATTATCTCATTTCGACGCACAGCACTGTACAGTGTACAGTGTACAGTATATATACTGTACTGTACTGTAATTGTAATAATCAGACTGTAGAAACTCTGGTGCAGACGGGTTAAGACAATCAAACACCTGTCTACTCGTTGCTACCGTTATACTGTACAGTACATTGCAATTCTCAAACAAAGCAGGTACAGTATAGTACTGCATGTGAGCAAGTTTATACTGGCGTTTCTTCATCTACACCAGTATGTGCTTGTATAAATTCAAACTTGATAATTGAAAACGAATTGAACATTTTTTGTAAACAAATTTTCGATTAACAGTAGTAGAAATCGAACTTGTTTACATTGTACTTTGGGCTAATGTGCAACCTAAAATCCTGTTTTACAAAATTTCAATTTCAATTTTAAAGCTTTTTGCCAGCTCTGACAAACAATTGACTTGTCTAGCCATTAAATCAAATCGAGCTGAGATTCTATAATCCTATATTCTCAGGGTACGGTATCGTAGCATCTTGTGCTACGATGCAAGATTTAATAACATTGCATATTGAATAACAACACGAACTGACAAAATTTGGTACAGATCAATGTAATTTGTTGCAATAAATCTCACTAAATACATCGAGGAAAATCATATACAAAATCTTATACTTACGGTAGACAGTACTGTGCGTACGTATGTATCAAGAATAATTGAATTAAACAGTGTTTCTAATATAAAATATATCGAATGGCCTATTTTCTGTTTCTCTTTAATTAGATAATGGCATCCATTTTGTAGCTGTCATAAAAAAGGATGTTGCTAATTTTTCTTTGCTTTACGTAGCCTTTGAGCGACAAGGATACCGGATTCCATTGGTTAGAAAATGGCTTCGATGAATCAATGTTACCAACCGAGAGCGATGCAATAGATTTTGACGAAGTTACCTTAATGGACTGCATCCAATCAGAAAGAGAAACGAACTTTCAAATTTGTGACGAAGTTGAAGAAACTTCTAAGTAATTGACGATAATTTTAATCATTATAAAATAAGGACTTGGCATCTTAACACTTGGCCAACCGATCAAATCAACATTAATTTTCTATAATTACTGACCTTCTAAATTCTACTTAAATATTTAACCTTGGAAACTTCAAATCTTTGTAGTAATTTTACAATAATTTGTACAATAGGAACTATATTCCTGAGATTATAGAGGAGGATACCGAGGCTGGAACCACTCCAACAGATCACGATTATTGTGTGAAAGAATATACCTATGCAACGACCAGTCCTTCTAGTGCAGAGCTAAGTCCCAAAAGCGATCGCTCTGTTAAACGACTATGTACTGGTTCCCCTTCAGAAAATGATACAGGTATGGAGAATGAAGATTCAGATGACAACATAATTAAAATTACAAAATTTAGTAAAGCAATCTTTTATTTATTAGGCAATGTTACTGTATTAAAGTATCTGTTACACTTGTACTTGTAACAAGCATTAATTTCACTGCTATGTAACCTGCTACTGATAGGATACTCTTCTGCTGCATATACGGAAACTAGTGAAAACGACATCCCAGTAAGCCCTTTAAGCGATGATAGCAAACCTCCGGTAAGGAGTTAAGAAATATAGTATATCATCCTATCAATGCATCGTTTGAGTTAAGCTCATGAATATAGCTGTATCTGAAAATAAATCTGGCCTTCTAGGACAATGTTACCGAAATCAAGAAATTGTTAAAATTGACAGATGAAGAGATCAAAATTTTTCAGACCGAAGGCCTGGTTATTCCTCAAAAATTGCCTTTGACAAAGGTTATTTAAGTTTAACTCTTCCGTTATGATATCATAATCTACTATCTATAGCTATGTGACAAATTCTGTTCTTTATATCTCATCGATCATATTTATTTTGAAGAGTATTTTGTTCAATAAGTATGTTCTACTAATTAATTATTTCCCTCCATAGCTGAAGTTATTATAATTACTTTTGTCATTATTTACTTCAGACTGAGGAGCGTGCTTTAAAGAGGGTCAGAAGAAGAATAAAAAACAAGGTAACAGATTAACGTCATAACTTTTTCCACTATTGTTAGAGCGATTTCTTATTTGAGGAACTATTCAAATTTCTAAGATCTCAGCCAAAGAGAGCAGACTTAGGAAAAAATGTCATATGGAAAATTTGGAAGCCAAGTAAGACTGCAATAAATTGCACATGATTAGGCATTTTTTAACCTAAAAAATATTCGTAATCGATTGAGATGTTCCAATGAACTGTTTAAACCCAAATATATGTTGCAAATTAGACTAGCAGATACCAATGCTGATATGGGCGACTTAAAGAGAAAAATTGATTGTTTAGAAGACGATAAAAAGTAAGTCTAAATATTCCATTTTATTTGCTGTAGAACTTTTCTTGTAACCATATCACTTCCTTCTTTTGCTGTAATTACAATGTGAAATTTATAATCGTGTTACATATATGTATTTTACATTTGCATACTTATCACTTTCGCCAAGATGTAACAATAGTCAGATAGCATGATTGCAGTTTATCATAACGTTATTTTAATGCTTGCTTGAAATTTTTTATTAAAAAGATAGCTAGCTAGCCGTAGTAGTCCTTTATCTTCCTTTTCAAATCACCACTGCGTGTATACAGAACTAGTTCACGACTGATAGTTTACTCAAACAGCAAAATCGCATCTAGATGATTTAGTCTATATGATGAGACGAGTGCACTATCCAGTAATAAAAGGAAACTCTTAAACTGCAATACATAGGTCTTTATCCGCGCAAGTTCTATACTGGAAAAACCTATTTTACGACAAATTCAATCAGCCTAAGCGCTCTGCTGCTACTCAAACCGGAACTGTTCTAATGGTAAGTTTATGAATTACCTTCTGTTGTAACTAATACTTTATCAGCTATGTGGTACTTTAGACTGGGTTTTAGTGACAACTTGCTGTACATTTAATCACGGCTTTGGGCATTTTCTCATTTTCTAAGTCTCTTATAATATTGTATAAAATGTGTGAGGAAATTGCAACAATCGAAATATTTACATTGAGTAGTAGTATTCTTATTGCATGTCATCCAAACTGTTACAATTTGGATGTCAGTGATGTCGAAACAGTTTTAAACTTTGGATAACAACTTTCTTGCTTGTATGTATGCAGGTTGTAGTTTTATGCTTTGCTCTCGCTGTTGGAAGTTGGTCACCATTTATGCATGTTGATCCAAGTAAAGATGGAGTACTACAGAAAATTCAAAATAAAACGAATATAAATATTTTGTCCGATGCACTCCAAGACACAACATATGATACTCCTCCAGGTATCAACTCATTACTCTATTAGTCATGATTCGTAGTATTACTACGTATCGTTTTGGTTAATTTATTAAACTAATATAAATAATGTCGAAAGCATCATTAATGATAAATTTTTGTTATGTTGCCTGCGTTATATTGGACATGCACCAAAATCGCAGTTCGTAGCCGCGTCCTGCTAGGTCTCATGGAAGGTGAAGATAGCGGTTTGCTCTTTACGGCATCAAATGAATCGACCAAAGTTTCGTTGGATCCCGATAAATATGATATCAAGATCAACGAAACTGAATTACGAAGATGATGTCAACGATACTATATTCACTTTCATAAATTGCTATTATCCTGTCTTCTGTCTCTATAAAGCTACTCTTGACCATAGAGTCAGTTCGATATCAGTTGTACTTTGATGGTTTTCATATTTCGTCTTCAAATACAGTACTGCGTCACTGTATTATATCACATCTGTCTACCAAGCGGAGCAGTAAAGTATATCGTCGCATAATTAATGGAAATCTGCGGTAAATAGATTATAAATAGGATATAATAAAAACCAACGCATTGATGGCTTTGATATCCTTAGCTGTCGCGGTTTGTGCTTTATGAAACAACCTGACATTGTGTAAGTCTGCAGATTAGGTATAACAACATGTAATTATGATATATGGCTATCAATGTATAATTTAGTTCAGTAAAAATTCACTACAGCGTTTGTAAGTTCTCATGTGTACTCAAATATTGATTTTAGTATCTTTGATTAACCACCTGTTATATTGCTATTGTAAATGATCACGATCATGAACATGATACCTGATAATTATATAATAGTAATCATACATATAGACCATTCCTATCTGATACTGATACTTTTACAGACGTTGGAAAATCAGTACCTTGCCTTGCGCTCAGTTGTGAATATATCTCGGCTATAAGATTGTAAATATATAGTATAACCCGAAGTGATAAACACTAAAATTTTGTCGGTTTACACTGTAGAGGTTATTGATAAGTAAGAACTCCCTAAATTCTAATATATCTGTATTAAATGAAGAATCTAATTAATAAAACGGAGCCATCCTTGATTTTAACCAACTGTTTCTTAATTAACTTTGAGACAACTGAACTATAGTCATCACATGCCATAGACATGGCAATGCACAGCAATACTTTAGACCATCTTCAGTACTATAAAAACGCCTCCGATTATAATTATAATAATAAACTACTAAAAATGTAAAGATCTAATTCACGCTATGATCAAGGTTTTTTGGATAAGGTTGTATCCATCATCAGTTCTATTTTTGTGACCTCATTGACGCATTACAGTACTTGCTAGGTAACGTTGTTAAAGTGATCAAGCTTCTTTGAGTAAAACCGCGAGAAAGTGCATATAAATACCACGCGAATATATACAGTAAGTTAAAACTCCTGGTATAAATTTAAGATAAACGACGTTTGGAGAATATTATTATGCTTTATGTGTAAATATGAATTTCGAATTTGTAGTAGTACAGTATCCATAGTATGCGCGTATGGTATGCGAAGTTTATACGCGTAAGTTATCATTTCGGAACTGAAAATATAAGATGTCGACTAAATCTTATCAGTTGGACAGCAAATACGCTTATGTATTCCTCTATCAGACTTTATATTTGTACCCATAGCTAGCGAACTTGGATTAATTCTCCTTCGTATTAATTCGTACAATAAATTATAATTCTTATATCAGGTTATATGTTGTTTTCTGATATAAATCCGAGCCTATAAAATAAAATAATAACTAGTAACGTATTAGTAGATACCGTGTCGGATAGTGATAAAGCTGTATACAACAATAACTGGATGAGGTAGCTATGCTTAGCAATAGTAAATACTGTATTAGTTAATTGTATATTATTTACCTAAGTAATAAAATTATATTGTAAGTTGATAAGCAGTGATTATTGAATGCTGTGTATAGCTGGCGCCTATTTAACCCTTGATTTCAGTAATATTTAACCAAAACCATAGCAACAGCACGTGTAATTAATTGGTATGACAGTATGGTGTCTATACTGAATAAATAGGGTTATTTGCCAAGTAACTTTATATAGTTTTATTTGTTGACTCAAGTAAGAACACCAATTAATTACAATGCCATTACATTGGTACGATGTAATCATTAATTTAATATGGTTTGCTCATGAAATAGTACCTTGACCATGACCGTACATCGTTTTCATAATTAGTAAAATCGATTTTAATATTGGATTATTGCCATATTTATTTATTGGAATTTTAGACAAAGCAGTATGCAGTATGTTAAATAGATAAATATTGTTGTGTAGTCATTACAATAGCATATAATATATTATTAATTACTCTTATAGATAATAATCGAAGATATAAAACAATGAAAGCATGAATGCAATATTTTGTACAAAGATTGTGCCCAGCTACCTGAAGGCTTATCCATGCACAGTATACGCTAATTCAGTACGACCCGAAAGAGGCTAGTTAGGCTAACTCAGTTATGTATCTCATTCTTTCATGCTGCACAATTAGGGTGGCCAGCAATCTGCATATTCTATTGCACAACGTGAGAACTCTGACATTAGTTCATCACCAATATAATTACACTTGAGGGAAAAGTAAAACAAGCATGGATACGTTACAATATGCTGATTGATTTTACGAGATGAAATACTACAGAACTTTGATGAATATATTATCCGTTATAACTATTTATTGATAAGAATTTTTATACCGATTTTGTTATCAGCAATATTATAATAAGTAACTTTTTGTCCTATGAGATACTCGTATAAATGTGTTGCACATTTCTGTGATTGCTCTCAAAGTAACACAATTACATGATCAGTGATTAGTGAACTTCTGCAGAAATTATTGTGACGCAATCGCAAGAGTGATATACTACTGTATAGACTACTAAACTGCATTGATCATCAATATCAAATATGGATTGTTAATTCAATTTAAATTAATACTAAATTAGATGATGCATGTAAATCAGAGACATGAACATTACAAAATGACACAACTTCCAAGGCGGCTATAATCTGAAAATTGCGATTAAGTTATAATTTCATGAAGTATATATATACAGTACTTATTAGCCGAAATTTGTTATACGTTGGCACCCATACACTCAATTTTTTACTGATTAATTAGTGAGAGCTAGAGATTTTTTAAAGATTTGTTTGTAGCTGCAATGAATTTTCTTGTACTCTTTATTACTTAGTTGCGAAATATTTTCCAGTGTTATAGCAGCTAACTTAATCAAAGGTGAAAGAGGAGTTTAGTATTCCCTAACATCCGCTTAAATATTTATTCAGCCTCACAGCAGGAGCTAAGTGGAGACGGTAAGACACCATTTAAACTTGTACACTGTATACCATTATAGAGTACGCATAAAGTAAGATGTTGTATCACCTCGTTAAAAAAACTTGAAAGGCAGAAGTAAGAATTTTAAGAAAGTAAAATTAAAAACTTTTAAAATCACGGCTTACGAGATCTTATTCGTTACTGATATCTTAGCATGAGTATTGTAAACTCTAATAAGCAATATCTCAACTGAGATCCCATTAGTAAACTAGAAGTGCAATAAAAATTTTATGCTATTGCGTATAAAGCGATTGAATGACCAGTTGACCACGCTTTTGAAAATTGACTTCCTATTGACAAATACTTAGTTCAGTATATCAAAAGTCAACAACATATTGATCGCATTTCGAGCTATTCTTACACTACAAATATTTTGCTATTATAGGCTATAAATATATAATACATATATATTCTACCGATGCTGACAGAATCTCTAATTAAAAATTAGAAATTTTATTGCTTTATATAGGAACACTACAGCAGTCAAGGTTAAGAGATATCAGCATGCAGGACTGTATAAGTGTACGGGTATATCGACTTATTACGATTAAAGTATTTAATCGCAGAAAGTCGTAAGCGTAGTTAACAATATGTTTCGGATTAGATTATGCAAGCGTAGCGTCAGTCAAGGTTATGCAGTATAGTTTTCGGAATACGGTAGATCTGTAACTGCATTACAGCTATTATCATGTCATTTGTATGATCGACACCTTCAAATTGATCAGGCAGACAGCGGCCCAATTAATTCATTTTTTTTATTACAGAAAGTAACCAGTTTTGTACGTGAGACGTAAGTATGCTAATGGCTAAGCTCAAAGGCCAAGTACTGTATAGAGCGAAACAGTATTCTAAATAAATACGGGTGCAATTCATTTGCAATCGACTAATTAGTTGATACATATATATCATCCTGAAAGCATCTAATGCTGCTCATACTGATACTGTATAATGATACATGAAATTTAAATAAATAATTTATAATTATAGGAGCATACGTGTATGGAAATTGAAGGTAAACAAATTCAGGTTACTATTTGATCACAAGGTTTGTTATTAACAAGTCACTGACGCCTATATATCATCAGTACAAAAATTAAGGGGCATCATTAATGCATAGCTCTCATTCATGCACTACTAAATTATATTGTAGTATGATCACGTAACAGAGCTGTAATGCATATTCATAACGCAAGGAGTGCACTTACATAGCATGTAAATGTCATTACTGCACTCCCATTGCCGTTTGATGGTGGTGCGATCTATGGTTATTGTCATTACACAATACGATAAATCTTTGAAGTCTTTTAATGTACAATGCAAGTGATACTTGCTATTTTATAAAATTATTTCATATTGTATAATTCGGAGGCATAAAAGCACCATAACCCTGAGACCTCGTTAGTTGTTACTTAGGATTCCAATACACTACTTTTTTTAACACGTAGTCCTGATACCATAAACTGGCGGATTACAAATCACATGCTGGGTAATACTGTATGCATACAGTACGTGCAGTAAAGTAAAAGTACATGGAAATGAGCCGCTACTGTATGTACATTGTATGCTGTCGTAGCGATATCATCAACAACATTCATTTACCTATCAATGGAATTAACTAATGATTAGAAATGTCTGGTGATAATTAATATCGTCGGTTTGGTCGCCACTTTGATACGGATAATAACTGTCTCGCCACTGATTAGTTACTGATGATAACTACGGTAGGCGATGATGATAATAATTATAATGCATATAATAATTTTTAATCTGAATGAAGAGAATTTTATTACTGCGATGGTCTTTGATCACTCGCAAGTCGAACACTACTGTGCACTGTGCAGGGTGCAGCAAGTCCGTCTTATATATTATTTATTTTTTATCTTATATCTTAAAGTCTTGAGTAGTGGTGATACTGTTCTGGTAAAATGGGAAGACCTCTTAGTTTGTTAACCCTTCCGATCTTGTCTATTTATTAACTTGACATTTGACATTTTATTTACATTGATTGACGTATTAATAGCCAAAAATGCTGGATTTCAGCCAATCATCATTAAAGTGACGTTAGCTGAATCGAGGGTTTGGTTTACTGCAATGATGGTATTTTGCAAAGTACAGTACAGTACTGTACAGTATAGCTCACGTGAGACTACTGTACTGTATGATGTACATAATTCCTTAGAGACTAAAACTAAGGGTCTCTAAAATGTACATCATACTGGGTAAGTTAGCACTCCATGTTTTTTTCTGAACCCTATGACCGCACCATATTAGATATGATGAGTATGATACAATCCTCAATCAATTAATTATTTATTCATCATTATTATTTATTATAATGCAAGAAAAAGATTTGCCTCTAGCAGACCGGCATTATTACAGTAAACTATATGGTGCAGGCAAATATAGCATTAAGAATTTATTTATGTACAGTACAGTATTTATTCAAGTCAGTAATTGAGAAGAAAAAACGGCATACCACAATTTGTACAATACGTTTCGAACTTCTGCCTTAAAATACGCTGCGGTATACAGGCACTTGACCATATTGTAGCAAGCGATGTAAAAGGGTCAAATAGCTCCAATTTCCTATCATCATGTAATTTCCCCTAACTACGGATACTCACTGCTGTTCTGATTCAGATTGCTGCAGTTACTAATGCATACAGCATATAGTACAGTAGGATTTGTTCAATTCTCTTCTATTCTATTCGAAGAAGTTGCTGATTATTCTTCTGCCAGACTTGAGAATTTTAATTAATTAATTTACTTGTTTGTGACATTACAGCAAATAATAATAACAAGTAAGTAGTGACTGCGTTATAATATTATGTACACATCCATATGATTCATTGTATGGCATGCATAATGCCTTTTAGGTACAGCATCAGTGCTAGAATGACGGTAGTCAGTTTAGTTGCCATTGCTACTGACTCACTGTATTTGTACAGCATTATTGAGCTAGTAGAGCTATAGTATTGTACCCAACTTTATTGTAATTATTATTGCCAAGGACCACCTCTTTTCCATTCTTCATTTTATTTTTGTTAATATTGTAAATCATTACATGCGAACAAAAGCTGCATGAATGAATGCAATGGGAAGGAAAATAACACAACACCCATTTACGGTACTGTACCAATGTTAGTGCTAAGTAGTTTTGCAGTCAGTACCGTATCTAAAATGGTGGGCAGCATGAAGAAATGTAACAAGGTTGCAGGGGTTGAGGTAAGCTCTATTGTATTGAATAATTGCATTGCATTTTTGGGCATTGAAATAATGTACGCATGCATTGCGATATGCATTAAGGCAGGGGGGTGTCAAATCATATTATTATCGACTTATCATGTGTACTGTACAGCGGCGATAAATACATACATTAATAATTGAATAATTTAGAATAAAAATTTTTGTTCTCGATCGATACAGTACCAGTAGCAACAGCAATCCGACAAGAAAGGACGTTGGTTGTTAACGACTATCGGTGTGAAGAGGAATAGATAGTGGTCGATTGTACAACAACTTTTCCATCCATTTGTTCCACATTATCTAGTGGTAGTCATCCCGCTAAAAAGGCAACGTTTGAACTGTTTGGTTACCGGTACTATCGTTGCTTCTATTCATTTATCCTAGATGTTATCACTCTCGATTGAGAAATTGTCAAATTAGCTGCTGCATGCGTGATTGTTCCTTTTATATCCAAGTACTTGAGCTGATAGGCGTGTAGGTGTAGATTCTACAGCATTTTCACTAAAGTAATCACCGAAGGCATCAATATTGTGACCCTCTATTGCGTTGAGGCATCGATCGACATTACTGCAACCTCACAACGGTACAATATTGGCTAATATCAAATAATTTCGACATCTTACTCTACGCTAGACGATTAGTTCATTTTCAAAGAAGGACAATAAACAGATAAACTAGTCTCCAAATTGACGTTTTTCAAGCAATCAAGCCGCAACGAAAAAAGATGGATTTATTGTGCAGTGAGGGTTTCGAAAAGCAAGCTTATAAAGATCCTGTATTGCAAAAAGAACGTGTTTTACAGAATTTGCTCAAGCTAGAAGAAAATTACCTTCCTAATCGTGACTACTTCACGAACGTCCAACGTGAAATTAAACCTTTTATGCGATGCATGGTCACTAATTGGATGTTGGACGTAAGTAAATCTGGCTGAAAAATGTTATTTATTAATACAGTATCTAGTTCATATTTTAATCGTAGTTTGTCGAAATGGAGTGAAAGCATTATCAGCATCATAAGTGATTATATTATATATTGGTAAGACTTTCCATGAAAGGCCGAGCACAGCAGCAGTTTTTCATGCAGCTTTAACACGATTTGCACGTGTAGAATGTACATATATACTGTAATTATTTTACAACTACCTGTACGATTCATGGATTACTGCCACTCGATGCTATAGTTTCATAAATTCTCTACATAACGATAGTTTTTTAGGATAAATTGCATATAAAAATTTTATTATTTGCCCGGTGCATTTCACCTCATGTAGTGGCATTCTCTCCTCGATGCAGCAGCAGAAGCAGCATATTCGAATTCTTATACTGCACTGCATACCTTATCAAATCTTACATTTGCACACACTACTCTAGTACCCATTCAGTCAACCGCCTTTTTGGAGAATGATAAGAATTATATCGTTAGATAATGGTATTAATTTTATAGATATGCGTAGATACCGTACATGTATAGACTTTAATGGTATTAAACGGTACAGTACAAACTGTTATCCGATAATAAAAGGTCTAAATTTAAAGGCTGTTGAATTAAATTTTTTACTAGGTATGTCATGGAGAAAATTGTAACGATAAAGTCTTTCCATTGGCCGTTAATTATTTAGATAGATTTTTATCTATGGTTAGTATCCGTAAAATTCGACTGCAATTGGTGGGCAGTGTTTGCTTATTCTTAGCTAGCAAGTTAAAAGATCGTATCCCATTAACTGCTGAAAAATTATGCTCCTGGACCGATTATTCAGTTACTTGCCAAGAATTATTGGTAAGTTTTCAAGTATTGTATCGCTACACTTATTTCGATCTGTGTCGGTTGCACTTGCCTACGGTAATAGATTATACTTCACAAGTTTTCTTTTTTACCGCATTTTTTATTTCAATATATCATACTGTATCTACCCTATTGATAGTGGTTATTTTTTGTCCTGTATTGAAACACATTGACATTGTACGACACAGCTTTTATAAGTGTAGAAATGAGTCATTCTCACACACGTTAACATATATATACAGTATCTATATATAGAGATTAAATTGCTACAGTACAATGTATATAGATCCTCGACTATAGAACCATTTCGACAGGCATAGAAACCTTCAACAATTTGACATCCTCGTGTTGCCTGTTGCTATATTTTGCTTAGAAACGGAAAGCAATTTTTACTAAATCACTACAGCTTTTGAAAGTTTCTCATTTAACGATGAGTAGCATATAATACTTTCGATACAGCTTTCTACTGTACTGTAATTAAACTAAATGGTGTTTCACACAATGATGCAGTATATAAAGTCCGTGATTTCGCCATTGAAAGTACATTGAACACTTGATATGATATTAGCAACCTACTTCAAGTCATCACTCCTGAAAGATATTTACTACGAGTTACCATAAATGATATTAAACTGCAATATATGCGTAGATTATGCACTCAATGTAAAAAATGTAATCTACAAATGCTTCGAAACCAATGAGGTTGACGGACATAATTGAAGTATTTCGTCACTGTAAACGATGAAATTTAATTACCTATACTGTAAGTAATATGTATTATTGCTCATCTCTGACCAGAATATATCGTACTACTGTACTTATTTATTTAAAATCCTCTTTAATTAAACGCTTTAAGTGATATTATTATATTGCGGTTTTTCGTCGATCTAATTTCGAAGAGAAGTCTTACTAAATCGACAGTAGATCTTATTTGACAATCACGATGTCACTTTTTATACATAAAGAGTGGCAAGATCTCAAGAATAGCTTTTCTTCTTTGCTCTATTTTTGTTTTAACACAAGTGATTAGTTTCTGATTCTTTGTTTTTGATTACCATTTGTATGCAATCAGTAAATAAAAAGTTTCCATCACCATACTGTACGTATATGTATATATATAACATTATACTGTAGACATCATATTACACCCGTGATTATTCTGTCAATTTTACCATATTAAACCGTATATAATTGTTGAAATCTGCTAAAACGAAAAATCGAAAATATTTAGACCAGCAATCATGCACAATTTAGGATCACTAATATAGCGCGGCATCATATCTTGTGATATTGAAATTATTGAATAGAATTTGCTCATGTGTTACTGTACCATAGTTCAAAACTTTAATGATACATTAATACACCCAATTTTTTTTTGTCTACAAATCGGAGATATGGCAGATTGTTATTTACTGCAATTAGTATAAAATTTATGTCATATCGATAACGCATTGTTCCTCCGCGCATAAATTGCAGTAAGTATGCATACTCTTGTTTTATTTGTAGCGCTGATCTATTTTATGTATTATCCTTTCCTATTCTATTTTTTTCTCAATCCGTACACAATCGCTTGTGCCTCATTAAACGTAGCCGTCTTTGTGTCCAGAATAATGCTGAAGTATACATTATAATTATTTATATTTGTTGTCTTTGCTCCCGGCGCTGCCTTAAAGAATGTAAAATAAAATGCCACAGCAAATAAGGATCTATACCTATAATCGTTCATAAATTTATCCAGTCGTCAACATAGTAACGTCAACCCAAAGAGGTTTTAAGTTTTTACATTTCTGTAATACTGCTATCGATAATAATTTAGATATTTACAAACATAATACACTTTGCTAAGTGCTTGATCACGGACTCGTAAAATTTTATTCATCGCACCACTCTTTTATAATGCGAGATCCCTATATTGATACCGTAATTATTATTATTGTAATTATAACAATTCAGTATGATGATAGTTTTGGTGATGGTTGCTATTTGTAGATCTGCCCATTAGTATTTAAATACGTTTCACACAAGCTCAGAAAATCTTATAATTTTTAAATGCCTAACATTGGAGATTACTGAATGTACGATTCTAGTCGTATTGTCATGAATTCGATCCACTTTTTTACGTTACTTGCGCTTTATAATAAACGTGCGAAATTAAGCGTTGCGCCATAAGCTTCTATAATTGTTATATACTTCCATGTGCAATTTATGCGAGGATATTTTTAAAATTCTGTCTTATTAAGAGTAATTGTGTATCTAGCAAATTACTCCTCCCGTCTATCGCGATATTAATTAATTTGAGGAGTGGACTTTAGTGCTATAATTTCTTAGTATTGAAGAAACAACTTGTTGATTACAATCATAATCAAATCAACAGTTATTACTGTATTGCATATAGTCAGCATCGTGGAGTATGTACATTGTACAGTATCCATTATAATATTGTATAGGTCATGTAATCAATCCAACGTCATTTGATCTAAAGGACCGCTAACAATATCGATGCCCAGCATTGTTATGGAGAACAGGTTATATTCAATTTTCGTCAAAAAAACAGAAAGGTCCGCTGACTGGATAGACACACAGTACTGTACATTAATGCATAATGTAATTCATTAACAATATGTCCGTCACTGTCATCACCTTACATAATTCATAATTGAAGAAATGCATTTATAATATATACAGTATATATATATATACTGTATTTAATGATTCATAATATTGTAAACTATCAACATTTTTGCAAGGCTTCAAAAATTACTTTCGAACGTTAATTTTATTCTACGTATATACGACTGTAATCGAATTACTGACTTTTGTTGGCGACAAAATATTGTTGCATATAGTAAACAGGACAATATGACGTACAGTGCTGTTTAATTGATGTACTGTATGTTCAACGACTTTCTTTGATATTTACCGTAAATGAGAAGTGCCTGATTGCACTATTTTTCTTTTCATGTATTTTAATTACAGTATCGACCTGTAATTAGACCACTATTATGAAAGTAATTTCTTACGCTGACCTTTATTTCGTGTTTTTATTAACGTGTGCCAGAGTGTAACCGGTAGCTGCAACACTATGCTATTTCATTTCTGTCACGTAAAATTTTAATGCATATTAAATGGGCTTAAAAATATTTTGTCTTCCGGCTGATTATTCATTGATGCATGACATGACAATGCATAGTTACTCTATTGCATGCTGATATCAAGACTACATCTGGATTTGCTTACTTGCATTGCATTCTAGTCTCTAGATTAATGTATAACGTAATGTTTATTATGAATGAATTGAAACTAACTATTTTTAAATTTTCTTTTATCTTATTTCACTGTAGGATTGGGAATTACTCTTATTAGAAAAGCTCAAATGGGATTTGGGCTCAGTTACTCCGCTAGATTTTTTAGATCAAATCCTTTATCGATTGAGTTTTGAATTAAAAGATTATGTTCATATGCTCAAAAAGCACGCATATACATTAATTGCATTATGCTGTACAGGTCAGTATATCAAAAAAGATCTCATTCTTGATATCTTTTAATTTTGACGTAAACCTTATTGTATCTGTCAAGCATTGCTGAACATCCCACTTTTTTTGCTCTTTAGACTTTCAATTGTGTACTAATCCACCGTCAATGATAGCTGGTGGGTGTATCTTATGCGCCTTAGCTGGTGTCTTACCTCAAAATGACAACTCCATTGCCATAGTTAATCGTATTGTACAGAAAATAACTAGCATTGAACCGGTAAGAACTACTACATTATTGATGGCTGTGAATGTCCAAAAATACAAGTCCTAAAGAGTAGTTACTGTATTGGACTCCACTATTATTTACTAAAGTAATGCAGCATATATTCAGTAAAATTTTATGCAATATAATTTCTGATTCTGAGCTCTCCATTTTACAGGATTATTTGATCTGCTGTAAAGAACAAGTCGAAGATCTTTTATCGAAAACCAATTCAAGCCATAAAATCGATCAAATCGATGGTGCTAATGGTTACATGAGTGAAACACCGACAGACTTAGACGATATGCAGCATCTTGTAACTTAAAAACTTTTCCTATTGCTGCTATAAGCGAGATATTGTAATTTGATCATCTTCAAAATAAAAAAATTGATAACAAATCATGCGCTAGTGCATCATTTTAAGAATAATAATATTACTATATATAAAATTTAATAAGCCTGCTTTTTCCAACGATACATGTTATGCTATCTTTTATCATTTATACGTATATCTTATTACAAGTATCGTAAGGCAACATATACATATATATATATCACACTTTGTGAGTGTGTAATTGATGACAACTCTAATGACAATAATGTAGAGCACGTTTTGACTTCTTTGCCTGAACTAAGGCTATGATACCATAGCGAAATAATAGTGGATATCAATCCTCGAATAGCATAATTATCACCTAGTACTATGTTGCTTTTTCCTCATTCTAATGTAATGTAACACAAGATGCGATCATATTTCATTTATTTTTATTCGCATCTGATTGTACGTCAGTTTCTTGAAAATTCGTGTGCAGCGTTTAATGCCTTCGAAGTCTACACTTTAATGAAGACCCTTGGCGAGATGTTATAAATCGATATCCTAGTATCATGTAATTGAACGAATGTGTGATACAATATATGGGTGTTCAAGAATGCTTTCTTTCACTAGATCGCGGAGAGGTGTTATTCGTAGTAATTTTTATTCAACTCTTGTAATGTCCACCTTTTGTAAACTTATTTTATAGAAATAAAAATATTTTTCAATTGGAAAACTGCACTGCTGGCTCCATGTGTATATTCATTGGTATTGTATGTACTGTTTGCATCTATTGAAGGCAGTGGATATTATAATCCGTGATACGTTCAAAATTTAAAGCACCTTGATTCTTGGTGATAGTTTACGTTATCAACTGCATTATGCCAATCACTAGAGTAGAGGTAGATAAGAAATTATAAAACACCATTGCCTATTAGAGTATGCGGATTAGCTGAGTATATAGTGAAATCTTTAGCTTGGCATGATTATGAGACTGCGAGCAATGTAATAAACAAGCTGTGGTACCTTAATCTAGGATTTTTGACATTATGGCATGACTTGACAAATTATTATGAGATATTTTCCCCGTGAGGCTACTGTACGTCTATCGTAGGTTAGAAATTGATCATTGGAATCGTTTGCTCCTCTCGATGTTATTGAAAGCAATGTCGATCATTGATTGATGCTAATTAATACGTACTAGAAAGATACTAATAGCACATATGGCCCATTGCACATTTCTAATCAGTGATCGGATTTTGATAAATAATCTATTCGATATTACTTGATGATTTGGCCTAGGTGATATCTTGCTATGGATGATTTACTTGTATGTATTGTACAGTAGTTGTATTCTAGGGCTGCACAATAAAGTCAAGAAGCATGAATGTGTGTGTAACTAGTAAAATAATTCATGGCTAAAAACTTTGCATATCGTTACTGTAAGTAATTGGACTACTAATTCTAATTGAAAGTAGCAATGTGGTAGCTTAGTATGGATAAGTATCAGCAACAATTATCACCCTATACAGCATATTGCGGTTATCGTATAGTGGTGACCATTGAATTGCTTTCGGTCGTAGACATCGATGAAAAGTACTAATGCATTATTATAACAGACGAGCATCTGTAAAACAATATATAGAGTCTCAGGTATGGCACATTGCATCATCAAGTATGTATGGCATCCAGATCTGTACTCTACAGAGCGTAACATGCATATATAAATATACAAATCACTTTTATATTTTAATATTAATTAGTGGTCATGAAGTTAATCAAATTATAGAATTATTTTTATTGATTTCTAAATCACACCATTGTCTATTGCATTCCTGATTGCAACGTACTGGATGATGGACCACTACAACACCGGCTTGCAATGGTGCATGAATTGGTATCCAATATGTACAGGATATTGCACAACGAACTCACTAATGCATCTTTTTTGCTCGCTTACGACATAGCATAACCTTTACTCTGGACTTTCAAATTGACAGACAAGACGTCTCATTCTGCATATTAAATTAATTATTCATTGCACAGCATCATCCACTACGCACAAATATCATCAGTCTCTTTACTGACCATTTACATGATTTTGCAGTATACTCGCTCTCCTGCATAAACCCTATTGCAGTCTCATTTGTGGATGCACTGTCGCCCCAAAATAACCCTCTAGCCTGTGGCTTTTGTATGGGCTTTTGCTGACTTGATGTTAACTATGCCTTCAACACAAAACTGAACCATGGAATCAAAGTTTTACGAGGACCTCAGCTGTACTCTACTGTGCTTACTGCGTGCTGTACAGTGTATATGTGGTATACTGTATAACCAATATCAACTGATTCATCCTCCAGTCTATCAACCTAGTCAAAACAGAAGACTACAGTCAAAGTGATGCCACTATAATACCATTAGAATGCTGTCTACAAGTGACAATTATTTTTTCCCCTATACTGTAGTCATCACTTTCTGCTACAGTAATCCCAGTGGTCAACTAAACAGAGTTTATACGAGTGACTACTGACAGTCACTGACTCACTAACTCATCTACTCTATCAACCTAGTCAAAACAGCACATGATAGTAAAAGTGATATTACTATAATATCATTAGAATGCTGTCTACAAGTGATATTTGTTTTTTCCCTATGCTTTAGTCATCACTTTCTGCTACAGTATCCCAGTGTTCAACTAAACAGAGTTTATACGAGTGACTACTGACAGTCACTGACCCATCCAGTTTATCAACCTAGTCAAAACAGAAGACTACAGTACAGTAAAAGTAATGTCACTATAATAGCATTAGAATGCTGTCTACAAGTGACATTTGTTTTTTCCCCTATACTTTAGTCATCACTTTCTGCTATAGTTAATCCCAGTGTTCAACTAAACAGAGTTTATACGAGTGAGTGCTGACCGAAACTGACTCACTAACTCATCCACTCTATCAACCTAGTCAAAACAGCACATGATAGTAAAAGTGATATTACTATAATATCATTAGAATGCTGTCTACAAGTGATATTTGTTTTTTCCCCTATGCTTTAGTGATCACTTTCTCCTACAGTATCCCAGTGTTCAACTAAACAGAGTTTATACGAGTGACTAATGAAGTCACTGACCCATCCAGTTTATTCAACCCAGTCAAAACAGAAGACAACAGTACAGTAAAAGTAATGTCACTATAATACCATTAGAATACTGTCTACATGTGACATTTGTTTTGTTCCCTATACTGTACTTTAGTGACAGACTACAGTACAGTAAAAGTAGTGTCACTATAATAGGATTAGAATACTGTCTACATGTGACATTTGTTTTGTTCCGTATACTGTACTTTAGTGATAGACTACAGTACAGTAAAAGTAATGTCACTATAATAGCATTAGAATTCTGTCTACAAGTGATATTTGTTTTTTCCCCTATACTTTAGTCATCACTTTCTGCTACAGTAATCCCAGTGTTCAACTAAACAGAGTTTATACGAGTGACTACTGAAATCACTGACCCATCCAGTTAATCAACCTAGTCAAAACAGAAGACAACAGTACAGTAAAAGTAATGTCACTATAATAGCATTAGAATACTGTCTACAAGTGACATTTGTTTTGTTCCGTATACTGTACTTCAGTGATAGACTACAGTACAGTAAAAGTAATGTCACTATAATAGAATTAGAATACTGTCTACATGTGACATTTGTTTTGTTCCCTATACTGTACTTTAGTGATATCTACGAGTGACTGCTGAGCGTCACTGACTCATCCAGTTTATCAACCTAGTCAAAACAGAAGACTACAGTACAGTAAAAGTAATGTCACTATAATAGCATTAGAATACTGTCTACAAGTGACATTTGTTTTGTTCCCTATACAGTACTGTACTTTAGTGATAGCCTACAGTACAGTAAAAGTAATGTCACTATAATAGCATTAGAATACTGTCTACAAGTGACATTTGTTTTGTTCCGTATACTGTACTTCAGTGATAGACTACAGTACAGTAAAAGTAATGTCACTATAATACCATTAGAATACTGTCTACAAGTGACATTTGTTTTGTTCCGTATACTGTACGTTAGTGATATCTACGAGTGACTGCTGAGCGTCACTGACTCATCCAGTTTATCAACCAAGTTAAAACACAAGTGTACAGTGTAGAAACAGTACGTGTCAGTGGTGACCACTGACCCTCAGTAAAAGTAATGTCATTATAATACGATCAGAATGGTGTCTACAAGTGACATTTATTTTTCGCGTATGCTTAAGTGGTAATTTGCTAGTACAGTAAGCCAGATGCGAAACTAAACACGGTTGATACGGTATAGTACTGGTGGTGGCGTGCTGAGCGTGTCGTGCACACAGTACTTCAACTGTCTTTTACAAGTCCCATGATTTTCCTCTTCAGTACCAGTTACACAAACTTCTCGAAGAAGGCGTTTAGCAAGATGTGGCGAGCTGGTGTGGATACCAAATTTTCGACTACAGAAAGCCCTGAAGATGACGACTGGGAAACTGATCCTGATTTCGTAGTAAGTATTGTATACTAGTTATGATAGTTATACTATAAATTATGGAATTGACATTAGCACAGTGACTGTTGTGTAAGAAAGTTGCAATTCCATTGCGCTAAAACTGCACGGTACTGTACGCATGAATGATGTAAGTAGTTATGATGAAGTAGACGACTAGAGAAGAGCGACAATTCTTACACAGTACTTTCATTACTGGATGCAATTCTACTTCGAAAACTTGAGTATTATAGTTGTCTAATGTATAGTTTGCAATGCCATTCTTAAAGTATGAATCCTACTCATTTATACGTATACTGTTACACAGTGTAAGGAGATGATGGAGTTGTTCTACAAGTTGAATCATTGTTATTCACTTCCTGGGTTACAACATGGTTAGACCTGAGGATATTATGATGCATACGAGTTTATCCACTAGTCTATCATCCATCAATTTGTAGACGGTACTGGGATAAAAATTGCCCTTTTTGATCAATAAAGTGATGAAGACTTCATGTTAGTCAGTAGCAGTACAGAGAGTCATTACTTTATAGTGATTTGTTTTGAAACTAAACTGGGATTATGTGTACAATTTCCCATCTCTATGATTGACTGTACACGTACGAGTATATTCTAATCAATGGGAGTAGTAATAAAGTGATCAAGAGTACTGTACAGCTAGTCGGCTTTTCATAGTTGTCCCTTGAAACGATATACTACATTACATCTTAGTCATTGGGAGTACCAATAGTTACTTTTCTTTACTTATAAGTATACATTGATACTAAATTGGGATTATGTGTAAGAATTAAGCGTACTGTATACTCGGTCAGCAAGGACACAAAGTATCACGAGCACTTACTCTGTACAGCCAATCGGATTTGTATATAAATGGTCAGCCTTTCATAACTACAGTACGTTTTGTTACTAAATCAGACATAGACTACGTGTAGAACTTTCTATTGCCTACTGTACCTTACGTTTGTTTATATGCTAGTCAAGATAAGTGCAGTAGCCAGCTTGTGATAGTTATACATTTTGATGTCAAGCTGTACGTCTACTATGTAATTTCCTGTTCCCCACCACAGTATATACCAAGCCTTCCAATTAATATGTTCAGTTAGGGTTAGGGCAATACTACCGGCTTAGGAAGCGATGTTGTCTTCTAATAACTATAATGCGACAAGTATTAGCTGCAAAGGCTTGCACTAACTAAATACTGAAGTTAACGCAATACTGAAGTAGCAAGTCGAGCTCTAAGGCGTACATAGTTGTAGATGTAGCCATATTTTGCGGTGTTGCATTCGTAGATCTGTCAAAATTAATACCATTGCTAAGTACGAAGTCGAAAAGGTACTTGCCCAAGACTTGGCTACAATTTACAGTATTATAATGTACAGTTGCCAAAGTTAGTACCATTATTAAGTGACAATTCGAATAGGTACCTACTACAGAACATAACAAAATACTAGGTTATACAGTTGCAGATCCGGCCACTATTTCCAGTCTTATAAATTTACAATATTGTTCCACTCATTGCTTAGACTTTACTACCGCTGGCTCGTTTTACATTATTAACACATTACGATCAAGTACTTCTATCATACAAACTAATTTTTTCTCCCCTGTTTATTTTTACACTTTCTAGAACGATGTTACTGAGGAAGAGCAGCGGTTCGGATCCAAAACAGTCGAAGGTTCTGGTTCACAGCGAGTCCTCGAGTGAGTTCTACTCTTACATACAAAGCACAGTATTTTTTATAATACAGTACGTTTCCCAAACTGCCAGATGAATGAACCTAAGACTGACATTTAATTGTTTACTTGCAACAAACCGCCATGTATAGTATTGATCTTCAACGTGTCTTTGATATAACAAAGTATCTTCTACATTCTATACATTAGTTGAATCAATTTCCGTCTGAAGTAGAATGAAATAGTTAACAGAATCATCATGTTATCTTCCTAAGTAATTTATCTTTAAATGATAGAAGAATATTGTCAAAATAAGATTTAACTTTGTCATTACTGTATATTGTATTTCATGTACTTGCATGTGATATTCCCTGAAACACACTTTACTTATAATAGCGTAGATCAACTTAACATCTTAAGGTGCTCTACTTTAGTGTAAAGCTATATTAAAAATTATGTTACTTTCTTTACAGCATGAATAAACTGAGAGATGATGTTAAGGACTCTGATAAGAAGAGTAAGGAGGGTAAGTTATTCCATGTAACGTTAATAATGTCGATAGGGTGATAAAATTTTTTATTCTTAAACTTTAAACTTTTTTAAATATCTATCTTTCATTTTATACATACATATATATAGCTCAAGGGTATCCTGAAAGACTATCAAATCCATCTTACTCTTTTGATATAATAATTACACCTACTCACATATTTCCATTGGAGCAAAGTTATTTGTAGTTAATGTACTCAATATCTAGTTTGAAACTGCTCAAACTACTACTATATATGAAAGGTTTTTAAAACTTGTACTTGCTGGTTGTAACTTCGAATTTTAATAGGAAACAGAATTCTGCCAATATTCATGTGATCAGTTCTTGTACAGGCGTACCGGTAGCTAGTTTCGTTATATTTTCATTATCCTGCGGCACTAAATTTTTTATTCTAGTTGTTTTGCCTTTCTTTTGAGACTGGAGTTAATTCATAAATAATAGTTTACAAAAGTTGTCAGCTTAACTGAAGTATATTAGACCTAAATACAGCTACGGATACGGCGGACAATTTGGCGTACAAAAGGACCGTATGGACAAGGTAATACGTTGTTTATATTATTATATATTATCATTAATTGTAAGTTTATTTAAATCATTGTAGGTATCGGATATGTTGTCGTAATGAAAGCAATTAGTTTAGGCTGCTTAATTTGATAACACAAACTATCTTATCTAATAATTTCTATAGCTATTCACTTTATCATATTGTAACACTTAGTATGCATAGCCTTAAATAATAATCTTCTATAATCTCAATTATAATTATCATTACTTTACCAGTTTACCGTCATAGTAATCATATACGAATATGACTATAGCCTATAATCTATTTTATTTATTGATTGAGTAGAGTGCGGTCAGTAACTCGTATCAGTATGTACCGGAAAAGCATTCATCTCAAACTGATTTTAAGCAAGGATTTGGTGGAAAATTTGGGATACAGAAAGATCGCCAAGATAAAGTACGTAAAATCATAGCTTAATGAAGGCTTTATACTAAGGTCTAGTAGTTACTTTAAGAAATTATAAAAAAGATGTCCTTTTATAGTCTGCAGTAGGCTACGACTATTCGGAGAAAACGGCACTGCATTCATCCCAAAAAGGTAGCTTTTATGGAAATAATAAATATGATAAATGCTGAATGATTCTTGGATAAGTATAAATATACAAAAAATTACAAAATGCTTAGTGCAACCCATCATTAATTACAATACATAATACTTTAGCTGAATTAATTTATAAGTATTGCTTTTCTTTTAGTATCGTGTATTTAGAAGTAGTTGATATTTTCATTGCCAATTTATACTCTGTGTGAAAATGACGTTTGCAAAGGTCAAGTGTCATAAGATTCTTAAATTTATTATTATTATTATTATTATTTCTTCCTAGATTATTCTAAAGGTTTTGGAGGTAAATTTGGTGTTCAGAATGATAGACAAGATAAGGTTAGCAGATCTGATATAGCTTTATACTTAGTCCTGCAATTACATCAAAAATTATAAGAAAGATGTTTTGTTATAGTCTGCAGTAGGTTTCGACTATACGGAAAAAACCGCGTTGCATTCATCACAAAAAGGTAATGATATCAAATAATGATAAGTGGTAATTATTTAAAAAAATGTAAATAAGCAAAAAACTTATAAAACGGCTAGTGAAATCATTATTCGTTGCATTAGAATAGTAGTTTAGCTGAATTGATTTATTACCCTTTCTTTTTATGTATAACTCAGAGGCGGTTAATATTTTCTTGCCAATCTATGCTATTTACAAAGATTGTGTTTATAGTACTAATAAATTATTACCATTTCACACCAGATTATTCCAAGGGCTTTGGAGGAAAATTTGGAGTTGAGAAAGATAAACAAGATAAGGTTAGTAAATCTGTTGAGAATTTGTACATAAGTCCAGTGGTAACATTAATAAACTGTAAAACAACTACTTTGTTATAGTCTGCTGTAGGTTTCGACTATGCGGAGAAAAATGCATTGCATTCATCCCAAAAAGGTAGTTACTTGATATCTAAATAAATGGTGCTTATTTTGGATAGATAAATATTTAAAAGATAATAAAATGGTAATGCAGTCATCATTCATTGCAACGGTAGTAATAGTTAGCTGAATTGGCTTATAGCTATTCTATTTAGTGTATAGTATTAGAAGTAATTCATATGCCCTTTACCAATCTAGTATATTGTCTACGAGAATGATTTTAAAAGATTAAGAACTGTAAAAAATTGTTATTATTTTAAACCAGATTATTCCAAGGGCTTTGGAGGGGCATTTGGTGTTGAAAAAGACAAACAAGACAAGGTTAGCAAATCTGCTAGCGCAGTTAAGCTTTTCAACTTTTAATTGTGGCATACAGAAATGAAATAGGATAAGCTTGATATTTGCGATACTAGAAATACTTAAGATCGTCCATTCTGACCATTGATTTGTAGTCCGCCGAAAGCTGGAGTTACGTCGGTAAATCCGAACTTCATCAATCTCAAAAAGGTTTGGTGTATAATTTATTATAAAAACAGTACGATTTCTATCCTAATATGCACTGAAAATATGTGCTCACAGAATTTAGAATTTATTGCTTCAAATCTTTGGGTAGATATAGCTCTACAAAGAAGTGATGTAATACTAGATATTTACCTGTTAGGGTCTTATGATTTTATTACAGCCCACTTAGCTGCAATTACGAATACAAATTCCAATAGTTTTATTTATGGCTAATACTGTTTATCGTTACTAGACTACTCGAAAGGTTTCGGAGGCAAATTTGGAGTAGAAACTGAAAAGCAAGATAAAGTAAGGATTATTTAGCTCGGTATTTCATCATATAGAATGACTTCTGTGTCAGTCTAGAAGTTTTATTATGTAAACTGTGCTTTACTATCTGGTATAAATTACATGATTATTTACATTTTATTACCTAGTCAGCTAACAGTCACAGTTTGATACAATTTTTCTTCGTCAATCATTACAAGCTGCTATCATTCTTTAATTTATATCCTCAATTTTTTTGTAGTCTGCCGAAAATTGGAGTTACGTTGGAAAGAATGAATTACATGAATCTCAAAAAGGTTTCACATCCTATTATTTAAACTTCGTATTTTTTGGTTCTTAATAAGCTGATTGTACTACTACACAGTTACAACGATAGTAAAATAGAATTGTCATTAAATGTACAATATTATGATACACTCTAATACTTTACCTTCATTTATGGTAAGATTACTCTCGCGGTTTTGGAGGAAAGTTTGGTGTTGAAAGTGATAGACAAGATAAGGTATGGTAATGCTTTATATTTTAGTAGTTGTCTTGGGAGCTAATTTCTATTCATTTATTGCACCCCAGTCTGCACATAGATTTGAAGAAGTCACTAAATCTGAATTGCATTCATCTCAGAAAGGTAGGTATCGTACTTAAGCGTAACTACGATTAAAGTATAATTATAATAAAACTAGCGTGAAGATAGCACGTAATACGTATGTCTTTCCCGTTAAGATTATTCGAAAGGTTTCGGTGGAAAATATGGAGTAAGTGAGCAAGGATCGACGGAGGTAAGTTTACGGACTACAAAGTTTTATAATTAAATTGGATGGTTGACTTTAGACACAGTACATGAACGTCTTTGCTTATTAATTTCTTCTCGAACTAATCTTATTTAAAATTATGTACATACTGTATAATTAGCAAAACTCTGATCCCGAAACTGCTACTACAACAGAAACACAAACTACACACAAAGGTTATAGATTTATAACTTACCCTTTCAATAAATAATTATATTTTGCGATAATTCGTTACTGTACTATAATTGTTAATAATCAAGCTATATAGTAGTAAAATTGTGTAATGCTTTTAATATATTTAAACCAAAGTGTTAATCTAACATCGTAATGCAGTTAAAAATCTTACCGCCTTCCATGCGAGCTGATTACTTTATAAAATTCCATACCCATAGATATTCGATATCTTTAGGTTATAAACGCTTGTAGCTATTTTGTCATATAATATTTATCTTCGTTTGATCATTAACAGTTGATATAGTCCCTGGATCTTTAAGTAATTTACGCAAACGTTTTGAAAAGAATGCGGTAAGTACATAAAATGGTAATAAAAGTATTTCATGATCTATCTTTCCCACTTACAAATGCATACTTTACTCCGCGATGTGATATTTACGGTCATTTAGCAGGTAATCGTTTTCGATCACAAAAAACATACACAACTAGGCTAACAATACAGTAACATGCGTGATATTGTGACATAATACCTATCTAAGAACACAATGGAGCATGTGTTGGATTATTACTACTGAGTTTTAAGTGAATTCGCAAATAGCTAGCACAATTATTAGCAACTCTAGAGCAGAAAAGTTTATTGAAGGTCGTTTAAGCAGCAACAAACGTACGGAACTATCCAGTCTCTGAATAGCGTAAATGTATAGTACTGTTTGAAGCCTCGCTAATTATATGCCTTCGTGCAGTACTTGCTTTATCTGAATAATGTAATGGCTTTTGCCTAGACCGCAGCATCTGAAGCCTATTCTTTTGTAGCAGCTGATTTAACATCGCATCAATACTGATGATGAAAGTAAATTTTTAAATCGTCCTTATACCATTTGAATTTAAGGAAGAAGAAGTCAAAACGGAAGCTGAAAGATCCATAGAATTATCTAACAATCCCGAAGCCACTCAGGCCGAAGTTAGAACTTAGTCGTTAGATTATTTCATCTTCTTTTATCTGTATACATCATTCAAATCGGGCTAAATGATTGCATTTTGGAATAATAGACGTCAACATCTGTAAATGAACAAAACGAGGCTCCAGAATGTGATCAGCATCAAATAGACCAACAGCAAGAACTACAAGCAACTCCTGAACAACCTCCTTCCAACGTTAGTGACGTAATGAAAATACATGTTACCTACTTTTTTATCAACTTATTATCTTATAATCTAAAATGCTAAGAACTTAAACATACGCGTATAGCTATAGAAAACCATCCTAACGCCAGATTACTACCTAATATTCACTTTATCAGGAATCAGATGAAATGGTTAAACCCCAAGAGGCTGCAGCAGATGCTAAAATAACAGCAAAAGTTATTTACGACTACTCAGCAGGTCTGCTTAATAATGATATCTAACTCTTAATACAGTACTTTAGTATATACAAATGTTAAGATATATATGTATATATATTGTAAACGTTCTTGCATAGACAACTAACAATAATATAATTACTGATTAATTATATGCAAGTAGCTGATGACGACGAAATCTCATTAGTCATTGGAGAGACCGTCTCTAACATTTCAGTAATAGACGAAGGATGGTGGTATGGAGAATGCAACGGCAAAAAAGGAATGTTTCCGGCAAATTATGTTGAAACTATCTAATAATTTTTGATAGGACGTAACACTTATGTTGATTAGTCTGATTAATTATTAAATATTAATGCGACAAAATAGAGAGCACTATTTTTTTGTGCGACAAATAGTATAGTACAATAATAATAGTTTACGTAATTTTACGTTTAGTGGAATATGTTTGATTACATTACCTGAAATAGAACAGTTAAAAAAGTCAGATTAGCTTCGACACCGTATAGTTTTGATTATCTTTTATATTTTAATGAATTTATACAGTATATCATTATATCACTTTATGATCCATATTCCGATATTGATGAACAATGATCACAACAAACATTAACAAATACAACGTAAATACATACTGGCTGAAATACACGTTACGTAGTGCGAGTTACTAACAAAATTCGGCTTGGTTCGCTCAAGTAAGAGTTATAATTATAGCATGTTCGTATCGTACTGCAGAAATCTGATCACTATGAATTAGGATGCGGTATGAGTTCGAAGAAATAGTTTAAATAGTAACGTACGTAGGTAGCTATACAGTACAGTAAACCACTAGATTAGATAATATAATATCAACATTACAATAGAAATCGTAAAAGCTATTTCATTTTTGCCTTGCTTACAATTCAACCGTGTTGTACATCTCATACATATACCTTGTACCATGTATACAATGTGTATCAAAATACAACTTTTTACTAACAAATAAAAGAAATCTTTAACTTCTTTAATATTCGTTTTACCTCGATTTCACTTATTCAGTGTTGTCTCATCAGTAAGGTAGATATATTATACATTATAAAAGTACAAATTCAAAAGATGATAATCCTTTATACCGTTATTACAGTAAATTATTCCTGGTCTTCATCTATAATACATTCGAAGAATAGTATGTGTGGAAGCAGTAATTCGAATATCAAGGAAATACGACTAGTCAAGATGAACTCATTGTCGTCTTTAAGATAGCACAGTAAGTAGCATAAGTCATTCGCAAAACCAAAAAGCAGATCATATGGAAATCAAATGTATTGATTTTAATTTGCGATAACTTATCTAATACGGACAAATACCATACCCCTAATAATAAAGCAAACGCCAATGTAGTACTCCATTTATTATTATATTATCAACCAATAAAATTCTGCACAATAAGCTCAATTGGTCTGCGACAAATTGGGCATTTTTTCCGTCTACGACGTAACTTTTCCGCACAATTGTAACAACAAACTTGATGACCAATACCTTCATTTATATGAATAATACTTGCCGATCTCGGCTCAGAAAGGCAAATCATGCACATTCCATCAACAGTACTCAATCTCTTGTTTGACGCCGACTTGTACCTTTTAAGCTGACGTGATATTTTGCAATGTTTCTTCTTCCGTTGCTCCTTCTTTAATCTATTGTTGCGATTATTACTTCTAACAGGTGAATCAATGTGACTCTCCGAGCCAGAACTATCTGATTCTTGCCTTAAACTAAAATCTATACTACTATTGGCAGATGTCGAAAGCTCCAAGTCATCATCTTGAGGTATCAAAGATAACGTACCGTCATTGGTATCGTCTACAGCAATATCGTCATCACTAGGTAACCAATTTTCACGTAATTTCCAACAAAATGCACAATTACGAGCAATTGGATTATTTAACTGTTGGCAATACAAACACTTCCAGTGATCTTTTTCACCAATCTCTGGATCATCATCTCCAATGTTGTCGGCTGAATTTCTTTCATCCTTGATGCTCGATATTACTTCGACAACATCCGAAGAAGAAGAATTTGAATATCCTGAATTTGGAGCATCGGTTTCACTATCTGTTACTGGTTCCAATTCAAAAGTTGGATAATTAGTGTCCTCCAATGACCAGTCATTTTCTTCTGGTTCCGAAGCTGTACTGGTCTCATACCCAACGACAGAATCGAGCTGCTGCTGTACTTGAGCTTTTAATTTTTCTAATACACTAAATAATGTGGGTTTACTACCCTTGGCTACTTCTGTACTATCAGGAATCTCTTCTTTTGTTAATGAATTGTCATAGTGAGCCTGAGAATTCTGTCTTGATCTCCAGTCAACATTTATGACACTTTGTTCTAAAAAATAAAAAATAATGTCAACAAAATAGCGCTTTCATATCTGTATCTACTGAACAAATAATTCTTCAGGTCCAGAATTACTGTATAATAGATAATTCATAAGCGAATTACAAGTTAAGCAAAGTACAGATAAAATTTACATAAAAGTAATTGAGAAGCGAAACAATAACTGCTTACAACAAGTGTAAAATTGTAAATAAATTCTAAGGATATAAGCATTGTAATTGTGTAACAATAAATACAGGAAGCGTTATAAAACATCTAAAGTACTGTATAACAGCAGACAAAGGGTTTTTTCGTAAATTTCAGTAGTCCACATATACAACTTCCAATACAGTAGCTTATATCAAGGCAAATTAATAATTATAATACTTGTACTTGTACGATACACAATCATAGCAATGCATTCTGTAACCATTACATAGACTACATAAATTACAAGAATGGCATAAAGCTTAAATCAACGCTATACGGTAATATGGAGGGCATAATAAAATTAATCTTGAAATAATGTCTCTCTGTGTATCACTGCTTATCATTATTAAGAGCGCACTACATGATCACGAGAATGGATAATGATGATTGCACCTAGTACTGCGATGTTACTTTTTCTGAAAACGCAACAAACTTGAACTACGTGTATAACGTGACTGATTAAATTTATTTTCTAGAGTAAAAGCTGCTCTACACTTTGTCTCAATATACCGGCAACATTACTAATCACATAAATTACCGTTCGCAACCGGAACAACCTCTAGATGCATTTTTAGTCGATCCCATAAATTGGCTACCGGAAATTGATCACAAGAAAGTAATTTTTCCAAAGGATCTCCTTTACAATCCACATAATCCGCTCTAAGAGGATTACACAACTTACGGCTAGATATATAATCAATCAGATATTCCATTACCTGCAGATATCAAAATAAGTTATGATTTAATATAATTTTTTTAAAATTCTATTTAATGATTACTGAAGCATTTTTTATCTGGCTAATCAGTGAATTTACTATTATTCGTCAGCAATTTTATGCAAATTCTGATTTCTTAATCTATTGCCGTTCAATACACTCGATGTATGATGAATAATATTAAGTAATTAATTGAACCAACTGACCTGTAGAGCTGTAAGTTCTTTACCATTCACATTTTCTGGAGGCAGAAATTGCATCAATTCGGCATTAGGCTTGACCACCTATAAAAATTGAAAATAGTGTTAAACTTACGAGTACGATACTTACAAAATGAATGAGTTAGAGTGCAGTTTAAATTTCACATATTAAAGAAGCACAAAGAAATTGGCATTAACATTGATAGTATTGATTTATGCTATCAGTCAAGATATAACAATTGATTAATTTCGAAGGTGAGGTAAAGCCATGAACTATTAAAATTCTATTTATTACTAGATATGACTGCTAAGACCGTAACCTTCGAATGCAGAATGCTGATATTTATAACAGCATATTGAAAATTTTGAATGCCTAATGTAGTCTGAAGTAATGAAAGCCATCCACTATATGTAACGGCGTAGAGCAGCTAAGAGGTCATGCAATAATAGAATCAATGAATTTTGTAGTCATCCTTGGTTTACACGTATACTCGTGACACTTCTATAATACTCTTAATCATATTCTCTATGATCATTTTCTATTACATAGTTATCTACTGTACTGTACTGTACAATATCAGGTATTGTTGTTCGGCAAGGAAGGACTTGCGCGAATAACCATACTAATTTGTTGAACCCAAGTCAAGGCGCATTTACAATGGAGTCGGTGTATGCGATTTATTTTCTTTTTAAGTTTTTCATAATACTATTATTGTCAACTCACTACTTTATCGACATCAATGAGCTTATTTCAAATGTTGTCCTGTACCATTCGTAGTTTTCCTACTACTGTATTGAAGGATAGCACTATCAAAAGTTCCAATCTACTGTAGGTGATTGGCTCAAGCTGACAGACAGACTCGTGGTCATCTTGACTCTTGGTGCAAATATGCGATATTTATTGCACGGTGACATTAACAATTTTCGAAACTTCTTTCTATCTATGTAACAATTTCATTTTCATCAAAGTAAAGGTGTAGAGTACTTACAAGACGGTCACCATTATAACTGAAAGGATCTCTATCAGAAATGACAATGCGATTCTTTTTTATTTCCTCGTTCAATTCTCTGCTTCCATTATCATCCATCTTCTTGTGAAAATTGTCGTTGCATGGAATCGTTGCACTATCACAACTTGCCATTGGTTGGTTTCTTGAATTAATTGATTTATCTGTACAGCTTTTCAAGTTAACCGATCCAATACCACTCTGGCTAATTACACCTTTCAATTCCATCTATCTTGACGTTTGTAATAACTCTATACGCTAAAAAATAATACGTCCACTCGTCCACAAAACGACACTGTGCAACTTATCTACTCTATCGGTATTTTTCTCTATTCCACTAGTATCTAGCTTAACCAGTCTCAATTCGAGATTTTTTTGGTTGAATTTTTATAACATTACTAGAACATCATTCATACTTATAACTTCATTTGCTGCTATCGTCTCCATCAATTTTAATCCAGCTGTTGAAGCCATCTTGATCAAGGATTTCTTCCCTTTTCTTTCTTTGCTTCCAGCAATTGAATCCAATAATAACTTGGATCGCAGTGAATTTTATATCAATATGTACCGTATCCAACTAGAATAGGGTACACATTCCAATACAAGTCAATCAGAAAATCAATTTAGGAATTGCTGCTATTTGGTTCAAATTGTCAATCCGTTTCTATGGAGTTCTGCGTGTAAATGACTCGCTTCCACTTTGAATCCTGTAGCTGGCTTCAGTGGAACTGGTTGATTGCTTTCGTATACGATTTGATATATCGTACAATACGGTACTGTACGGTACTGTACGGTACTGCACGGTACTGTACGGTATGGTCTGGTTCGGTGTGGTACGGTACGGCGCGGTACGGTACAGCACGGTGATCGCCATGGCTAATGACTGTCTGACGATAGCGGGATAGGAGTCAGTCCTAGATAGGACTCTCATTGGGTCGATTGGTAGAAACCGGCCAATAACAGTACTGTGACTTCAAACTGAGTCAACACTCTATGGAGTAGTAGGAGAACTATCTTGTCCGATCAAGGATAATAACAATCCACTTGACTCACGACCATTTTCTATTATTTGCTTATTTTTACACGATTATTTTTTTTTTATTTTTTGTTATACTGTATAACCGTAATAAGAGTAAACACAGCCAAATTTTATGGAGTGAGTTTACAGCAACTTTTGACTGAGATAATCGATTGAAAGGAAATTAATCCCACCCATCTTCTTGAACCCCTTCACAATTTTAATCCATCGACTCACATGATGTCAAATGAGTCTAGAAATATGGATTGCATAATCGGTAGAATCTGAGATGCAACGATATTGCAGGCTAGTTGCCATTCCAATACGGGCTTGCACGAGCATGTCTGCTGGCTATCTATCCTAGTCAACAGATTGCTTGTCCAACATCATTTCCCTGCAAATGCTTACATAGAGATCTTTTCTCGACAGTTACTGACTGCCCATCGAGCGCTACCCTAGTACAATAGTACACAAGAAGCAAGAAGTATGAGGGAATGGACAGTGAAACAGCAATAGTATGCATCGCCATTGCACTAGTTTAAGGCGCAAAAGTCCGATGCAAAGCAAAGGTGCCAGCGGAATCTGTACATACCTGCCCGCTGGAAACTGATTTTGATTGGGTAAAAAAAAAAGCGATGTTATGAGAGGAATTTGTTATTCTCGCGATTCGATTGGTCCATTTTCTTCGCGCATACTCAATGTTGATTCATCACGCAGGCGTCAAAGAACTACTACAGTACAATACAGTCAAGCGCACAGTACAAGTACTTATGTACTGTACACTGTAAACTGTAAAGTACAGGACAGGTCGGGGGTCTGCTGTTATAGAAGAAGATGCCAACTATAAATGGAAGACCTTCAAGTCGGCAATACTGTAGATACCAAGTATCAAAATTTTTTTAATTTTGCTGTGCATCTTCGCTAATATGAATCATATTGGTAAATTGCATTTGCAGTTAGAGCTTGAAAGTACGGTGCTGTACACAGTTTAGTGCCGAAACAACTAGAATTTACAAAAGCAGCTATGAGCATCTGTAGACTAATACCATGGACTACTAGATGCACCTGTAATGGAGTAGTCCATGGCTTCATGCTAATATTGTACATTTGAAAAGCGACAGGTCTGCTGTCCGTCTGCTAGACTTCTTCACAGTTTCTCTCAAGTGATTCCTGCCATGGACTACTACAGCAAACCCATACCACGGATGTTACGGATGTAACGCTGTTAGAATACGCGTATATACAATAATTAGTCTATCGACTACAGAGTTCAGCTGCCGTATTGCCCTAAATGATATCTTTAAATTAAATTCTTCAGAAATTTACGGTCTGTCCAACCATTTTACAAGTCACGTCATAATAATCGTCTAATGAACGGCAACCAGAAATGAAAAATAGATACGAGATTACTACAGTATTGACTAGTACAGCAGTGAATGATTGACAATTTCACAACGAAATCGACATCTGTCCATGGTATACGAGTACAGTACAAGTTGACAAGTAATTTGCAATATCTTCCACTCTAAAACTGGTAATTTACCATATTCCTTTATTAATTATACGCATATTAATAATTGCTATTGCGTTGACAGTCAGTCAAATTGAATAAGGATTAGCCTATAAACAAATTCATCTATAAGCACTAACTTTTACCCAAACTTGGAATAATTTGTATAAACAGTTACATCCTAATTAGTTTTGTACAAAACTGCAATATAGTTGAAAATAAAGTCAATTAATTATAATTACATACTTATAATATATATAGTACATTACTGCAGTAGTCACCGTAATATATAGCACAGCAGAAGACGTTCAAATGATAGAAAAGTGTGCGTATATAGAATAGTAGCTTACCCAGCCGACATATGCGCATTAGAAATGGCATTTACAAGGTATAAGATTGCTAATGGTAATTTAAATGACAATTAAACCTTTCTACAGAAGGATTTACTTACTTTAACAATATCAGATATAAAAGATAGCTGACTCATATGCATTTCATATACTATACGTAGATACGACTCCAATCAAAATGATCTAAAATACGAAGTCAATTATTCGTCTGAAACAGTAACGAATAACCGCTGGATAATTAGCTAGAATTATACGTTCATTTTAAAAGATCAATAGTCGGCATTCTTTTCATGATAGCATTATAATCTCCATGATTTCTTAATAACAGCATAAAAAATATCATCGTCTAGACCAAATGCTAATCCAATATAGTAAAGTAGAAAATCCTACAGGAAGATATTCAGAAGTTAATAAAAGAGAAAAACAAGCCCTCCATACCCTTACTGTGGAAAGATACAGTAGACGTATATGCTGCATTATAATTATTGACAGTACATGTGGCCTGTACTATAGAGATCCTGAAAATATTGTATTACAGCATAGTTATTCTATCAGTATATAGGCATCCAAAATATCTAGTTCGATTGATTAAAAGATATTGCGGATTAAAGGCATTCTACTCCGATAGAATACTAAACACCTCCTAAATAAAATTCCGTAAATAATGATACCTACCCAAAAGTAAACTCTTCCATGTACTATACTATCACCAAAGGATTCTATAAATTGTACCGCGTCTGTATGTGGCGAAATGTAATCTTCGATTGGAGAAAAATCACAATAAAATATAATTATAAAAAAAGTAGCAATATAGCTCAAACTATTAAAAGATCATTTTACTAGTGCACAATAGTATTTGATAGTAATACATGAATAACATTACAGTACTGCAAAATGCCGAAATAAATAAAATGCATCTATTTCAGCCTATCCTACTTTAATAGGATGCTTTTCTGGTAACTTATTCTAATTTTATACTGTCACTTCATACTTATTTTGCACAATACTGTTGTTTTTATTAGATACTTTAATTTCATTGATTTACTGTCTATTAAATGTAAGACCTGATTAATCTGTAATCTTACCTGGTATATTTGTTAACATATTAGTCGGAAAGGTATAAAATTTCTTGATTTCAAATATATTAACGACACCTTGCTTGCTTGAATCTAGTTTCCGGAAAGCCTACAATTGCAAAATTAGAAGGAAGAAATAATTTAAATTCAAAATTACCTTATTAATAACTGTGCCATTTTTTCAATGCTTATTCTTAATTAACTTACTAGTGTATAGTAAGATCTTTTTTATCAAATTTACTTGATCTAACATTAGATAATAAGATCTCATTGCCATATGATTGAAAACTTTCAATTATATTCCTTTCATTTAAAAAAACTGTCTTTGAATAGCCTAAGCTACTATACCGTCAAAAGCATAAACTTCCTCGGCATAGCCCTTAGTATACATGCCGGCTAAAATTTACTGAATATGAATAACATTATTACCGCTTGCTGCAACTTTACATTTTATACTGAAATATTATTCTTAAAAATGTATATATCGGCATATGCATAAATTTTGATACAGCTAATGCTTTAATATACGTATATGCAAATATGTACCACTGAAATTGCATAAGTAGAACAGGTTATAGGAGTGTATTTAGCAACTAACTAACTCTATAATTTCATACCTTTCGTATCAATGAATGTTTAGCCTCTCCAATTTCACCAACCAATAGTTGCATGAAAAAGGAATAATCTGCGTGGGTGCTTTTCTCTATATCTACTTCATACCATAAAATCTCAAAATCCTAACAAAATTAATATTTGGATATTTCTTGTTACATGTATTGATATTTGATATATTAAAAATAATGAATATTCTCTTCTCAGTTCCATTCAACATCATCTCATTATTGTAATTGTAAGTTATCCTAAAAAGTCTATTCGCTTATAGCTACGCAGCGGTATGAGAATGTATTCGATAAGCGAACCTTGTCGGTGATATCTATGTGATATCGCTTCAGAGCAAGTTTAAATTGATTTTTGTCTAAAGTGGAAGTAGATTGGCGATCTAGAGTTCTTAGATACTGTCCCAACCCAATTACAGTCTTGATGCCTCGTCGTTTTATTTCTTTCCGAATGCTGTCTTTAATTTTAAATTACAAAAGTAAGCATACGAGTAAGTTCAGATGTAAATTACCTTCGAGGATAATAAATTACAAAATGGATAAATAAGTCTATTATGATTATGAGTACCACACTGGATCATAAAATATACAATTTCGAATCATTTACGTCATAAAATTTCCTTTACAGATATACTAAGATATTTTACCTTGAATTGCTAGTAAATTAGCAGCATGAATATCATTTTCTACATCCTCTTTTACACTTTCTTTAACACTGTAACGTACCAAAATTTAAAGATATCGTAGTTAAAATACACATAACGTGCACCTCAGATTATTCCATTTCTCTTACGTTATCAACTACGGCAATAACTTTAATCTTATGTAAAAAATTTTATGATACGTGATATAAAGAATAGCAATTAGAAATATATACAAGTCGATACTCACAGAGCCGCATCTCTGGCATCCTCATCTACATTTGTAATTCGAAGGATTAAAAACTTTTTGGCTGATAAAGACTTTGGCAGTGTTGTTTTATTATTGGTTTCAAAAATTAAATTATTTCCCTAAATTAAATCAATATAAAATGTGTATGAAAGTCAATACCAGTTTTAGTTTTAGAAGTTATATCCTTTCACTTCATGTCAATTGCATTCAATGAAGACTTAATATCGAACCCCTCTCTAACATCGATGTCAGCCTACTCTTAGAAGCCAAACAAGTAAAGTGATACACTTGAGATATCCTCTTGCAGTACATAATTAAATGCCCGTACCCAATACGATATAAAATATAAACGAGAAAAACTTGTGGCATTCTCCGTATGTGCACGCATTTTCTCACCGTTTGAATATCTTGTAAAGATATCCTTTTGCCCTGCTTTAATCCATAGAAATGGTTGTAGATATCACGTTGAATTAACGGTAACGCTGTTGATCTATACATATTATTCATTGTTATATAAGTTTTTTAGAAGATGCACCTTCAAGTGCTCAGTTAGCATAGTAGCTATTGGCTGTTAACATAAGTAATATTTCATATAAACGTAAAAGCCACACTTAGTCTTAAATGTGGCCATACACCACTTCCAAGCGATCACAACTAGACTTTACCTGCTTCCGATTTGATGGTATTCATATATTGCTAAGCTTCCGTCATCAATGAAATAAAAGCCATCTAATTCCTTCAACGCATCTGAATTGGTGCTGTTTATAAGCATGTAAAGATATTAGAATTAAGTCGACTTTGTAAATTTTCAAGGCAAAGAGACTTTTAAATACAACATCTAATACGTATAAATGATATATTAAATTAATCCTATCTAATCTAAGAATATATTTTGTATCATTAACCCTCGTAGATTTAATGTGATCAGAAGCACAATAAAATTTTGTTCTACCTTGATATAATTCGAATACCAAATCTAATTCGGTGTTGCAGTGAGTTATCTGAATGACGATTCTGGCTGTAGGCAGTTCTATAATCAATTATAATAATAATAAACAGTATTTGTAGCAAAGTCAAAAACTTGGGAAATAAATTTCTTTAACAGTTACTGTGAAGAAGCACTGTTATAACTTTTAGTTCTCATTCAAGGAAAATTGCCCAAAATTTGAAGTGTAATCTTAATATATAGTAAATTATTTTAACTATTCAGTTCCAGTGATATTAATCATTTAATATTAAAACTTGCAATTTAATTAACAATTCTTAGTCGGGCGATGTAACAAATGTCGTAATCAGTTTTATACAATATATGTAAGGAAAGAGGGATTATGTGGTACCTATTACTAATCAAGTGGCGTCTTGATCGGAATGCTTCTGAACTATTGTCAGTTATTTTACTCGCAACTCTAGCGGATATATCAATCCTAATAAAAATGAAAGTTATACCGCATGTTAAATCAATACATAGCTGGATCAACTTAATAGGTTTCACCCTAATAGATAACAAGTTATCGAATACATTCGTTGATCAGCAAGTTAACAGGTATGAAATCCATTTCACTTCAGTAATGCTTTACAATTAAGTGATACTTAATATAACAATATCCGCATGACTGAGATATGTTACTTAAACTGCACGATAGCATAAATGAATTTTTCGTACTTTTTTAGGTGCTCTAAAACAGCTTCTTCAGCAGCTTCAATTCGTTTAATTTCTTCTGGAGTCATCTAAGTTAGTCATATATTTATGTAGATATTAGAGTTATGTATTTAGCACCACAATAGTATTCTTTAAATAAAGCGTCTTTTCGAAGTAAAATAGCCTCTTACCTTACCAATTAATGATTTTAATGTATATTTCAAATAAACAAAGGCGTGCATTTATAATGTTATTAACGTTATAATAATAGACTGTATGCTGATATTGTGATATCGATACCTTAATATGTTACAATTTACCTGGCTCAAACTTTCTAGACTCTCCAATTTTCTCTGAGCTTGACGAAGAGATCTTGATACCAGTTTACCAGTAGTTTTGCCAACAGCATCTGGTTCCCTTGAATTGCATTCAAAAGTAAAGTATACTAACTATACCACGTTTCACACTAACAACGAATCTACTGTTCTAGTTGATAGTGATATTTCTATAATTTAAACGACGTTCACTTTGACTAAGCGTAAGTCTCCTGCCTAATCATCGATCTTAAGCATTTATTAGCCTCGACAATAATATTTATATCTTACTGTGCGTGGATATTTTTCTCCTATATAATATTGAACAAATAATACAAGTTTTTTAATTAGCGATACTAAATAAATTTTTGCAATATTAAATAGAATACATAGGTATTCTCTATTACCCAGGAAAAGTTATATCAACACTATATGAATCCATAAGTTTTAATTTTTTTAGAATCTCAGATTTTATTGCTAACAGCAATGGCTAGTAACTCTGCTAGTTCTGATATTAGATTAAAACTTACTTGTATATCTACTTTCTGAACAAATCCTTCTCTATATGTATCAGGCAGTTTCAACGCTGGAATATCCTCGGGCTTATCGAATGTATCTGTCCTGTTATATACTAATTTTTCCTCCAGTAATTTCTTCTCTTCTGCTTCTTTTCTAGCATCATTGACACGCCACCCACCTCCTCTACCGGTTGGCTGTGGCCTCTTACTTGATAATGGTCGACCCCAACTTTAAAATATTAAATATAGTAGCATTAAAACATTTTATAATCACGAATTACACATAAAAAATTTCATGAAAATTTTTTATGTAACTAGACATAGAAGCTTTACCTAACATTAGAGGTTGTATCAGATGTATCATATGTAGATTGAGAAAGCAATTGATGACTCTGAGGTTTAGGTAATCATCCAATAGTTAAGAAAAATAGATTTGTTAGAGATTCATGATTAAATTCTACTTTTGTTGTTTAAAAGTGTCATAGAAACGAGTTTAAGAGATTTTTGAACTTTAAATGGTAATTAACGAACTCTATCATCGCCTTGGGCCAAATTTCCAAGCTCTAGAGGAGGGACGCTAGAGATATATTATAAAATGCAAAAAGACACTGATATTACGCCTGTATGTCATTAATATAGTGATCATAAATTTACATTCTGAAAAGTTATTTGGAAATATATGTGCCATGGTCAAAATAACGATGCAGTGAAATGTTACTCACTCACCCAAATGGAGTTTTCTTCTGGATACCCTTTTGATCATTGTCTTGCGTAACATCTCTTGCTGGATTCACTTGGTCTTTCTTTTATAATTATAATCAAAAGAATTTATCGATCGACTTCATACTTACTCACTAAGCATATGATTGCTAACATGTACGGTATTTCGACTGTAGAGTACTGCTAATGATATTTTTATCATAAAATTTCCCACGTAATAGCTGTTAATTCATTCAACGGTCAAAGTAATGAAACACAGTACATTATAAGAGTAAATAGCTACAGCATATTAATGGATATTGAAGTTTTTATTAACACATTTGCAATTAAAATGTAGTTCTATAATCTAAGTTCTTTAGATAGGTGCCGTACCGTTGATACTCCAATTTCTCTTTTAGTAGCTTCTAAAGCTGACTTTGTAATAACTCCAGCCTATATACATATATTAAAAATATATCTTAGTAAACATATCAAGGAAATGTATCGCAAGTTGGCAGGAGAATAATCAATAGTAAATTTTAACTGTAAGTGTCAACTGACTGCAAGAAATCGTATTATAAAAGCAACTATCCGCAATGGCATTACAAGAGATAAGAGCTCTAACAATATTCAATTTATTCTATGAGATCACATCTAACGCCAATGATGTAATATACACAAGTGATTTACTAGACTGGCATTACATAAGAGTTGCATCTACAGCTTGATAGTGTAAAATGATGGACAGTAAATAAACCGTTACGATAATGCTTTCCGTTCATACTTTTTGAGATGGTTGATGTCCAGGGGATTGCGGTAGATTTTGGTTACTCCCACCTAATAAATCAGCTACACCGAACCGCTGTTCTCTTGATTTCGCCGATCGCTGGCGAGGAGAATTCTCAATTCGCGAAGATTTACCGTGAACAGTTAAATCAAGAGACATTGATCGTGACTATTGTGTAGGGGATTTTTGCTATCTACGTAACAAATATTAAATTAGAAACGTTCAAAGTAAAATTATTATAGGTAAATAGCCTTGTAATTATATCAATTACAAAAAATGGCTAGAAAGGTGATCATAAAACATATCATTACAGCATAACGCACTTATGCTCCTACATTAAACAAGTACACGTAGAGTATCATCATGCATGATCGTATTTATCCTGGAAGTTACTACTAATATACGGTAAGTTATGTAACTATGCCAATGCTAGCGATAATATTTATCATTGTTATCGCTATGAGATCATAATAGTTTACTATATCTGTTTCAATGATTGTTTATTACCAAGTTTAACTTTAATTTCAAGTTATTTATAAAGTATTTTATACTTAAGTCTAATACTAACCAAACAAGTCCAATCGAAATAATAACAGTTCTTGAGTTTGCGATTTGCAAGTTATGATGTATCCGTCCTCCGTATTGTAGTATTATCCGATTTAATGCTATCCTAGATATCAGTGCTCGCTATCGTACAGTATAATAGTTTAATCTTACTGTAATCGTTAATATGCTTCTGTGTTATCATTTACTATGTCGAAATGAGTTGTTGAATTTTTTGGCTGCAAATCTGCAAAGTCGTTTCTAAGATACGATCTAGCTAAGCGAGCGAACATTGGAGACTGTAGTGAACAACTAACCATCATCTCGTGTCCGCTACAGTACTATAATAGTATAGTCAAGGACCACTAGAAAAATGAATAGTGCCGTACAGATTAAGTAGGACAGTAATATCCGACGGTAAAGTACTATACTGTGCAATAAACGCTGTTCAGTACACTATAGCGTAGCTCATAATAAGACTAAGTATAGCAATGATGAACAATTATATGAAATTTACATATAATTATATACTTAATTATTATATTTCTTTATTTATAAATTCCCAACTATAATATTAGGTGCCATATTTGTAAATTTGCCTTCATAATTTTTGTAGTATATTAGTCTCCTGGGTAGTAAAAGTATCTCTGCTTGTAATAAAATTTAATTATAACATTAGATGCCATTTTTGTAGATTCCCGTTTCTAACTGCTATAGTATGTTAGTCTCCTGTGCAGTGTAAGTATCTCTGCTTGTAGTAAAATCTAATTATAACATTAGGTGCCATTTTTGTATATTTTGTTTTATAATTTCTGTAATGTATTAGTCTCATATATAATATAAGTATCTCTGCTTGTAATAAAATTCAAATCCAGTTAAAACTTCAGCGGACAGTAATGTCATTTATTTACAATTTTTCAGGGAGAATGGGACAGTCCAATATTAGCGGAGGATAAGAATGAACAATGACAGAAAAATCTCACTTTACATATAACCGACAATTAATAACTTCTACTACCTTACAAATAATTATAACTTCCTAATAGACTAGCGTTAACAGCTATTTAAGTTACTTAATCTTGCTAATATTACAATGCCATGAAGAAATAGTTTCAACTAGCGAAACTCCATGGAAATTCCACGGAATAAAATGTGCAATTTTAAGGTAATAACTGCGTAACACACGCACAGTACAATCGCATTAATATGATTTGATATTTTTAATATTTCATAGTAATACAAGTAAAAATAGACAAAATGAACATTTTTAGGTATCAAATACATATATCACATTTGTAAATCACCTACTGTAACGTCTATTCAATACGAACGGAAATTCAATTTCATCTCGCATGTTAGGCATGCTTCATATTTCGAAGGTTGATCATGCAATATTATTCAAAGTATAATTCATTTAGTTAGAAAGTGAATTATGCATGAATTACGATTTGAATTGATCGCAATCTTGTATATTTTATTTTGCAAGTACAATCGTATGCATTGCTAGATTATGCTTACATATATGACAAATCACAGGATAGCCAATGACGCTACGTTATCACTGAAATGCCTATCATCTTTAGCCAATCGTAAATTCTTAACTAAACTTCTAACATAATTTTGATATTATAGCAAGGACAGCGTATAGTTGAGCGTCAGAGAATGTTAATTGGTCAAAATATAATCCAAATTTCGTTTAACTTTTGTCTTTGCAATTTATTAGCAGCGATTGCAAGAGCTGGATTAATTGAAAATTTTTTCATCTCTATATGAAAGGGATAAAGAAAACGCCAAGGTTCTAGCTTATTCCTGCTATAAATCGAGACTTGTAACGAGGAAGTTACAACTTCTATAAGAAATTATTTAAACTATGAGTCTGCTCTGCCCTCTCCAATATCTACCTATAGCACGTGTCTAGATACAGACACTCTCCCCATTAATATTATTACGCAAGAATATCAGCAGATTTCTAGACTATGTGACCTACTGAACTGGGTAATTGGTATTATTGTCACTGATAGCTAGGCAGAATTTATTAACATACTAGCTATGTACAGAGATATCGACAATAATTTCAGTGTAGTAAATCATCTGAGATACCCTATCTTAGCAAATGCTCTTTGAACGGTTTATACACTCTCGATATACAATTATAAATAAGTTAATGACTTTCATTATAACAGTAATAAAGTCAATAACTATAACTTAATCAAAAAATTGAAATAATGGATCTTGAATAACCAAACGGTGTATAGCTGATAATTACATTATAAGGATTACAGTACTGTATAATACCCTTCTGAGTTGGACAGATCGATAATAAACATATATAGTGCTAATTTTAACTAGTAATTACATGATTGACAATATGATATCAACAATATATTATATGCAGCATCTTTTCTCAATTGAAATTCCTATTGCTATCACATTGTAACGTTTTATTTAATATGCTAAACTACTGTGATACACTTTAAGTCTTATCTTAAAAATAATACTATCAATTAACTCAAAACACATGAAAGAAAAAGACATAGTGTATATACCCATGATGTATAATTACCAAAAAATAACGAAGATCTATTTAAATTGAATTTTATGCTACCCCTCTAAAATTGGCCGGGTATCCTAATGTAAATACAAATATACCTTTACACAATAGTAATATAAACCTAATAACTTACATTATATTATCTAATATCGCAGTTATCTAAGTATAATAATGAATACTCAGACTTTGCAATGAGCAACAATTAATGAACTACTATAGTACAAACCATAAAGTCAGGTAGTATCTTAAAAGCCGCGGTAAATTTAATGTAAAATCATATAATAAACAATGATAATTACAGTTTTTAAATTTTAAAGCTTTCCTAATCAAAGATAAACTATCTTTATCCTCAATCACATAAAATAAATCGAAAATTTCTATTTAAACATTTCGAACAAACAGCATATCAGCAATTAATATGTAATTATATGTATTAAGCTAGTCAAAAATTGAAGCCATCCATATAGCAGTTAATTTACCATTATAATATTACTGATGGTATGATACGAAAAATCAGTAATTTGATAGCAATATACTGTACAAAAGGTAGAGTAGAAAATTTCTCTTGGCGTACGCAAGTCAAAAACAACTTTTTAAAAAAGTTTTTAGCTCTAAGAAATAAACGATTGTGTAGAAATAATTTCCCTATCAAGACAGTATGAATAAATGTGCGTCTCAATATTTGCCGTAGGAAAAATCACGTAATTTAAACCGAAGCCACAATATATAAACAATGAAATTATGAATTTCCATCCACGAATATTTTTAGAGATTTTTCTTTTCTAGTAGAGGTCGTCGACAACTTGGTATTATACAATCTAAGCAAAAATATGTTTTGTCATATTTAGCATATAACTACTGCAACTTGACAATGTTTAATCCCTTTTTACTCAAACGTACTTGATATTTTCTTGCCTACGAATTTCATCCCTTTTTGCGGCCGATAATTCCATTGCTTTTTCCTTTTTATCCCTGGGACCAATAATTATTTTTGGATTAGTAAGGTCACTCTTGTAATTCTACATAAAGTTTTATTCTATTTAATCGATCTAAATATTATCGTATCGGATTTACAATTCAGTATATCAAATGATATAAAATCATAACTGCTTACTTATAAATGAATACAGTAATGCTAGGAATGCTGACAATGTGCCATTTTGAAGATGTTGCCGGATACCAATCATGGTTATCATCCAGCTCTAGAGTAGATATATTTACTGGAAATGTTCCTTGACCCTTAAATAATAAAAATTATTTTCACGTTTACGAGCAAAATGCGATATGCATGATGTAAACTTCAAACAGTAATCTAACAAAATACCTATACCACTGACACCAATATCTATCTCGTATGATAACTTAATCTTACCAGAGTAATAACTATGTCTTCAACATGTAGTTTGCTTATTTCAGCAATCTATTGATAGAAAGAGTAACATTCTAAATGCTTACAATGCTTTCAAAAATGTCCAAGCTGATATTAATAAACGCTTAATAATTCGATTGCCTTGAAAGTTAAAAACAATACTTCAAATTCTTTACCTTCATAAATAAGTCATTTGAAGCTGGAGAATCTAGGATAACTTCTGTATAAGGACCAAGGGTAAAAGTTGATGGCTGCCAGTGTCTAACAAGCACTGGTACCTGGTTCATTGAAACGATCGCTTCTTCGGCTAATATAAAGAAAACAGACCTTTAATTGTACAATATATTGCAATTGTATATCGTAGTACTGTAGAAGAGTGCCAGTAATTCTTTCATGCCTGGTAAGATTGTAATATATAATTCAAAAGTATTCAAGGATAGACCAGAAAGAATTGAATCAAAAACATGATCATCCAAATAAACTTTTCCAGAACAAGTGTACCCTTTTTTTCTCAGACGTATTCTACAGTAGTCAAGCATGAAATGAATAAAAACCAAAATTAATATTCGGTAAAAAATTGGATAAAGGTTGCTTATCATTGACATACCTAGATAATGGTATTTCTTTTCCTACTGCTTCATTGACTTGTTGCGAGATCTTGCTCTTGAATTCACGAGCAGTAGAACCTTCTTTTATAATCTCTTCGGTGAAAAACTGTACCGGCTTTAAACATAAGAATAAAGATTTTTCGTTAACTATTTTCAAACAACTACAACATACACAATCTTTTAATTCTCTTTTTCTGTACGCAGTATAAGAATCTAAATAAACATACCCGATCTGAATTTATGTCCAACCAGGATAAAGAGACACGGTGATCACCCTTCTCCAGTGCTCTTCCAGGTTTTATCAACAAGTGAACCTCGCTTGATTGTGCACTAAAGGTTTCATCTGTAGACATCATTTCAATCTCACTCCCACTTCCAAGTATACGACATACCTACATGATGATGATTAAAATCATAATTAAATATGATAGAAAATTAGTGCGGCTCTGTTTATTTGTTCTATTTCAAATGCAATATCAATTTCTAAGGCATGAGTTACTTTATTACCTTAAAGCAGTTCGTCGGCAAACCAACATCTGGTTGAATAAATTCCTTAAACTCTGATAACGACATTCTCTTGTCGATCTTCTTTGTAACCTCTATACCATAACACATGCAATAATAATGTTACCATAGAGAAATTGAACATGCAATTATAAATTACCAATAAGCTATTTAGAAAATTGCTAATAACATTTAAGATACCTATATCTATCTAAAAATATTCTTTATATCATTAATCCTATAATTTAATTATCAAAAAAGGCTATGTAACCTGTTGTATTCTTCTGATTCTGTGATAATGCCATTTTTATGTGAAGTGTAATTAAATTGTTGTGATAATCGAGAACTTTGAATAATTTCGAATTGTTAAACTCTTCTTTTGCATCTTCCTTATCTTTATATTCTATATATAGCTATAGAAATAGGCCAAGTCGTACATACGTTACACTACATTTTTAACGTCAGGACGGAAAATTCTTTCAAAGATTGAAAAGCTGAAATTAAAATTTACCCTGCAAGCACGTGACGGATAGTCATGAACGTCATGCTGACGATCTAATAGCTTCAATCCAGTATAAGAAGACTGCGCAAATCTAATTGTATCATCCTCGGATAAACCTAAACGCTGCAGGAAGAAAGGTGATAACGGGGTTATTGTAGGCCAATTGCCAAGTCCGTTCTTCAGATATATATTCACATGAATATACGACAAACCTTTTTAGTTAGGTCAGCCAGTTCATATGCTTTGCTAGCGTAAGGAATTTTAACAAACACTGAATCTTCAACAGTTCCTGCTTCTAGATTTACTTCAAGTAACTTAATGCTCATGTCTATAATGTGCAAAATATACGGTATGAATCTGATGATAATTTTAGCTTGAATACAAGTAAGATTTGTAGTGTACCATCTGATTTAAAAGTTTGAAAATCTTGATGCTCGTGACACCACTCCAAGAGTAGTTCAAATATCGGCCTAATGCCCTCGAAAGCTTCTTCAACTGTCTTCTCCTTAAAAAGAATTATGGAGTATATCAAAATAAAATACAAACTCGTAATAATTGAAGAAGTACAAAATTGAACTATGCGATACGATGTACTTGTAAGTAACATACCTCAAGCCCTTCGAAAGACTTGTCTACTAACTCGTTACAGGATTCATACTTTACGATCCGACAACGATCTAACGGTACGATGTTTTCAAGTTCAAGCAACTGTAGACAAAAGTAACACAGTTTAATACTAATACATTACATCACACAATCAATTTGTCTAAGCCTTTACAATATGAATAATTACTTTGTGGGCAACTTTAGTTGCTTCACGAAGAGTTATATCCTTATTTATTTCAAGTTTCTTTTCTACCAATGTTTTCTGTATAGGGTGAGAACCAAAGAGTTTAAATCTATACGTCATTCGCTCGTATTCTAACTTCCTTTTGTGGTCATCTTCTTCTTTCTTCAAGTTTTCAATTGCATTATTGATATGTGGAGGAAAGTTACCAAAATCCATAAACTTGCTATTACGAGATCTGTCAATTTGTCGATACATCAACATATATGCATTTGAAGAACTAGCAAACATCGATGTATAATATCGTCTTATTTCTCCACCACCGTAAGCTTTCTCAATGTCTTGTTCATTAACCTATGATAAGGTCATAGTAGTAACATTTATAAAATCATATATAAGCTTTCAAAAAGCCTTGTTTAAAGAATCGTGTGTATAGTAACCTGCGTTACAGACTGATCATTAAAGCAGTACCAGTTGTTGTCATCAAAAGATCTAGAACCGAACATTAAAAGGATAGCATAAGACAATGAAGACCTCTATTGCATATTTGTATCATATATAAGTGTATGAAGGTTCATATACGTACTTTATGTAGGCATAATAATGGCCCCCGACGGCACTTCCGGAATGTATCATAATTGAGAATAATTCATAATTTAATTGAGTCTAGAAATGATTAATAGTATTAGTATTATATAAAGAAATCGCGAATTGCCACTATAAGGCAAACTATAGTAAATGAAGGCATTTATTACGAATAATTTTATTTTATTATACATAATAGATCAATATATAATGCCATAGCAATTTAGAATTTTTAAGCATCACCTGCTGATCTTCCAAAAATTCGGATAAATTTAAAATATAAGGAAAGGTAACCCTATCGAAATAAGACGCAAGAGTAAATTATAATCAAATGTTAAAAATCTAAAACAACCAATATGACATACTAATATACCTATCATTTAGCTTCATCCGCTGAAGCGTATGATAATCAAATGAAAATCTTTTGGAACAACTAAATTCCCATCTATACGTAAAAATACGAAAATGGCATAATTTTACATATATTTATTTGATTAAGCCTTTTATTCTTAGATAAACAATCTCTATCTCTAAGTACCTGTATAAAGCATTTCTAACTCCGGCGTCATGAATAACGTTTGCAATAAACTATTTAGGTAGCAAGTCATCGCGTGATTGACCAATCCAACATAACCTAACGCAGAGATTACAACGTTAGACATTAGCGCTGAACTATTTTGTAAATGATGTACGGTATATTAACAGCTAGATACTGCAACATATTTCATTATTGTAGAGTAATACCTGTATACGTGTACGAGTATCCTATCAAAGATCATGCCCATAACGAGCATTTTTTGAGATCAATATTGCAGCTATAGTAATATTATTACGATAAGCCGTATTAAGAACGCGTGCGTGATATTGCACCACTAGACTATGAGTATCTATAAGTGTTTCATTATGATGGTTGTATGTCATAAACTAAAGTAAGACAGTTAAGATAACTTACCAATCCTACTTCTTTCTTCATTCAAATTATTGCGGAATATATTACTGTCACTTTTCCAAGTATGAGACTTCACTTCATCATTTAAAGCCTAAATAATTTTATGGTATGATTGAGTACATCCCGTTTATTCATGATTCCCAATTTCACTTTTACTCAAAATATGATTATCATTCATCTTCTTCATTATTATAATGGCAAAATGTAACGTAAACTACTGCATTTTCGTTCCACTATTTTCAACATCGCATCAACACGTCGCCATATCTCAACGCATCGATGCATATAAGATTGTATCAAATTGCCAATAGAAGTAACACTGTACAATTTCAATCCTTGCCTGCAATATACGACTCTACTCATCATCATCACAAAAGTATACCATTTTGTATCAACATCGACTGCTAGTAGCAACCATCATGATGAATGTAGCAACTATCATGATGAATGCTCTACATACTGTTTGGTGAAACTCCACAAGCAACGTTTATCTAGCAATTCAATGACTCGTCATTTTAATGCAATTAAGTTTAATCGGTCTGACTAGTACAGAATGGACTGTACATACAACAAAATACGTCTTTTTCGATATTGAATGTATAGTATTGCATTGTATACGCATACGTCGTGCCGTTTACTAATGCATGAGTACTGCGTAAAGTCATGGAAAAGTCGGTAATAGTGAACTAATTAACGATCTATGAATAATTTTATGGCCATCTATTGGGGCATTATCTTATTAGCTCACTATCAAGAGTATGGCATGGAAGCCATTCCTCTACTTGTTGCTGTATGGTGGCAAGCAAGCTAATTGTACTGTATCCTTTTCCATGCAAGTCTAAATATAGCACGCAATATAGTATATTGTAAAAATTGATCATCGATACAGGTCGGCAAGTGTTTATGTTCAGTAAACTGCAAGGTGGAGTTCCTACATGCTAGAAAGTACATGAACTCATTTTATCCCTATTTTACTGCTAGATTATTCAAGGAGTAACACCTTAGCAAGCTATCACGTTGAATTTGAAGTACATACTGTAAGTGATTTTAGAGTGTCATCAAATCCAATAACAATGATAGAGTGGTGAAATAATAAAGCAGAAAGTAATATCAATTATGTTTCCAATCATGCCATAACCAATTCGTGTAGCTTAATTAGCGTAATCTTTGACTTGATGATACCAGTATGATCCAGATCATCATCACAATCTTGATCGATCAATACGACAGTAGTAGACTATGAGTACTAATTGTTATCATTATTATTAATTATTACTAGTATGGTCAGTAGTAGGCTCAACAACGATCGATATGCACTGATGATTGACCTAACCTTAATAGGCAGAACTCCATTTTTCTTTCGAAGTGCCAGAAAGATTCGAGCATTATCGTTAACATCATACTTAGGGATTAATTCGCTATCTTTAAGGCATTGCTCAGAATTGATATCTAACAATTTCTCCGCACTGCAATCTTTGTTACTATGTCGCCACCATAATTCGAATGAATGATGATCGTAATCTGCCATTTTGGCCACATCTCGATAGATTGTAGCATTGGTGGAGGAAGCACTCAAGTTGATAGTAAAGTCGCGGCATTCGGCTGTCCGATCACGAACTATAAATGTAAAGCGTTTCTGATTGTCATCAGCTCCTTCAACAGCGGTCATTTGTACCATTTTCAGGTACTTTTTAAGCGATGCTCGTTCGCGTTCAACAAGAAAATTTTGATTTAGATTTTAGTTTTAATCTACCAGCCGACAAGTGACAATTGCAATGCGGCGGCAGTCAGCAAGAGTTCACTATGAACTCTCTGCTGTAAGTCCAGTACAGTATACAGTAAGTCAATAGTACTATACTGTATTTAAGGCGTTAAGGCGTAGTTCGGTAGTTGTGATACAGCGAATATAGGTTCAAGTTGTCCGGTTGTCCGTAGTACAGTACAGTACGTTGCTGTCGCGTGTACTGTACTGTACTGTACAGTACAGTACAGTAGAAAAGACTTTTTGTACAGTAGTACTGTAATCTAGCCATCGTGCTGTCCAGTGTACTGTGCTATACAGACTTGACAGATGTACAGATGCGTGATACAGTACTATATTGTACTTTGCGCACTGTCAAAGGGCTGTACAGCGATGTGCATCCAATTTCGAATTATTAGATCTAGACCTGAGAAAGGTTCAGTAAAATGCTGTTCAAATTGAAAATTCTTTCAATTTGAACCGCTATTAGTATAGGGGGAAATGGAAGGGATCGAATTCAATGCACACTTCTGTACTGTACTCTGGCTTTTACTTACTTTACAAATTTTACTGTCATTTCCCATTAATTAAGTACGCGTACAGCATATCTCGCGTAGGCATATCATTTTGTCGGATGATTATACTAGTAAATGATAGAGTATTTGAATCAGTGTAACTTTCATCAATTTTCAATATTGTTTCTATAGTCTTAACAGACACAATAAATTCTTACATCATTATACGATTTTCGTAGGTCATGATACCGTAGTAACATTGATGTGAATTGTGTGAACTGTTCTCGCTCTCTTTTATTTATTTGTTAGTCTACAATCTTGTTATTGCTGTCTACTCGATACTGTATGACGTTGTTGGTAATATACATCGAGGTTTTAAATAAATTAGGCGTCTCCCCATTCGATTAAATTTACTCAATAGCACTGGAAGCTCTTGACTTCATGAGAAAAATCTTGCAGATTTCTGGTGGTATAGCAGCACAGGGCGGAAAAATCGACCCACAGAGCGAAAGTTAATGCGGAGATTTCGAGGTTACGGGCTTGCTAATGTTTGATGCGCAAACTCAGTACTGTCGCTGTTTCCTAGAGACAACGAGACATTTTTGTCAAAATCTTAGATCAATGTTTCTAGTAGTCTGCGCAAAAGGTATCGATCAGTTTAGCTCCGATATTTTCTATGTCAGTCAGCATGATCAGTTCGAATTGGACTCTAACTTGTCTGTGTCCGAGTACATATCTAATTGCTATCTACTAAACTATACTGTATAGTTCGCCTAGTAATTTATAATTTGTTGGCCAATTGAATACACAATGGCTACAATTTCTATTAATGAAATTGCCTGAAATACCAATTATACATAAGATATAGTCGTAAAAGTAAAAAATACGCCTACCCACCATTTCCTCCTAGCGATTATAGTAGATAGTAAATTGTTTATATTTTGTCCGTTCTCACAATCATTTCTATTCCAGTCTCAATGAAATACGACTAAAGTGAACATAAGAAGGTCCGTTTGACATTACAGCGATATCTATTTTCTTTAATCATGCAGGTATGAGTGGATCGTGTTGTATCCAGGATAGCGATAAAATATCAGTCGATTAAAGAGAACTTTCAAGATCGCTGAAATCGACAACATAGCCCATCGCAAACCAGCTCATTGACAAGGTGACGAAAAAGCCAAATCTACAAATCTTCTCCCTAAACAGCATATCCGGTCACTAAAATTCGTCTAAAAAGAAACACTTAGGAATACTTATCTAATTCTACAGATTTTCAGTGATTTGTACGCCTTTAACTTTACGTTTTAAGCACTATATTTAAGAACTAACTTTCTTATACAAAATTTAGGGCTTATATATTTTTTACAGTAATTAGAATTCATAATTATATAATTAGTATCAAAACCACCTATAAAATCAGATGGTTAAATTACATCTAAATGCTTAATCATAACGGTGATATTGAAGAAGATCGATATCCGATAATTTAAGACTATTAGGTTACAATATGTCTATTTTCAGAACTATTAAGGCACACTATGCGATCTAATGTAAATCAGTCACAATCACATATTACGGTACAAGATACGTAAAGTTCGAACTATCTCGCAATCGAAATAAAGCTACGTCGCCAAGCATTGCAAAACTACCCTACGTTGAGATAGCACCGTGACATAGCCCAATGTTAATGGAATGTCGCTAGATAGTTAAGCATTTAATATGATCAGATATACCAAAGAAAACGAGGGAAAGAAATTTATCAATCTTAGACATTCTAACATATGCAAATAATTATATTCATGAATATCGCCTTTATTGTTGCTTCAACATACGGTAGTTCTGAAAATTAGTCAATTTTCAACTACTGGATGAACAACATCCTTCTTAAACAAATGCCACTTTTCATTAATTATATATTATTCGCCATTCTTGCAATATAGGCTTGATTGCATTCGCTTATAATGTACGCCGTGTTCTTACAATTGCAATGGAAATAGTTAAACAATTAATTTTCCCTTGCGAAATCGATGATGTTAAATCTCTTGAAGACACTTGCATAGTCTAGTACCCAATAGTGCTCATTTATTACAGCTATAGTAATTACAATTTATTGCACTATTTTACTTCAATATTAATTCAAAAAACCATATTGATTCTCTTTATCCTGATAATTTTCCGTTGCTTAAACATAGACACCTTCATAGTCTAGAATGCAAGAACAATCTATTATGCTGTTTTACTTTGGTAGCAATTCCAATAACCAAGTTGATTCTCATGCCCTGATAATATATATAATATGATCTACCATTGTATGAACTACATTTAGCACGGTTTACCAATAAGAAAAAACTACTCATGATGGCATTTTATCCTATGAAAACCGAGCTTAACGCGTATATCTATAAGATTAACTTTTCTTGATGAAGAATTTTTTCCTTGCGAGTTTCTCATAAGCCTTTCACAAGCTGCGATCAGCTAGCTAGTAGCTATATTAGTCAAATAATTCTTATTATTTTGTAGGTGCCATACAAATTCTTTAGATGCGTGAAACTTACGTACCCTCTAACAATTAACACTTTTAATTCTTTTCGAAATTTTTTAATACTATAACTTTGTCTTGATACTACATTTGATCAGGAGTAATTATTTTTTCCTTGCGCAATTCTGACATCATTCAGAGTATTAAAGTAATGATATATAGAATTAACTTAATAATACTAGCCCAAAGATAGTAAACGCAATTCTTAAGATTTGTTTCTTTGTTACAAAGACATCAATGTCCTTGTCATCTATTTTTGAGAAATTTATTCGTGTTAAAACAAATCATCGACCTTTTTAAGCTGATTTTTATGCGGTATTTTTCTGTTACGATCCGATCCTTGCATAAAGATTTTACTGATCACATCGAAAAGAAAAGTTTATGTTTATCAAGAAATAAATATTGAAAAGCCTTTCAATTTTAAATAATAATCCATACCAAGAAAATGAGAATTACTGCAAATAATTTAAGAAGGGAAATTGTTAACTATTCCTACTGCACCCTATTGATATCGTTTACAGTGATTGTATCACTAAATTACATTAAAAGTTAACTAGCAATAGAATGTGTAAGATTTTAGCAACATGTAGAAATAAACATGATTTAAGGCCGAAGTATGCTATTTCCTTTTGCATCCGTAATTACTATAGTACCACTTAGGACACATTGGACAGTGAAGAGTGTATTAAGTAACAGTCACCATCATTTCTTTAAAGATACTACGCCTAAACAAAGCTTCTGAATTATTTAATCATATTAATGACAAAGACCAAAACTTTCA